GTGTCCGATGGTACAAAATACCCAGGCAGGTGCTTAGTTTTGGTGGGGCTGATGGTAAGGCCCCACCTCTTAGTGGCACGCTCCAGTCTCAGCAGCAGCGTCTCCAACTCCTCCTCTGACTGAGCAGCTATTACCAACACACAGACACACACACAGACACACACACAGACACACAGACAGACACACGCAGACAGACACACACACACAGACAGACACACACACACAGACAGACACACACACACAGACACACACACAGACACACACACAGACAGACACACACACAGACAGACACACACACAGACAGACACACACACAGACAGACACACACAGACACACACAGACAGACACACACACAGACAGACACACACACAGACAGACACACACACAGACACACACACAGACAGACACACACACAGACAGACACAGACAGACACACACAGACAGACACAGACAGACACACACACAGACAGACACACACAGACAGACACACACACACAGACACACACACACAGACAGACACACACACACAGACACACACACACAGACAGACACACACAGACAGACACACAGACAGACACACACACAGACAGACACACAGACAGACACACACAGACAGACACACACACACACAGACAGACACACACACAGACACAGGCACACACAGACACACACACACAGACACACACACAGACAGACACACACACACAGACACACACACACACAGACACACACACAGACACACAGACAGACGCACAGACACACACACACAGACACACACACAGACACACACACAGACAGACACACACACACAGACAGACACACACACAGACAGACACACACACACAGACAGACACACACACAGACAGACACACACAGACACACACACAGACACACACACAGACACAGGCACACACAGACACACACACACATCCACCCAATGTGTTGAAAGTGGAAGTTCGCCCTCTAGTGGACTCCCCGCATGACAACTTCGGTCGACGCCTTCGCCTCCAATCAGCGGAGAGAAACTGGGGACATGTGGGGCGAGACTCGGCAGCCCCGAGACGTCACCGCACGCGGCGACCGTGACGTCACTTCACAAGAACAGTGACGTCGCCTCTCGCGTCCCCCCGAGGCGACGTCACTAATTATACACGGCCGCGTGACGTCATTTCACACGGTTCCCTGACGTCACTTTTAACTTTTGCCACGGTCCCACGACGTCACTTCATACGACCCTTTTCGTGACGTCACTTCGCACTGCCCCGCTCCGTCACGTTTCACACGTTCCCCCGTGACGTCATTGCACACGCCCCCCGTGACGTCACTTCACATCTTTTGTGAAGGTGTAATTTTAAAAATGAAAATGAACCCGGCGACGTCACGTGATGACGTAATTCACGACAGAGGAGTTGTACACCCCTCGTTGCCACTGCTATTCTGTGGCCTAAAATAAAATAAAATTATCGCTGTGTTTTGATTTAGCGTGCTGATCTTAAAGGTGCATTGAAACATTTGATACTCCGACTGATTGCTCCTGTTTTGATTGAAAGCTTTCGTGACTGCAGGGATTCATATTCTTGGTTCTTTCGGTAAAGTCACCACCATTTTTGGTTGCATTTGGAGGCTTTCCCCCCTCCTCCCCCCCCCCTATTGTATCTCCGCTTTTGTGTAGCGATCGAAACGTCGTAGCGGTTTTTTTTTGCTTTTATTCTTTTAAACTTATTTAATTTTATGTTTTATGTAAAGTTTTTATTTTATTTATTTTTTTTCTTTTTTTTTCTTTTCTATCCTATCCACGTGGACTTTACCGAAAGAACCAAAAGTATGAATTTCTGCAATCACGAACGTTTTAAGTCAAAATTTAAGTCGCAATTTAGCTTTTGTTGTTTTCAAATTTAATATTTTAATTTTTTGTATCTAAAATGCTTTTATTATTTTATCTTATTTTTTCTTTATTTCTACTTATTTTTATTTACCGAAAGGACCAACAGTATGAATTCCTGCAGTGACGAAAGCTTCAAATCACAGATTGAAGATTCATTTATAAAATAAGAAATTAATTCAGATCAGCGTTGACGTGGCAGCAGGCGCCGTATGATTGACATACTTCACGACCGCGAGTTAAACAAAGTTGTTAATTAAACCAGGTTTTTCATAAAATAAACTTTTTTTGAGAATTTGAAGTTTTCGTGTCTGCAAGGATCCATACTCTTTGGGCACGTAGTTGAAATAAATAAATAAATAATCCAAATCTATAAATGAAATTAATAAATCACGACGTTTCGATTGCGACACAAGCAAATCATCATCAGGTGTGATAACCACAGCAAGGAAATTATTTTACTGAATTTCCTTGCTGTGTATTCTTGGTTCTTTCGGTAAAGTCACCACCACGTAGAAGGGAAACAATAAAATAATAAAAATATAAATCAATAAAATTCTCACGACGTTTCGACTGCAACACAAGCAATCATCATCACACCTGAGCAAGCAATCATCATCATCACAGTTGATGATGAAAAAAAGTCAAGAAAGTTTTTAAATATGTATTAAAAATAAAACAAATAATAAATTAGGCTTTTAAAAAAATAATAAAAGCAGAATACTCACAGTCAAAATAAAAATTTAAATAAAAATTCAAAAATGTAAAAACATCACACCTGGTGATGATTGCTTGTGTTGCAGTCGAAACGTGAGAATTTTATTGTTTTATGTTTTTATTATTTTATTGTTTCCCTTCTACGTGGTGGTGACTTTACCGAAAGAACCAAGAATATGAATCACTGCAGTCACGAAAGCTTTAAATCAAAATTCCTTGCTGTGGTTATTTTTTTTTACTGAATTTCCTTGCTGTGATTATCACACCTGACGATGATTTGCTTGTGTTGCAATGGACACGTCGTGATTTATTTATTTCTATTTTTATTTGTTGTATTTATTATAAAAAAATTTCACCAAACGTGACTTTACCGACAGAACCAACGATTATGTTTTTTTAAGGGGTTTATTTTTCTATCTACTTGACTTAAGGGCCGTCAATAAATGACGTCACGCACCTGGGGGGGGGGTTAAGAAATGTGACGTCACACCAAAATGCGCAACTTTAAATAAATAAATATAGACAACACGTTCTACTTAATCAAATAGACTTTTTAATAAATGTTTTCTCCTACAACATCAGAGTGCAGCGCTACATTAAATACGCAACTACAATGTGACAATAGCTTAAAGCGATTTGAAGACTTGTTTTTTTTTGGGGGGGGGGGGGTAGAGCTTTGTGACGTCATATTTGAGGGGGGGGGGGTCTGACTGTTTGTGACGCCGCGTGACGAGGGTCAGACATTTGTGACGATCTGTGACGAGGGGGAGGGGTTAAGCAATGTGACGTCACATCAAAATGCGCAACTTTAAATAAATAAATATAGACAACACCTTCTACTGAATGAAATAGACTTTTTTAATAAATGTTTTCTCCTACAACATCAGAGTGCAGCGCCACATTAAATACGCAACTACAATGTGACAATATATATTCCTGGTTCTTTCGGTAAAGTCACCGTGTAGAAGAGAAACAATAAAATAATAAAAATATAAAGCAATAAAATTCTCACGACGTTTCGACTGCAACACAAGCAGTCATCATCAGGTGTGAAAACCAACGGCAAGAACATTTGAAAGAAGTGGCGGTTTGTGTTTTTTTATTGTTTATATATTTTTTATTATTTTATTGTTTCCCTTCAACGTGACTTTACCGAAAGAACCAAGAATATGAATCACTGCAGTCACGAAAGCTTTAAGTCAAAATGTGACAATAGTTTGAGAGTGAGAGAGTTAATATTCTTGGTTCTTTCGGTAAAGTCAGGTAGATAGAAAACTAAAATAATAAAATTATTATTTTTATAATAAATAAAATATTAAATAAAATACTAAGTTGAAAATAATAAAAACAAAAAAACCCACAATTAAAATACAATTTAAAATTAAAATAAATTAAAAACAATTAAAGCAAAAATCCCACGATAGTAAGAAAAAAAATAGTAAACTAAAATTAATAATACGTTGAAAATAATAATAATAAATAATAATAAAAAGCCACGACGTTTCGATCGCAATACAAGCGGTCTTTATCAGGCGGGTAGAAAAAAAAGTTACCCGGATGTAGAATGCGGGGGAGGGGAGGTTGGGGGGGCATGGGGGAGGGGGAAACCCCCCCCCCCCCATTGATGAGAACGAATCCGATTGGTTCCCGCCAAAAATTCAGATTTCAAAAACGAACCGTTAAAATACCCGGATGTCAAATGTTAATTAGACGTGGGGGGCGGGTAGAGTGATGATGGGGGGGAGGGCGGGGTTTAATTTGGCGGGAACCAATCACGTTTCTCGTTGTAACTCTGCCTCCACCCACCACCTTCACAGGCCCCGCCTTTCACCACTGGCGGGAGGATTGGAGAACCAATCAAATTCTGCCACTGCTTCCCGTCCCACCCCCTTATTTGTAATAGCTCCGCCCCCGCTAGTGGGGGTGGGGGGGATAGGCGTCACTATAGTCATTGTCAACGATAGCAGTGCCTCACCCCTCCCCCCGCGTGAACCAATCATATTCCCTGCCCCCCCACACCCTCCGACATGAACCAATCAGATTCTAACTCTCTAAACCCCCAGCCACCCTCCGGCGTAAACCAATCAGATTCTAACCACCCCCCCCTCACCCGCCCTCCCTCAACCAAAGGCGAACGCTCATTGGCCGTTGGTCCCTGTGCGGCCAGCATTTAACCCAATCACATCGTCCCGTTCGCCAACTCGGGGGAGAGGGATCCCTCCTGACCCCACCCCTCCCCCCCTCCCCGGTGTGGAGGGGGGGGCTGGGCGCGCATCGGTGGAGGAGAGTGGGGGGGTGTAGATCGGGGGGGTGGGTGGGGGGTGGCAAAGCAACAACCAATCAGAAACGCGGAGAATCTTCAACGAGGGGGGGCACCCACCCTCCCCCTTCCCCCGCCCCTCTGTCGCTCCGCCCCGGTATAAAAGGGGCGCCTCCTCCCTTCCCGCCCTTTTTTTGTGCTCAGTTCGTTGTGAATTCTCCGTGGGGTGACTCCCAGCGCCGTCGCCACTGCCGCTTCCACCCCCTCACAGACGAACTGCGACCGCCATGGTGAGGTGTTCGTGGTGGTGTTGGTGGTGTGGGTGGTTGTGGTGTGGTGGAGGTGGTGAGGTGTTGGTAATGGTGTTGTGTGGTTGTTGTAGTGGTGGTGGTAATGGGGTGGTGGTGTGGTGGTGTGTCTGTGTGGTGGTGGTGGTGTGTTGTGGTGTTGGTGGTTAGTGGTGGTGGTGTCTGTGTGGTGGTGGTGGTGGGTGGTGTGTCTGTGTGGTGATGGTGGGTGGTGGTGTGTCTGGTGGTGGTGTGTCTGTGTGGTGGCGGTGGGTGGTGGTGTGTCTGTGTGGTGGTGGGTGGTGTGGTGGTGGGTGGTGTGTCTGTGTGGTGGTGTGTCTGTGTGGTGGTGGTGGTGTGTCTGTGTGGTGGTGGGTCGTGTGTCTGTGGGGTGGTGGTGGGCGGTGGTGTGTCTGTGTGGTGGTGGTGTGGTGGTGGGTGGTGTGTCTGGTGGTGGGTGGTGTGTCTGGTGGTGGGTGGTGTGTCTGTGTGGTGGTGGGTCGTGTGTCTGTGGGGTGGTGGTGGGCGGTGGTGTGTCTGTGTGGTGGTGGTGTGGTGGTGGGTGGTGTGTCTGGTGGTGGGTGGTGTGTCTGGTGGTGTGTCTGTGGGGTGGTGGTGGTGGTGTGTCTGTGGGGTGGTGGTGTGTCTGTGTTGGTGTGGTGGTGGGTGGTGTGTCTGTGTGGTGGGTGGGTGGTGGTGTGTCGGGTGGTGTGGTGTGGGTGGGTGGTGGTGTGTCTGTGGTGGTGGGTGGGTGGTGGTGTGTCTGTGTGGTGGTGGGGGGTGGTGGGGTGTCTGTGTGGTGGTGGGTGGTGTGTCTGTGTGGTGGTGGGTGGGTGGTGGTGTGTCTGTGTGGTGGTGTGTCTGTGTGGTGGTGTGTCTGTGTGGTGGTGGGGGGTGGTGGGGTGTCTGTGTGGTGGTGGGTGGTGGTGTGTCTGTGTGGTGGTGTGTCTGTGTGGTGGTGTGTCTGTGTGGTGGTGGGTGGGTGGTGGTGTGTCTGTGTGGTGGTGTGTCTGTGTGGTGGTGTGTCTGTGTGGTGGTGTGTCTGTGTGGTGGTGTCTGTGTGGTGGTGTTGTAGCGGCTAACCAAACACCACCAGTGACAGCACCGGTCCTGGGCTTCCCTTAGGTCAACTCGGCCTCAAATGAGTTGGTGGTGTAGCACTGGGGGAGAGACAAAGACGGCCGGGCGTGGTGGTGCTGGTAGCCACCCACCCCCTCTGTGTAGCCACAGTGCGGGTAGCCTTCATAGGTGATGCTCGTTAACAGCACTTGCCCCGACAGCCCTGCTAGAGGCTACCTGGGGGATCTTTGTGTTTGTGTAACAGCACTTGCCCCTACAGCCCTGCTAGTTTACCTGGGGGATCTTTGTGTGTGACTGCACTTGCCCCTACAGCCCTGCTAGAGGCTACCTGGGGGCTCTGTGTTTGTGTGACTGCACTTGCCCCGACAGCCCTGCTAGAGGCTACCTGGGGGATCTTTGTCTGTGTTTGTGTAACTGCACTTGCCCCAGCAGCCCTGCTAGAGGCTACCTGGGGGCTCTTTGTGTTTGTGTAATTGCACTTGCCCCAGCAGCCCTGCTAGAGGCTACCTGGGGGCTCTTTGTGTTTGTGACTGCACTTGCCCCAGCATTCCTGCTATAGGCTACCTGGGGTTGCTTTGTCTGTGTTTGTGTAACAGCACTTGCCCCTAATTTATGTTAGAGGCTACCTGGGGGTTCTTTGTGTAACTGCACTTGCCCCTACAGCCCTGCTAGAGGCTACCTGGGGGGTGTTTGTGTGACTGCACTTGCCCCTACAGCCCTGCTAGAGGCTACCTGGGGTTGCGTGGCCACCTTTGTCTTTGGTGTCTCTTCGTGGGGGGAATTTTTAGGTTTTATAACCAAAATTAAAAGTTTTAAAAGCATAAAATTCGTTGCAAATTGTGAAGTAGAGAGAGAGGGGGGGGCCGGGTGTTTGTATTTATTTAATTTGCAAAAAGCGGGTTTAGATGCGAGGATTTATTTAATTTTATTTAGATTTTTTTTGTTGCGGCCTAGCAGCTCCTCGCCTGGTTTAGGCCTGCGCCTCCTCGCTTACATCAAAATTTAAGCGTCGATGTTGTTAGCTGGGTCCCCCCTCCTTTTTATCAGCGATCGTGAGCGTCTATCGTGTGCCCCCCTTTTTGTTTATATATTTAGAATAATTATTAACAGCCGTGGAATCTATTTTTTTAGGCATTGTGAAGCGACCGCGATAAATTCCCGCCCTTTTTTTTCTCCTCCCCCCCCTCCCGTTGGGTGTTGTTACAACAACAATCTCACGCTATGTTGGGCAACTTTAATAATACTAATAATAATGACGACGACGATACAAAAGTGTTCGGGACAAAGCTCGCGCTTAGTCGTAACCTTTTTTTTATTTTGATAAAAAAAGTGTTTAAAGTTATTTTCCCCTCATACCAACAAACTCCCCCTCATCATACCACGATAAGTGGGCAACTTTAATAACAATAAACGTATCGCGATTAAAGCTCTTAGTAACGTCGATTATATACATTTTGTTTATGTTAATAAAAATAAAATATGGAAAGTTATTTTCCCCTCATACCAACAAACTCCCCCCCCCCCCCCCTCATACCACGCTAATTCGGCAACTTTAACAATACTAATAAGACGTATCGCGATTAAAGCACTTGGTAACGTCTATTATATATACATTGTTTTGTTTATGTTAATAAAAATTATAAAATATGGAAAGTTATTTTCCCCTCATACCAACAAACTCCCCCCCCCCTCATACCACGCTAATTCGGCAACTTTAACAATACTAATAAGACGTATCGCGATTAAAGCTCTTAGTAACGTCTATTATATACATTGTTTTGTTTATGTTAATAAAAATAAAATGTGGAAAGTTATTTCCCCTCATACCAACAAACAACTCCCCCCCTCATACCACGATAAGTGGGCAACTTTAATAACAATAAACATATCGCGATTAAAGCTCTTAGTAACGTCTATTATATACAGTAATTTAATATTGAAATTTATTTTACCCTCATACCAACAAACAACTCCCTACTGAGGGGTGAATTTAAATAACAATATTAACTTTTATTTACAAAATACCGCTTCAAATAGATCTTTATATTACAGTATTTGTAACGTCGATTATGCGTTTGTTGTTTTAAACATAAATAAAATGTTTTAAATTATTATTTCACCTCGTACCAACGACTCCACGCTTAAGGGTAGAGGTGGAGCTTAAGACAAATTAAAGTATCGCTTTAAGGATATATTTATATTATTATTTGTAACGTCGATTAATTTGTCGTTTTAAAAAATAAATAATAAATACCTTTTTCCCCCCGTACCAACAACAAACTCCACACTGAGGAGGTTTGAGAACTTTAATAACAATAATCTCATATTCTTAGTTTTTCGGTAAAGTCACGTTGAAGAGAAACAACAAAATAACAAAATATATATAAAACAATAAAAAATTCTCACGACGTTTCGACCATAACTCAAACGGTCATCACACCTGATGATGACGGTCATCACACCTGATGATGACCGTTTGAGTTATGGTCGAAACGTCGTGAGAATTTTTTATTGTTTTATATATATTTTGTTGTTTCTCTTCAACGTGACTTTACCGAAAAACTAAGAATATGAATTACTGCAGTCACGAAAGCTTTAAATCAACAATAATCTCATTATTCTTTGGGTCTTTCGGTAAAGTCGCGTAGATACGTTGAAAGAAAATAACAAAAAAAATAACAATTTTTTTTCAACCTATCTGCATTAAAATCACGTAGATAGTTTGAAAGAAAATAACTAGAAAAATAACAATTTATTTTCAACCTATCTACGTTAAAGTCACGTTAACAGGTTGAAAGAAAATTACAAAAATAATTTATTTTCAACCTATTTACGTAAATGTCACTTGGATAGGTTGCAAGAAAATAACTAAAACAAATAACTATTTCAACCTATTTACGTGACTTTACCGAAAGACCAAAATAATATGAATCCCTGCAGTCCTGAAAGCTTTACGTCAAGATTTAACAACAATAATAATGACAAAACTAATCACAGGTGCCGTGGCAGGGATATCTTTTTTTTCTTATTCATAATGTCGATGTTTTAAAAATTGGTTTAATTATTTTAAACTAATTTCCCCCTCGGGTGACCAATGTTCACCAAGTTGTGTTTGTGTGATGTGCGTGTTGTCTTTTGTGGTGTGGTTTTTGTGTGCGTTTTAACGGGCAACTTCCTAACTGGAGCTATGTTAGCTTACTAGTAGTAGCTTAACTATATGCATAGTTAGTAGCTCATGTTTGTCCAAGTTTATAGTAGCAACCAAGAGTCTTAACGCATAGACCCATAGACTAAATTATGATTATTTCAGCAGGTGCTAAGGCAACTTACTAACTGGAGATATGTTGGCTTTGGTAGTAATAGCAGCTTAACTAAGTATTCTATCTTGAAGTTGAAGTTTATAGTAGCGGCCACACAGACTGAACTATTACATCGCTTTCCAGGTCTAAGGCACCACTAAACTGCTGTGTATCTTTTTTCAGAAGCCACCTGGCCCATCCCAAATAATAGCAGCTCAACTCGGTGGCTGAAATCATCATCATCACGTGGACATTTATAGCAGCAGCCACTTGGTTGGGTTACTATCATTCGTGATGGCCCAAGTTGCTTCTGAAACAGAGCTACATCACTCAGTGGGGGGGGCCTTATTACTACACCTGGTCAAATACAACATATTTTAGCGTGGGTCTCTGCGAGTCTCCTAGAATCATGGCTTTCACGGAGTACAGTAAAAAAAAAACTTGGATTGCGAGCATAATTCGTTCCGGAAACGTGTTTGTAATCTAAAGCACTCGTCATATATCAGGTGTGTGATCACGTGACGCTCGGCAGTACAAAGCGTGTATACGTACTACTACTCGTATTGCAAGACCCTCGCTCGTTTATCAATTTAATATTTATTTAAACGTTTTGCCCGTCTTGCAAAACACTCGTGGGCCAAGTTACTCGCAATCCAAGGGTTTAGTTTTATTTGGCTGCTATTGTAAATTTCTACGTGAGAAGCCACCTCAGAGCTGTCGTCTTTGATTGCCAGGTCGCTTCTGAGGGAAGATTTTCGCAGCTTAGTGGGCCTTGCACCTGGTGAATAAAATAGTTTAGTTTGTGCCTCGGTGACTTTGTCTCTAAATGGGTCTCTTTGAGTGTGGGTCTCTATCGTTCTGGACCTCTGTGGGTCTGTATGGATCTCTACGAGTATGGGTCTGAGTGGGTGTCTGTGGTTTCTTATGTATCAGTGGGTCCCTATCTGTATGGGTCCTATGGGGATCTGTATGAGTCTGAGTATGTGTTTCCATGTATCTGTATGGGTCACTATGAGTGGGTATCTGGATGGGCCTCTGGGTCATTATGTATCTGTTTGGGTCCCTATGAGTGTAGATCTTTACGTATCTATATGGGTCACTGTATCTGTATGGTATTTCTATGGGTCGCTACGTACTTATAGAGGTCCCTAATATATGGCTCTCTGTATCTATATGGGTCCCTGTGTATCTGTGAAGTTATGAATGTGCTCGGGGTGGGTTTGATAATAGGTTTTTCCCCCTTTTTTTTCTGGCAACACAACAGCTGTTAAGTTAAAACGCCAAACTGAAACCTTTTACAAGGCATCCATATCCGCATTAACCACAATGCTTGTGGTCAGAATGCAAACACACAAACACGCTCTGATAATATCTGTGGCATTGTCCTTGAAGCTGATTGGTCCACACCAGAGACGGCTTTCTTTTGAGCCTCGTCTCAAACGGTGCTAGACCAGAGGACGCCGCCAAAAGGCGAACACAGCTCAAAGACAACGCCACCATCAGAGTAATGAGGGCTCGGGGTGAGCATCTACATCATGGGACCTCCTTTGCTAGTACCAAAATATAACAATAGGTTTCCCCTATTATATCAAAATATAAGAATAGGTTTCCTCCTATTATATCAAAATATAACAATAGGTTTTCCCCTATTATATACACAAATATAACATTAGGTTTCCTCCTATTATACATGAAAATATAAGAACAGGTTGTCCCCTATTATATCAAAATATAACAATAGGGTTTCCCTTATTATATACACAAATATAACAATAGGTTTTCCCCTGTTATAAATATGAGAATAGGTTTTCCGCTGTTATATACATTATGGGACCTCCTTTGCCAGTACCAAAATATGATTGTTTTTTCCACTTTCACAATGTTTTCTCGGTTTGCGTTCTGACCACAAACATTGTTGTTAATAATGCCGACACGACTCCTCGTCAAAGCTTTCGGATGCCCACGACGTCGTAGGTTTATTTTACATTTTTTTCTTTCTTTCAGGCTGGAGGCAAAGGCAAAGCGGGAAAGGACTCGGGCAAGGCTAAGGCCAAGGCGGTGTCTCGCTCCCAGCGCGCTGGCCTGCAGGTCTGCACGATGCTCCTACACCCACCACCGATCTACCCTGCGCCGTTATCGCGACGCCTGTCGGCCCGTTGTCACGGTGTCGGTCTGGCGGTTATTGTGACGGCTGCGGCGGTTATCGTGGAATTGGTCCGTCATGGGCTGCACGGGGATCTTTGTCTCTCCCAACCCCCCTCCCCCCCCCCCGTTGCGCGATGGTCCCCCAGTTCCCCGTGGGTCGAATCCACAGGCACCTGAAGACTCGCACCACGAGTCACGGGCGTGTGGGAGCCACCGCCGCAGTCTACAGCGCAGCCATCCTGGAGTACCTCACCGCCGAGGTGCTCGAGCTGGCGGGCAACGCCTCCAAGGTACCGCGCTAAGTACTACACTACGTACTACACTACACACTACGTACTACACTGCACGCTACGTACTACACTACACGCTACGTACTACACTGCACGCTACGTACTACACTGCACGCTACGTACTACACTGCACGCTACGTACTACACTACACGCTACGTACTACACTACACGCTACGTACTACACTACACACTACGTACTACACTGCACGCTACGTACTACACTGCACGCTACGTACTACACTACACGCTACGTACTACACTACACGCTACGTACTACACTGCACGCTACGTACTACACTGCACGCTACGTACTACACTACACGCTACGTACTACACTACACGCTACGTACTACACTACACACTACGTACTACACTACACACTACGTACTACACTACACACTACGTACTACACTGCACGCTACGTACTACACTGCACGCTACGTACTACACTACACGCTACGTACTACACTACACGCTACGTACTACACTACACACTACGTACTACACTGCACGCTACGTACTACACACTACGTACTACACTGCACGCTACGTACTACACTACACGCTACGTACTACACTACACACTACGTACTACACTACACACTACGTACTACACTGCACGCTACGTACTACACTACACGCTACGTACTACACTACACGCTACGTACTACACTACGTACTACACTACGTACTACACTACGTACTACACTACGTACTACACTACGTACTACACTACCTCCTACACTACGTACTACACTACGTACTACACTACCTCCTACACTACGTACTACACTACACGCTATGTACTACACTACACACTATGTACTACACTACGTACTACACTACACTACGTACTACACTGCACACTACACTACACACTACCTACTACACTACACGCTACACACTACACTACGTACTACACTACACACTACGTACTACACTACACACTACGTACTACACTACACACTACGTACTACACTACACACTACGTACTACACACTACGTACTACACTACGCATTACGTGCTACACTACGCACTATGTACTACACTACGTACTACACTACGTACTACACTACACACTACGTACTACACTACACACTACACTACACACTACGTACTACACTACACACTACACTACACACTATGTACTACACTACACACTATGTACTACACTACACACTACACTACACACTATGTACTACACACTACACTACACACTATGTACTACACACCACACTACACACTATGTACTACACACTACACTACACACTATGTACTACACTACACACCACACTACACACTACACTACACACTACGTACTACACTACACACTATGTACTACACTACGTACTACACTACACACTATGTACTACACTACGTACTACACTACACACTATGTACTACACTACGTACTACACTACACACTATGTACTACACTACGTACTACACTACACACTATGTACTACACTACACACTATGTACTACACTACACTACGTACTACACTACACACTACACTACGTACTACACACTACGTACTACACTACACTACACACTACGTACTGCACTACACACTACACTACACTACACACTACACTACGTACTACACACTACACTACACACTACGTACTACACTACACACTATGTACTACACTACACACTATGTATTACACTACGTACTACACTACACACTACACTACGTACTACACACTACGTACTACACTACACTACGTACTGCACTACAATACGTACTACACTACGTACTACACTACACACTACGTACTACACTATGTACTACACACTACGTACTACACTACACACTACCTACTACACTACACACTATACTACACTATGTACTACACTAGATGCTACGTACTATGCACTACGTGCCGCGCGACATACCACACTACACCACACTCTACAAACTGCGTACTGCACCACAAACCATGGACTGTACTACACCACACTGTAACACTGTACTACACCACGCTGCAACACTGTACTACACCACGCCGCAACACTGTACTACACCACACTGCAACACTGTACTACACCACACTGCAACACTGTACCACACCACACTGCAACACTACTACACCACGCTGCAACACTGTACCACACCACACTGTAACACTGTACTACACCACACTGTAACACTGTACCACACCACGCTGCAACACTTTACCACACCACTCTGCAACACTGTACTACACCACACTGCAACACTGTACTACACCACACTGCAACACTGTACCACACCACACTGCAACACTACTACACCACGCTGCAACACTGTACTACACCACGCTGCAACACTGCAACACTGTACTACACCACGCTGCAACACTGTACTACACCACACTGCAACACTGTACTACACCACACTGTAACACTTTACTACACCACGCTGCAACACTGTACTACACCACACTGTAACACTTTACTACACCACGCTGCAACACTGTACTACACCACGCTGCAACACTGTACTACACCACGCCGCAACACTGTACTACACCACGCTACAACACTGTACTACACCACGCTGCAACACTGTACTACACCACGCTGCAACACTGTACTACACCACACTGCAACACTGTACTACACCACGCTGCAACACTGTACTACACCACACTGCAACACTGTACTACACCACACTACAACACTGTACTACACCACGCTGCAACACTGTACTACACCACACTACAACACTGTACCACACCACACTGTAACACTGTACCACACCACGCCGCAACACTGTACCACACCACACTGCAACACTGTACCACACCACACTGCAACACTGTACCACACCACACTGCAACACTGTACCACACCACACTGCAACACTGTACCACACCACACTAACACTGTACTACACCATGCCGCAACACTGTACTACACCACGCTGCAACACTGTACTACACCACACTAACACTGTACTACACCACACTAACACTGTACTACACCACACTAACACTGTACTACACCACACTGCAACACTACTACACCACGCTGCAACACTGTACTACACCACGCTGCAACACTTTACTACACCACACTACACCACGCTGCAACACTGTACTACACCACGCTGCAACACTTTACTACACCACGCTGCAACACTGTACTACACCACACTGCAACACTGTACCACACCACACTGCAACACTGTACTACACCACACCGCAACACTACTACACCACACTGCAACACTTTACTACACCACACTACAACACTGTACCACACCACGCTGCAACACTGTACCACACCACACTGCAATACTGTACCACACCACACTGCAACACTGTACCACACCACGCTGCAATACTGTACCACAAACTAGACTGCAACACTGTACCACACTGCAACACTACCACAAACTAGACTGCAACACTTCACCACAAACTACACACCACTACGTACTGTGCCACAACACTACGTACTGTACTGCACTAAACACTGCGCACTGTACCACAGACTGCGCGCTGTACTACACCACTTGCTGAACTGCACCACAAGCCACGTACATTGGACAAGGTGCACTGTACTACACAGCACACTCCACTGTGCATTGTGTACTGTACTACGTTAGACACTAGGTACTGTACTCGCTGTGTGTACACTACAGTGTACTGTACTCACTGTACACTGGCTGTGTGCGGGCTCACTAGGATCTGAAGGTGAAGCGCATCACCCCTCGTCACCTCCAGTTGGCCATCCGTGGCGACGAGGAGTTGGACTCCCTCATCAAGGCCACCATCGCTGGGGGAGGTGAGCCGGAGAGCTCGCTCGCCCGCACGATGGCCCCCTCGCTCGCTCGCCCCCACACTCACATGCTCGCCCACTCGCTCGCCCGCACGATGGCCTACTCGCTCGCCCACACGCTCGCCCACTCACTCGCTCGCCCCCACACTCACACGCTCGCTCACTCGCCCGCACGATGGCCCACACGCTCGCCCACTCGCTTGCCCCCACACATGCTCGCTCACTCACTCGCCCACTCGCTCGCCCGCACGATGGCCCACTCGCTTGCCCGCTTGCTCGCCAACACGGTCACTTGCCCCCACACTCTCGCTCGTTCACTCGCTCACCCACGATCGCTCACTTACACTCCCACACTTACCCGATTACACACTCGCACACTCAGGCTTTCTTGTGCTTTTTACACGCTTTCATTTAACTCGCTCTGTCTGTCTGTTGTATCCTCAAATCTTGTAAGTCAATTTTAATCCACTTCCCAATGTCGTATCGACTGCAAACTTGGTAAACTTGCGTCAAACTGATGACAATACTATATCCTATCATTTAGAAAAATCAATATTTTTCAACATTCTTTTTTATGTTATGTTTCGGCTTTGCTCTAATTGTCTATGGTCAACTAACTTTGCCTGTAATTGTGGCAAGCTTCGGGGCCACTTACTGGAGTCGTGGAGTTCTTCCATTACTAATAGCACATTTCATTAAAGCGTGTTTTTTATTTTTAATATTACCTTGTTAATAATTTTGATAGTGCTAGCTAAACGTGGTCCCGTAGGTGATGGGTCGTGTCGTTGCTGAGGGGATGCGGCGCTCGCCAACTCTGTCTGTGTGCGTGTCTCTGCGATTGTCCCAGGTGTGATCCCTCACATCCACAAGTCTCTCATTGGCAAGAAAGGGCAACAGAAGACAGCCTAGCCAGGCCCACAGCTCCCCACTTGCTACACACGGACACCATTACCACTCACTAGACATGAACACACGCTACACCAACACACAGACACCAGTACTACTCGCTACACACACACGCTACACATGAACACACGGACACCGGTACTACACGCTACACACGGACACGCGATGGAGACGTGAACAGGCAGACTCGTTCACCGCACACACTCGCATATACACACTCGCACGATACGCCACGGACATTCACACACCTCTCGTTCACTCGCACGGACATTCGCACACCACTCGTACACTTGCACGATACGCTACGGACATTCACACATGAAACACTCGCACGGATATTCACGCACGCCAGCGCGCACTCAAGGTTGTCACTCGCACTGCTCACACTCCCATTCTGGCTTGCAAGCACTCACACACCCACTGTCACACACCTACTGTCACCCACACAGTCACACACACACCCACTGTCACACACCCACTGTCACACACCCACTGTCACACACCCACTGTCACACACCCACTGTCACACACCCACTCACCCACACAGTCACACACACCCACTGTCACACACCCACTGTCACACACCCACTGTCACACACCCACTGTCACACACCCACTGTCACACACACACTGTCACACACACACTGTCACACACACACTGTCACACACACACTGTCACACACACACTGTCACACACACACTGTCACACACCCACTGTCACACACCCACTGTCACACACCCACTGTCACACACACCCGCTGTCACTCGCACACACCCACTGTCACTCACTCTCGCACACACCCACTGTCACTCACTCTCGCACACACACACTGTCACTCACTCTCGCACACACACACACTGTCACTCACTCTCGCACACACACACCCACTGTCACTCACACTCTCTCGCACACACACACTCACTCGCACTCACACTCTCTCGCACACACACACTCACTCGCACTCACTCTCGCACACACACTGTCACTCGCACTCACTCTCGCACACCCACTGTCACTCTCGCTCACACACACCCACTGTCACTCACTCTCGCACACACACACCCACTGTCACACACTCTCGCACACACACACACACCCACTTTCACTCACTCTCGCACACAGTTACTCACTCTCACACACACCCACTGTCACTCACTCTCGCACACAGTCACTCACTCTCACACACACCCACTGTCACTCACTCTCGCACACAGTCACTCACTCTCACACACACACACCCACTGTCACTCACTCTCACACACACACACCCACTGTCACTCACTCTCACACACACACACCCACTGTCACTCTCGCACACACCCACTGTCACTCACTCTCTCGCACACACACACACTGTCACTCACTCTCTCGCGCGCACACACACACAGTGATGGTCTCGCACGCGCCGACTGGCAGACGCGCGCTTGTACAGACGCTCGCAGCGCACTAACGTAGCGCACTCGGCATCGCCTGGATTCGAAGGCGTTGGGGTTGGCTGGGTGTGTTGGTACACGTGTCTTGGTGTGTGTGTGTCTTGGTGTGTGCGTGTATTTGTGTGTGTGCGCGTGTTTGTCTTGGTGTGCGTGTGTCTTGGTGTGCGTGTGTCTTGGTGTGTGTGTGCGCGTGTTTGTCTTGGTGTGTGTGTTTGTCTTGGTGTGTGTGTGTGCGTGTTTGTCTTGGTGTGTGTGTGTGCGTGTTTGTCTTGGTGTGTGTGCGCGTGTTTGTCTTGGTGTGTGTGTGTGCGTGTTTGTCTTGGTGTGTGTGCGTGTTTGTCTTGGTGTGTGTGTTTGTCTTGGTGTGTGTGTGTGCGTGTTTGTCTTGGTGTGTGTTTGTCTTGGTGTGTGTGTGTGCGTGTTTGTCTTAGTGTGTGTTTGTCTTGGTGTGTGTGTGTGCGTGTTTGTCTTGGTGTGCGCGCGCTTACGAATGGACCCACCTGCTCGTTGGTTTCTGCCTCGTCGAGTCTCTCACCGTCACCTCCCCCACCACCACCAACTCCTCCTCATCCTCCTCAGCCGCGGCTACCAATTCGCCCGGTCTCTCTGCTCGTGGCGAATGCCAGGGGCCGGTTGGTTCTGTTACGGCCTTTGGTTGTGTGGGGGGTGGTGGCGGCGTTCCCCCACGGTGGCCTGGTTGGGATGGCGACTATCGTTCCGATGTGGGTTCGATCTCCGCTCTTAGCCTGACCATGCCTGCCGCTGTAGATGTTGGGAGAGTTGGAGATGGGAGGTAGAGAGATGGGGTGGAGGAGGGAGAGATGAGGGGGAGGGAGAGATCCATCTCCTCTCCCCGTTCTCTCTCGCTACCTTTCACCTCTCCTCCGAGTTGACTTATTTTTAAACACAAATAATTAACTTTTACGGGATGAGGAGAGAGGATGGATTTGCCCCCTCCCCCCCCCCCCCCCCCCCCCCCGTTAACCCAGCCTGGCACTTGCGGGGATTAATTGTTGCAGTTTGTCGATGGTTGTAAAGGGGGGGGGGGGAGGTGGTGTGGGGTTGGGTTTTACAAACTACGTACGACGGGGTTGGCCTCGCCACAACCTGCGGTGGTGGTGTTGGTGCGACTCGCTACGACTCGGGGCTTGACTTGGCGCTTGTCCACCCCCCCCCCCCAACTCGCAGTGCTCATCCACCCTCAAACGGCGGTCTGTTCAGAGGCTGCACGTGGCAGTGAGATCCTGGGTGGGTTTGGTTAACGTTACAGTTCTGCAGGAGTTGGTGGTGGTTGTTGCTGAGGTTTTGGCTCGCGTCTCTGACCCCCGTTCCAAAACCTGCCAGCCCACCCCTCCCAGCTACCCTCTGGGAAATGCAAAAAGATTGAGGGAAAAAAATAGTTTCTTGACGCGGAGACATACAGAGGAGACACGCATGGAGACACACGGAGACAGACACACACACTCGGAGACATACAGGGGACACGCGCGGACACACACACACATGTTTGATTGTTTTAGTAACATAGGGTTTGAAAATCCCCTCCCCCCCACCCTCCTGTCTCTCTCCCCGTACCCACTTTTTATAATAAATTTTGCTTCTCCTTAACCATCTACCGGTCATCTCAGTCATTACAACAACGACCGCCATTCGCCGCTAAGTGGCGGTGACGTCACCGCGACGCCTGTGCCAGGCCATGTGCACCTTGAGGCCATTACAACAGCCCCTGGCACCTCTACAGGGTCCGCCCCGACACCTCCTGTTGGCAGAGCCTTCGAAGCTTCACGCGAAGGGCTTCAGCACCTGGCTGATGCTCGCAGCACTTGCCCCTACAGCCCTGCCAGAGGCTACCTGGGGAAGTTTTTTTTGTTTTTGCGTCTGTCCGAAGGGGTGCAGGCTGCTAGCTTCATCAGGCGACGGCCAGATTGGTGGAGCAGTCTTCCCGTCTTGCACATCCACGCCTCTGTAAGGAACGATACAGGTGGAGGACTTCTCCACAAATCTGGCTGTCGCCTGATGATGCTGGTGGTGATTACTGGCGAAACGTCACGGTGCTCGGATTGTAAATGTTGTGGCTTGGCTCTCGAACACACCGGTGTGCTGTACGAGTATACTACACCATACACTACACCACTATACATTGCTACACTATACTACTATACAATATTACACTACTATACAATATTACACTACTATACAATATTACACTACTATACACCACCACTACTATACACTACACCACTATGCACTACACACTACACTACTATATTATACCTATTTTACACTACTATACACTATTTTACACTACACTACTATTACACTATTTTACACTACACTTATACACCTACAGTGAGGGAAAAAAGTATTTGATCCCCTGATGATTTTGTAAGTTTGCCCACTGACAAAAAAATGATCAGTCTATAATTTTAATGGTAGGTTTATTTGAACAGTGAGAGACAGAATAACAACAGAAAAATCCAGAAAAACGCATGTCAACAAATGTTATAAATTGATTTGCATTTTAATGAGGGAAATAAGTATTTAACCCCTTCTCAATAAGAAAGATTTCTGGCTCCCAGGTGTCTTTTATACAGGTAACGAGCTGAGAGTAGGAGCACACTCTTAAAGGGAGTGCTCCTAATCTCAGCTTGTTACCTGTATAAAAGACACCTGTCCACAATCAGATTCCAAACTCTCCACCATAGCCAATACCAAAGAGCTCTCCAAGGATGTCAGGGTCAAGATTGTAGACCTCCACAAGGCTGGAATGGGCTACAAGACCATTGCCAAGCAGCTTGGTGAGAAGGGGACAACAGTTGGTGCGATTATTTGCAAATGGAAGAAACACAAGAACTGTCAATCTCCCTCGGCCTGGGGCTCCATGCAAGATCTCACCTCGTGGAGTTGCAATGATCATGAGAACGGTGAGGAATCAGCCCAGAACCACACGGGAGGATCTTGTCAATGATCTCAAGGCAGCTGTGTCCATAGTCACCAAGGAAACAATTGGTGACACACTACGCCATGAAGGACTGAAATCCTACAGCGCCCGCAAGGTTTTTCTGCTTAAGAAAGCACGTATACATGCTCGTCTGAAGTTGGCCAATGAACATCTGAATGATTCAGAGGACAACTGGGTGAAAGTGTTGTGGTCAGATGAGACCAAAATGGAGCTCTTTGGCATCAACTCAACTCGCCGTATTTGGAGGAGGAGGAATGCTGCCTATGACCCCAAGAACACCATCCCCACCGTCAAACATGGAGGTGGAAACATTATGCTTTGGGGGTGTTTTCCTGCTAAGGGGACAGGACAACTTCACCGCATCAAAGGGACGATGGACGGGGCCATGTACCGTCAAATCTTGGGTGAGAACCTCCTTCCCTCAGCCAGGGCATTGAAAATGGGTCGTGGATGGGTATTCCAGCATGACAATGACCCAAAACACACGGCCAAGGCAACAAAGGAGTGGCTCAAGAAGAAGCACATTATGGTCCTGGAGTGGCCTAGCCAGTCTCCAGACATTAATCCCATAGAAAATCTGTGGAGGGAGCTGAAGGTTCGAGTTGCCAAACGTCAGCCTCGAAACCTTAATGACTTGGAGAAGATCTGCAAAGAGGAGTGGGACAAAATCCCTCCTGAGATGTGTGCAAACCTGGTGGCCAACTACAAGAAACGTCTGACCTCTGTGATTGCCAACAAGGGGTTTGCCACCAAGTACTAAGTCATGTTCTGCAGAGGTGTCAAATGCTTATTTCCCTCATTAAAATGCAAATCAATTTATAACATTTTTGACATGCGTTTTTCTGTTCAAATAAACCTACCATTAAAATTATAGACTGATCATTTCTTTGTCAGTGGGCAAACGTACAAAATCAGCAGGGGATCAAATACTTATTTCCCTCACTGTATGGACGTCCCCCTAACACATCCTGGGGTGAGGCTATCGGAGCTTCTCTTCAAGGTTGACGGCTTCACCGTCTTCGGGTCGACAAGAGCAGCGGGAGCCTCTAGCAGGCTATAGGGGCAAGTGCTGTTAGTGGCACCTACACATAAAGATCCCCCGTGTAGCCTCTAGCAGGCTGCAGGGGCAAGTGCTGTTAGTAGTAGCACCTATACATGGACAAATATTTTTCAGGTAGCCTCTAGCAGGCTGTAGGGGCAAGTTCTGTTAGTGGCACCTACACACAGACACAGATCCCCTGTGTAGTTTCTAGACAGGCTATAGGGGCAAGTGCTATTAGTAGTAGCACCTATACACAGACAAAGATCCCCCGTGTAGCCTCTAGCAGGCTGTAGGGGCAAGTGCTGTTAGTGTAGTACCTCTACACAGACAAATATCCCCCGTGTAGCCTCTAGGAGGCTGTAGGGGCAAGTGCTGTTAGTGGCAGCAGTTACACACAGACAAAGATCCCCTAGGTAGCCTCTAGCAGGGCTGTAGGGGCAAGTGCTGTTAACGAGCATCACCTATGAATGCTATCCGCACTGTGGCTACACAGAGGGGGTGGGTGGCTACCAGCACCACCACGCCCGGCTGTCTTTGTTTCTCCCACAGTGCCAGCGATGTTCACTGCACCACCACCGCTACACCATCACCACCACTACACCACTATCACCGCTACACCACCACCACTACACCACCATCACCGCTACACCACCATCACCACTACCCCACCACCGCACCACCATCACCACCGCTACACCACCACTATCACCACCATCACCACTACACCACCACCACTACACCACCATCACCACTACACCACCACCACTACACCACCATCACTGCTACACCACCATCACCACTACACCACTACACCACCATCATCACCACTACACCAGGTAACTCATTTGAGGCTGAGTGAACCGAGGGGAGGCCCAGAACCGGTTCAGATAATCGACACTGCTGTTGGACGTGAGCGGGAATCGAACATCGTGGGTGTACGGTGCTTTTTTCAGGAATATTTTGCTGTTTTTTTCATGGATTTTCTGTTTTGCACAGTCACAGTCACACATAGTCACTTTAAGATGTTTTTCTTCTTCGTGTTTTTGTTTGTTGTGGTTGCACCCGATTCAAGAACCGAATGGCTCACAGGGCTATACCAAAATAAATAAACTGAAACTGAAAAAAACTGAACTCAGGCACCTAGCCTGGTACAGCAGCGGCACAACACATGGCACCTGCAGGGTCTGTCACGTGACCTCCTGGTGCACCTCGCCTGGCACAAGCCCCGCCTTCCCCACTCTCCCTCTAAGCTCCTCCCACCCCCTCCCCGACCCTCCAAGCTCCTCCCACCCTCTCCCCTACCCCCCTCACTCCTCCCCCAAGCTCCTCCCACCTCCACGCTCCTCCCATCCCCTCCCCTACCCCCACCCTCCCCTCAAGCTCCTCCCATCCCCTCCCCTACCCCCTTCTCCCCTCAAGCTCCTCCCACTCGTTCTCCTACCCCCAAGCTCCTCCCATTCCCTCCCCTACCCCCCACCCTCCCCCTAAGCTCCTCCCATCCCCTCCTCTACCCCCCACTCTCCCCCAAGCTCCTCCCACCCCCTCCCCGACCCCCACCCTCCCCTCAAGCTCCTCCCACCGCCTCCCCTACCCCCCACCCTCCACCTGAGCTCCTCCCATCCCCTCTTCTAATCCCCACCCTCGCCCTAAGCTCCTCCCATTCCCTCCCCTACCCCCCCCACTCTCCCCCCAAGCTCCTCCCACCCCTCCCCTTACCCCCCACCCTCCCCCTAAGCTCCTCCCATCCCCTTCCCTACCCCCCCACTCTCCCTCCAAGCTCCTCCCACCCCCTCCCCTACCCCCACCCTCTCCTCAAGCTCCTCCCACCCCCTCCCCTACCCCCCACCCTCCCCTAAAGCTCCTCCCATCCCCTACCCCCCACCCCGTCACTAAGCTCCTCCCACCCGCTCCCCTACCCCCCAAGCTCCTCCCCGTACACCCCGCTCACTAACCCGGATGTGGATTCCTTGTTAACCCGGATGTGGGCGGGGGGCCCCGCTGACCCGGAAGTTGTCGCAGAGGTGAACCGGAAGAAAACCGCTGAACTCGACTTCACGTGGAGGTGAGAGACTTTGTGCACCTAGCCTGGCACACAGAGACACGGCGTGCACCTAGCCTGGCACACACAGAGACACGGCGTGCACCTAGCCTGGCACACACAGAGACACGGCGTGCACCTAGCCTGGTACACACAGACACACGGCGTGCACCTAGCCTGGTACACAGAGAGACACAGAGACACGGCGTGCACCTAGCCTGGCACACACACACAGAGATACGGCGTGCACCTAGCCTGGCACACACACAGAGACACGGCGTGCACCTAGCCTGGCACACAGAGACACGACGTGCACCTAGCCTGGTACACACAGAGACACGGCGTGCACCTAGCCTGGTACACACAGACACGGCGTGCACCTAGCCTGGTACACACAGAGACACGGCGTGCACCTAGCCTGGCACCACAGAGACGGCGTGCACCTAGCCTGGCACACAGAGACACTGTGTGCACCTAGCCTGGCACACAGAGAGACACGGCGTGCACCTAGCCTGGTACGGTGGTGTGTGGAGAGACAAAGGCGGCCGGGCGTGGTGCCGGTAGCCTTCATAGACGCTCACTAACAGCACTTGCCCCTACAGTCTGTTCGAGGCTACCATGGAGAGCTTTGTGTGTAACTGTCTCTGTGTGTGTGTCTGTGTATGTGACTGTCTGTGTGTGTCTGTGTGTGTGTAAGTGTGTCTGTGTGTGTGTCTGTGTGTGTGTAAGTGTGTCTGTGTGTGTGTGTCTGTGTGTGTCTGTGTGTGTAACTGTGTGTGTGTGTCTGTGTGTGTGTCTGTGTGTGTGTATGTGACTGTGTGTGTGTGTGAGTGTGTGTGTCTGTGCGTGTGTGTCTGTGTGTGTCTGTGTGTGTTTCTGTGTGTGTGTCTGTGTGTGTGTCTGTGTGTGTCTGTGCGTGTGTGTCTGTGTGTGTCTGTGTGTGTCTTTGTGTGGTGTGTGTCTGTGTGTGTCTGTGTGTGTGACTGGGTGTGTCTCTGTGTGTGTCTGTGTGTGTGTCTGTGTGTGTGACTGTGTGTGTCTGTGTGTGTGTCTGTGCGTGTGTGTCTGTGTGTGTCTAAGGTGCTCGCCAACACGAGCCTTTCACCATGGTGAAGGAACAGTTCAGGGAGACGGATGTAGCCAAGAAGATGTGAGTTGACACACACACAGACACACAGACACACACAGACACACACATTGACACACTCACTGACACACACACACTGACACAACAACAACAACCGTCATTCGCCACTAATTGGCGGTGACGTCACCACGACGCTTGTGCCAGGCCATGTGCACGTTGAGGCCACGTGAAGTGTCGAACGCCCGCTGGCAGGAGGTCACGGGGCAGACCCAGGTGCCACGGGTCGACTGACTGAGACGACTGAGATGACTGGCTGATGCACCACCTGTGCCCCTTACTGTGCCAACCTGCTGTGCTTTAGCCACCCGGCACTCCGCTCGTTGTTGTGAGCATCGCTCCTCCGCCCTCCGTTGTTGTTGGAGGGCGACTGCCTCCAACTGCCCAGTAGCGTCCTTCACGAGCCTCCTCCACAGAGGCCGATCTTGACACCGCTGGTACCAGTCATCGGCAAGTCCACTCAGCTCCCCGTCCTCCTGTACCACATCACTGCATCTCTTTTCTAGCCCGTGCCGCGCCGGTTTAGCCCCCTCGATCCGGCCGAACAAAAGCTGTTTCGGCATGCGGTGGCTGAGCATGCAGGCTACGTGACCCAGCCAACGCAGCCTTGCCTGCCGGAGGAGCTAACCGATGGGACCTCACACAATCCAGCCTGGTTAAACCCAGGATGGATTGTAGGCAGGCTAGCCTAAATGTTTCTAACTGGTGAAGATGTTCCATTAGGGGGGTCCACGTTTTGCAAGCGTAGAGAAGGGAGGGAATAACTGTGGCCGAGAAGACCTGAAGCTTAGTGCGGAGCGACAGACCAGGTAGCTTCCACACAGCGTTACGCAATCGATGAAAAGATATTGCCGCTCGACTGATTCGGAGTGAGACCTCTGCTGTTAAACTGGAGCCGGTCATAAGCACACTGCCCAGGTATGGGAAACTCTCCACTCTCTCCACAACTGCCCCATCACCGATTGGGAGTTGTGGGGGTGGAGTGTCCGATGGTACAAAATACCCAGGCAGGTGCTTAGTTTTGGTGGGGCTGAGCAGCTTTTACCAAATCATCAGCATACATAACGTGGTTGAGCAATAGAGAGCCATCCCTTGACCGCACCCGGGCATCGATCAGCCTCCCATTATATCTGCACCATATGGAGATTCCCCCGGCACAGCTATTGAAGGCTTCACACACACACAAAGATCCCCCATATAGCCTTAACAGACTGTAGGGGCAAGTGCTGTTAGCGAGCACCTATGAAGGCCGGAACGGTACACGAGGGGGTGGGTGGCCAGCACCACCCCCGACCACCTTTGTCTCCCTAGTGGCAATGTTTACTACACTACACCGCACGAGGTACTCATTTGAGGCTGAGTCGACCTAGGGGAGGCCTGGGACCGGTTCAGATAATCGTCACTGGTGTTGGCCGTGAGCGGGAATCAAACCCGGGTCGCCAGGTTCATAGCGCAGCGCGCTAACCGCTACACTACCGCTCATACACACAGACACACACACAGACACACACAGACACACACAGACGCACACAGACGCACACAGACACACACACAGATACACACACACAGACACACACAGAAACACACAGTAACGATCTCTACTGTCCCACCACCAGAAGCCACATCTGCTTCGGCCTGCAGTCGGCCGAGCAGATGAAGCGACAATCTCACATCCACGTGGTGAGTAAAAGTCTCTACTCACAAGACGGTGCCCACAGCCCCGTGCCCTACGGAGTGCTGGATCACCGCATGGTGAGTCTACCGCTGTCACTGCCACACCGCCATCACTACTATTACACTACTATCACTACTATTACACTACTATCACTACTATTACACTACTATCACTACTACTATCACTACTATTACACTACTATCACTACTATTATCACTACTATTACACTACTATTACTACTATCACTACTACTATTACACTACTATCACTACTATTACACTACTATCACTACTATTACACTACTATCACTACTACTATCACTACTACTATCACTACTATTACACTACTTTCACTACTACTATCACTACTATTACACTACTATCACTACTACTATCACTACTATTACACTACTATTACACTACTATCACTACTACTATCACTACTATCACTACTATTACACTACTATCACTACTATTACACTACTATCACTACTATTACACTACTATCACTATTACTATCACTACTATTACACTTCTATCACTACTATTACACTACTATCACTACTATTACACTACTATCACTACTATTACACTACTATCACTATTACTATCACTACTATTACACTTCTATCACTACTATTACACTACTATTACACTACTATCACTACTATTACACTACTACTATCACTACTATTATACTACCACTATCACTACTATTATACTACCATCACTACTATTACACTACTATCACTACTATTATACTACTGTAGTGGAGTAAAAGATACGCATAGGTAAATTGGCCACATACAGTACATACAGACATACAAGCAGAGTGGGTCACATAAGGTCGAGCAGGTGGTGGAGTCACGGGTGGCGTAAACAAACTGAAGTAATTAAGGGAGTCATGGCACGAGGGCTGTGATTGGTCGAGAGGCTGTTAGCGCTAAGTGGCGGCGCCGCGAAGTCTGGACCGTTGGACAGGTGCGAGCTGGCGGGAAAATGCCAGCGAGCCAAGTGGCAATTAATTCAGGCTAATTGGAAAGGGGATTAAACGCTAGGTGATTTGAACGGGGAGTTGAGTTGTTGTTGGGCAGTTGTTGGCGAGAGGTGGAGAGATGCGAAGAAGAGAGCCGGCAAATGTTAGGGAAGAATAGATTGAGAGCCGAACCCAAAGGACAGTAAATAGCGATAGGGAGAGTTAGCGTTAGCAGAGAGGTAGGTACGGGGGAGATAGGTACAGGGAGAGTTACAGATAGAGTCACTGTGTGTGCGGAGATAGATAGAGTCACTGTGTTTGAATAGAGTCACTGTGTGTGAATAGATAGATAGAGTCACTGTGTGTGAATAGACAGACAAGTCACTGTGTGTGCGGAGATAGAGAAAGTCACTGCGTGTGAAGAGACAGAGGAGACACTGTGTGTGAGGAGATAGCTAGAGTCACTGTGTGTGAATAGACAGGCAAGTCACTGTGTGTGAGGAGATAGAGAAAGTCACTGTGTGTGAATAGACAGGCAAGTCACTGTGTGTGAGGAGATAGAGAAAGTCACTGTGTGAATAGATAGTGGAGACACTGTGTGTGAGGAGATAGAGAAAGTCACTGTGTGAAGAGATAGTGGAGACACTGTGTGTGACTAGACAGACAGATCACTGTGTGTGAGGAGATAGAGAGAGAACCACTGTGTGTGGAAGGAGGATGAGCGGATGGTGCTGAGGTGAATCGGAGTGTCCGAGTTGGCGGAGCGCGAAGAGGAGAATTACTGTGTGTGTGTGTGTGTGCGGAACGATTGAAATAAAAGTGACGGTGGAAGAAGGCGGTTGTCGTCCGAGTAAATTCACGGCACTACACTACCATCACTACTATTACACTACTATCACTACTATTACACTACTATCACTACTATTACACTACCATCACTACTATTACACTACTATTACACTACTATCACTACTATTACACTACTATTACACTACTATCACTACTATTACACTACCATCACTACTATTACACTACTATCACTACTATTACACTACTATCACTACTATTACACTACCATCACTACTATTACACTACTATCACTACTATCACTACTATTACACTACTATCACTACTACTATCACTACTATTACACTACCATCACTACTATTACACTACTATCACTACTACTATCACTACTATTACACTACTATCACTACTATTACACTATTATCACACTACCATCACTACTATTACACTACTATCACTACTACCATCACTACTATTACACTACTATTACACTACTATTACACTACTATCACTACTATTACACTACTATTACACTACTATCACTACTATTACACTACTATCACTACTACTATAACTACTATTACACTACTATCACTACTATTACACTATTATCACTACTATTACTACTATTACACTACCAACACTACTATTACACTACTATCACTACTATTACACTACTATCACTACTATTACACTACTATCACTACCATTACACTATCATACTACTATCACTACTATTACACTATCACTACTATTACATTACCATCACTACTATTATCACTACTATTATCACTACTATCTGTGTCTCTGTCTCACTGTCTCTGTCTCTCTGTCTCACTGTGTCTCTGTCTCACTGCGTCTCTGTCTCTATGTCTCTGTCTGTCTCACTTTGTCTCTGTGTCTCTGTCTCTCTGTCTCTCTGTCTCTGTCTCACTGTGTCTCTGTCTGTCTCAGGGCACGAGTGACAAGGAGCGGCCGTGCCTCTCCTGCTCCAAGTCTCACTTTGTCTCTGTCTCTCTGTTTCTGTGTCTATGTCTCACTGTCTCTGTGTCTCTGTCTGTCTCACTGTGTCTCTGTCTCACTGTGTCTCTGTCTGTCTCACTGTGTCTCTGTCTATCTCACTGTCTCTGTCTCTGTGTCTCTGTCTATCTCACTGTGTCTCTGTCTCACTGTGTCTCTGCCTCTCTGTCTCTCTGTCTCTGTGTCTCTGTGTCTCTGTCTCACTGTGTCTCTGTCTCACTGTGTCTCTGTCTCTCTGTCTCTCTGTCTCTGTGTCTCTGTCTCACTGTGTCTCTGTCTCACTGTGTCTCTGTCTCACTGTGTCTCTGTCTGTCTCACTGTGTCTCTGTCTGTCTCACTGTGTCTCTGTCTCACTGTGTCTCTGTCTGTCTCAGGGCACGAGTGACAAGGAGCGGCCATGCCTCTCCTGCTCCAAGTCTCTTGCCGACTGTCCCGGCCACTTTGGCTTCCTGGATCTGGAGCTGCCTTGCTTCCACGTCGGATACTTCAAGGCTCTCATCGGAGTTCTGCAGGTGACCCAGGGGAGATGTTGACTACCTCGCCCGGTACGCAGGAGGTCACGGGTTGCATCCCGTGTACCCTGTTAGCTGACTACCTCGCCTGGTACGCAGGAGGTTGCGGGTTGCATCCCGTGTACCCTGTGAGTCGCTGACTAGCTGGGGAGATGTTGACTACCTCGCCTGGTACGCAGGAGGTTGCGGGTTCCATCCTTGTGTGTGTGCGTGTAGATGATCTGCAAGTCTTGTGTATGTATATACAGTATATATTATGTAGTATATATAGTATGTATATGTGTGTGTGTGCGTGTAGATGATCTTCAAGTCTTGTGTATGTATATACAGTATATATCATATAGTATTTATATAGTATGTATATATGTGTGTGTGTGTGTGTGCGTGTATATGATCTGCAAGTCTTGTGTATGTACATATTATATAGTAAATATATAGTATGTATATATATGTGTGTGCGTGTAGATGATCTGCAAGTTTTGTGTATATATTATATAGTATATATAATGTATATATATGTGTGTGTGTGTGTAGATGATCTGCAAGTCTTGTGTATGTATATATAGTATATATTATGTAGTATATATAGTATGTATATATATGTGTGTGCGTGTAGATGATCTGCAAGTCTTGTGTATGTATATATAGTATATATATGTGTGTGTAGATGATCTGCAAGTCTTGTGTATGTATATATAGTATATATTATATAGTATATATAGTATGTATATATGTGTGTGCGTGTATATGATCTGCAAGTCTTGTGTATGTACATATTATATAGTAAATATATAGTATGTATATATGTGTGTGCGTGTAGATGATCTGCAAGTCTTGTGTATGTATATATAGTATATATTATATAGTATATATAGTATGTATATGTGTGTGTGTGTAGATGATCTGCAAGTCTTGTGTATGTATATATAGTATATAATATATAGTATTTATATAGTATGTATATATGTGTGTTTGTGTGTGTGCGTGTAGATGATCTGCAAGTCTTGTGTATGTATATATAGTATATATTATATAGTATATATAGTATATATTATATAGTATATATAGTATATATTGTATAGTATATATAGTATATATTATATAGTATATATAATGTATATATGTGTGTGTGTGCGTGTAGATGATCTGCAAGTCTTGTGTATGCATATATAGTATATATTATATAGTATATATAATGTATATAATGTATATGTGTGTGTGTGTGCGTGTAGATGATCTGCAAGAGCTGCTCCCGCGTGCTGCTGCGTCCCGCTGAGCGCTCTGCCCTGCTCGAGTCTCTGCGGCGCCCTGGCCTCAAATACCTCCACAAACGCTCGCTCAAACGCACGGCAACGGAGCGCTGCCGCAAGACGCAGCGGTGTCCTCACTGTGGAGCTGTCAACGGTGACGTCTCTCTGTGTGTCTGTGTGTGTCTGTGTGTCTGTGTGTGTCTGTGTGTGTCTGTGTGTGTGTGTGTCTGTGTGTGTCTGTGTGTGTGTCTGTGTGTGTGTGTGTGTCTGTGTGTGTGTGTCTGTGTGTGTGTCTGTGTCTGTGTGTGTGTCTGTGTCTGTGTGTGTCTGTGTGTGTCTGTGTGTGTCTGTGTGTCTGTGTGTGTGTGTCTGTGTGTGTGTGTCTGTGTGTGTGTGTCTGTGTGTCTGTCTGTGTGTCTGTCTGTGTGTGTGTCTGTGTGTGTGTCTGTGTGTGTGTCTGTGTGTGTGTGTGTGTCTGTGTGTGTCTGTGTGTGTGTGTCTGTGTGTGTCTGTGTGTCTGTCTGTGTGTCTGTGTGTGTCTTGTGTGTCTGTGTGTCTGTCTGTGTGTCTGTTTGTGTCTGTCTGTGTGTGTGTCTGTGTGTCTGTCTGTGTGTCTGTCTGTGTGTGTCTGTGTGTCTGTCTGTGTGTGTGTGACCGGCTCCAGTTTAACAGCAGAGGTCTCACTCCGAATCAGTCGAGCGGCAATATCTTTTCATTTGTTGCGTAACGCTGTGTGGAAGCTACCTGGTCTGTCGCTCCGCACTAAGCTTCAGGTCTTCTCGACCACGGTCATTCCCTCCCTTCTCTACGCTTGAGAAACATGGACCCCCCTAATGGAACATCTTCGCCGGTTAGAAACATTTAGGCTGGCCTGCCTACGATCCATCCTGGGTTTAACCAGACTGGATTGTGTGAGGACCTCAGAAATCCTTGAAAGATCTGGGCAAGGTCCCATCGGTGAGCTCCTCCGGCAGGCAAGGCTGCGATGGCTGGGTCATGTAGCCCACATGCCCAGCCACCGCATGCCGAAACAGCTTTTGTTCGGCCGGATCGAGGGGGCTAAACGGGCGCGGCACGGGCTAGAGAAGAGATGGAGTGATGTGGTACAGAAGGACGTGGAGCTGAGTGGACTTGCCGATGACTGGTACCAGCGGTGTCAAGATCGGCCTCTGTGGAGGAGGCTCGTGAAGGATGCTACTGGGCAGTTGGAGGCAGTCGCCCTCCAACAACAACGGAGGGCGGAGGAGCGACGCTCACACCAACGAGCGGAGCGCCGGGTGGCTAAAGCACAGCAGGTTGGCACAGTAGGGGGCACAGGTGGTGCATCAGCCAGTCATCTCAGTCAGTCGACCCGTGGCACCTGGGTCTGCCCCGTGACCTGCCAGCGGGCGTTCGACACTTCACGTGGCCTCAGGGTGCACATGGCCTGGCACAAGCGTCGTGGGGACGTCACCGCCACTTAGTGGGTGAATGGCGGTTATTGTGTGACTGTGTGTGTGTATCTGTCTGTGTGTGTGTCTGTGTGTGTCTGTGTCTTTGTGTGTGTCTATATGTCTGTGTGTCTGTGTGTCTATATGTCTGTGTGTCTGTGTGTGTCTGTGTGTGTCTGTGTGTGTCTGTGTGCGTCTGTGTGTGTCTATATGTCTGTGTGTGTGTCTCTAGGCGTGGTGAAGAAGTGTGGCCTCTTGAAGATTGTCCACGAGAGGTTTCGTGCCACCGCCCGCAAGGCCGACCCCGAGGTGGCCGCTCACCATGCCAGCTTCAGCACGGCCATCGAACACAACCGGGAAATCGAACCTCTCCTCTCACGCGCACAGGTGAGTCGCCCGCTCACCACAGCGCTCACCAACCCACTCACCCACTCACCCACCCACCCACCCACTCAGCCACTCACCCACCCACCCGCTCAGCCACTCACCCACCCACCCACTCACCCACTAACCCACCCACTCACCCGCTAACCCACCCACTCACCCGCTAACCCACCCACCCACTTACCCACCCACCCACTCACCCACCCACCCACTCACCCACCCACCCACTCACCCACCCACCCACTCACCCGCTAACCCACCCACCCACTTACCCACCCACTCACTCACCCACCCACTCACCCACCCACCCACCCACTCACCCACCCACCCACCCACTCACCCACTCACCCACCCACTCACTCACCCACCCACCCACCCACTCACCACCCACCCACTCACCCACTCACCCACCCACCCACTCACCCACCAACCCACTCACCCACTTACCCACTCACCCACTTACCCACCCACCCACTCACCCACCCACCCACCCACTCACCCACTCCCCCACCCACCCACTCACTCACTCACCCACCCACTCACTCACTAACCCACTCACCCACTAACCCACCCACTCACTCACTCAACCACCCACTCACCCGCTAACCCACCCACCCATTACCCACCCACCCACTCACCCACCCACCCACTCACTCACCCACCCACTCATCCACTAACCCACTCACCCACTAACCCACCCACCCACCTACCCACTCACCCACTCACCCACCCACCCCCTCACCCCCTCAGGAGACCCTGAATCCCCTGGTGGTCCTCGCCCTGCTGGAGCGAATCCCCGACGAGGATGTCCCCCTGTTGCTCATGAGCACCGGTCCATCCGCAACACCCCCCGTATCCGCCGCGGCCGCCCCCGTATCCGCCGCGGCCGCCCCCGTATCCGCCGCGGCCGCCCCCGTATCCGCCGCGGCGTGGTCGCTGGGCCGTCCCGAGGATCTCCTCCTCCGGCGTCTTCCGGTGCCGCCGCTGTGCGTCCGCCCGTCGGTGGTGAGCGACGTAAAGTCGGGAACCAACGAAGACGACCTCACGATGAAGCTGACGGAGATCTTGTTCCTCAACGACGTCATTAAGAAGGTGACTCAGTCAGTCACTCAGTCAGTCACTCACTCACTCACTTAGTTACTCAGTCAGTCACTCAGTCACTCAGTCATTCACTCAGTCAGTCACTCAGTCAGTCACTTAGTTACTCAGTCACTCAGTCAGTCAGTCGCTCAGTCAGTCACTCAGTCACTCAGTCAGTCACTCAGTCACTCAGTCAGTCACTCAGTCACTCAGTCAGTCACTCAGTCAGTCACTCAGTCAGTCACTCAGTCACTCAGTCAGTCACTCAGTCACTCAGTTGCTCAGTCATCCACTCAGTTGCTGAGTCATCCACTCACTCACCATACACTCCCTCTCTCTCTGTCTCTCTCTGTGTCTCTCTGTCTCTCTCTGTCTCTCTCTCTGTCTCTCTCTGTCTCTCTCTGTGTCTCTCTCTGTCTCTCTCTGTGTCTCTCTGTGTCTCAGCACCGTGCGTCAGGCGCTAAGAGCCAGATGATCATGGAGGATTGGGACTTTTTGCAGCTGCAATGTGCCCTCTACATCAACAGCGAACTCTCCGGAATTCCTCTCAACATGGCGCCCAAAAAGTGGACCAGAGGATTTGTGCAGAGGCTCAAGGGGAAGCAAGGTGGTGGTGGTGTTGTTGTTGTTGTGTGTCACTGTGTGTGTCACTGTGTATGTGTGTGTGTCACTGTGTGCGTGTGTCACTGTGTGTGTCACTGTGTGTGTGTGTGTGTCAGTCCGGCAAATCAACCCCCTACCTCCTCGCGGTGCCGGACGGCCAACTCTGTCGTGGACAGTGCTGTGGGGGGAGGGCTAATTCCGATTGGCTCCTCCCCTCATGGCGTCTGTGACCACCACAGTGGCTAAACGGGGGCTCTGGACGGGTGCGAGGAGCTGGTAACCCCTCTACCTTCAAAAATTTACCGCTAAAATATGTAACTAATAAGCTTGTGCCGGAGGCCCCGGGGGGACAGGCGTCTATGATGTTTCCTGGCCAAACCCCAATTGGCGGAGCCAGGCGATTGAATCTCTACCCTCGGGGCTCCTCCAGAAACAACAAAAAGCCACTTCGTGTGGCTACGTGGAATGTTCGAATGCTCACTGCGGAGGAGAGGCTGCCACTCCTCTGTTGAGAGCTGGACCGGTACCGCCTGGATTTCTGTGGCATTCAGGAGGTCCGGTGGACCGGTTCTGGCTCCTGCCACCATGAGGGGTGGACAGTCCTCTACTCGGGGCAGCAGACTGCCAAACAACAGGGTGTGGCTCTTCTTTTGAACAAAAGAATGAAGGGGGCGTGGGAGCGTGGCGGTGAGGTGTGGGAAGCTGTAAGCCCCAGGCTACTTTGGGCTCGCATTCCCATCAATCGGAGGCGAGGAGTGGTGGTCGTGGTTACTTATGCCCCCACCGAAGACGAACATCCGTGGAGGGATGCAGGCAAAGCCGATGAGTCAGATGCCTTCTATGACCTCCTGTCACAGGTGCTGGCTAAAGTGGCCCCTCGGGATAGAGTCATCATGTTGGTGACTTCAATGCCCGAGTTGGTCATGATACTGGCACCTGGTCTGGAGTGATTGGAGGGCATGGGCCAGATCAGCTCAATAACAACGGTAGGAGGCTGCTAGATTTTTGTGCAGCCCATGGGCTTGTAATTACCAACACGCTGTTCCGGCATCGGCGCATCCACACAACATCATAGATGCATGCCGGGTCCAAGCAAGAACATCTGCTGGACTACATAGTGACGGACCAGCGGATACGAGCCCATGTCCTTGACACGAGGACCTACCGTGGAGCTGATCTGCCCTCTGACCATCGACTAGTCATCTGTAAGATGCGCCTGCCATTCTTCCACTCCCGTGGTGGGTGTACACCCAGGACCCCATTCCAACCTAAAGTGACCTGATCTCAGTTTTCTGATGAAAGTTTGGATGCGAGAATTTCATCATCGCTTGCGGTTGGGGTTGGCATCGTCCCCCACTCCTTCTGATGTCGAGGGTAAATGGGCGAGGTTTAGGACTGTGACTCATGCAGCTGCATTGGCTGCTTTAGGTACGCGGTCCAGACCTCCCCAGAGACCCTGGCTGACAGAGGAGGTGTTCAGGATAGTTGAGAAAAAGTGACAGGTCCACTCTCATCGGCTACAGAATCCCACGTCAGAGAATGAGGAGGCTTACCGCAGCCTTCGCTCGGAGGTTCGGAGAGCCGTGAGGCGCTGCAAGGATGGGTGGTGGTCGCGGATTGCTGAGGAGATGGAGTCTGCCTCCGTGGCCCGTGATCACAAATCTCTATTTAACTCCAAAAAAGTAACCTGCAGCACCACACCTATTACCATCATTAGGGGACAAAACGGTGATCCAATCTCCGACCCCCAGGAACAATTTCCAGATTTGCTGAGCATTTCTGTTAGGTCCTGGGGGAGGGGAAATCCCTCCGCCAGGAAAACATCGTGGCACAAAGTGTGGATGACCCTGCTGATGCTGCGGTGCCTCATATATTGGAGGAAGTCACCCCCTGTGAGTGGCTGGCTGAGGTGCCATCTGTTGAGGAAGTACAGAAGGCGATCCGGAGTCTGAGACCAGGAAAGGCACTGGGCAGAGATGGTCTCCGAGGGAGGGTGGCGTTTGTGCACAGACTGCCCTATATGGCATCATAACAACAGTCTGGACCACTGGACGGGTTCCGCAGGATTGGAAGGATGCCCTGGTGGTCCCCCTCTTTAAGAAGGGGGACCGCACAGACTGTAACAACTACAGGGGCATCTCACTCCTCAGTGTGCCAGGAAAGGTCCTGGCAAGGATTGTTCAACATCGCCTTGCCAGGCACGCTGAGGAGAGGCTTGCGGAGCCCCAATGCGGTTTCAGGAAAGGGCGGTCCTGCACAGATGCCATTTTTTCTGTCCGTCTGCTACAGCAGAGGTGTAGGGAATTCCAGCAAGACCTACATCTCTGCTTTATTGACCTGGTCAAGGCCTATGATACCATCAGAAGGCCTGGGCTCTGGGTTCTTCGTGCTTTCGGAGTCCCTGACCCTTTGCTCATGATCATTTAGGACCTTCATGATGGTGAGCGGGCCCAGGTAAAACTTCGTGGCCGGGAGTCCGAGCCATTCCCTGTACACCTTGGGGTGCGACGGGGATGTCCTCTGGCTCCCACATTATTTAACATCTATTTTGACCACATAGTTCGTGAAGCCTTCAATAGCTGTACCGGGGGAATCTCCATTTGGTACAGATATAATGGGAGGCTGATCGATGCCCGGCTGCGGTCAAGGGATGACTCCCTATTGCTCAACCATGTTATGTATGCCAATGATTTTTGTAACAGCTGCTCATTCAGTGGAGGAGTTGGAGATGCTGCTGCTGAGACTGGAGCGTGACACTAAGAAATGGGGCCTTACCATCAGCCCCACCAAAACTAAGCACCTGCCTGGGTATTGTGTACCATTGGACACTCCACCCCCACAACTCCTAATCGGTGATGGGGCAGTTGTGGAGAGAGTGGAGAGTTTCCCATACCTGGGAAGTGTGCTTATGACCGGTTCCAGTTTAACAGCAGAGGTCTCACTCCGAATCAGTCGAGCGGCAATATCTTTTCATCGGTCGCGTAACGCTGTGTGGAAGCTACCTGGTCTGTCGCTCCGCACTAAGCTTCAGGTCTTCTCGGCCACGGTCATTCCCTCCCTTCTCTACGCTTGCGAAAAGTGGACCCCCCTAATGGAACATCTTCGCCGGTTTGAAACATTTAGGCTGGCCTGCCTACGATCCATCCTGGGTTTAACCAGGCTGGATTGTGTGAGGAGCTCACAAATCTTTGAAAGATCTGGGCACGGTCCCAACAGTGAGCTCCTCCGGCGGGCAAGGCTGCGTTGGCTGGGTCATGTAGCCCGCATGCCCAGCCACCGCATGCCGAAACAGCTTTTGTTCGGCCGGATCGAGGGGGCTAAACGGGCGCGGCACGGCTAGAGAAGAGATGGAGTGACGTGGTACAGGAGGACGTGGAGCTGAATGGACTTGCCGATGACTGGTACCAGCGGTGTCAAGATCGGCCTCTGTGGAGGAGGCTCGTGAAGGACGCTACTGGGCAGTTGGAGGCAGTCGCCCTCCAACATCAACGGAGGGCGGAGGAGCGACGCTCACAACAACGGGCGGAGCACCGGGTGGCTAAGGCACAGCAGGTTGGCACAGTAGGGGGCACAGGTGGTGCATCAGCCAGTCATCTCAGTCATCTCAGTCGACCCGTGGCACCTGGGTCTGCCCCGTGACCTCCTGCAGCGGGCGTTCGACACTTCACTTGGCCTCAAGGTGCACATGGCCTGGTACAAGCGTCGTGGTGACGTCACCGCCACTTAGTGGCGAATGGCGGTTATTGTTGTGTGTGTGTGTCACTGTTTGTGTGTGTGTCACTGTGTGTGTGTGTGTCACTGTGTGTGTGTCACTGTGTGTGTGTCACCGCAGGGCGTTTCCGTGGCAACCTGTCCGGCAAGCGTGTTGACTTCTCTAGCCGGACGGTGATCTCCCCGGACCCAAACTTACGCATTGACGAGGTCGCTGTACCGGTTCACGTGGCGCGCATTCTCACCTACCCAGAGCGGGTGAGTGGGTGGTGAGTGGGTGGTGAGTGAGTGAGTGGGTGCTGAGTGGGTGGTGAGTGAATGAGTGGGTGAGTGAGTGGGTGAGTGAGTGGGTGAGTGGGTGGGTGAGTGGGTGTGTGTGAGTGTGTGTCTGTGTGTGTGTGTGTCTGTGTGTGTATCTGTGTGTGTGTGTCTGTGGTCAGGTGACCAAAGCGAACCTGGAGCTGATGAGGAAGTTGGTGATGAGAGGCTGTGACGAGCACCCTGGGGCCAACTTCATCCAGCAGAGACAGAACAACATGAAGAGGTGACACACACAGACACACACAGACACACACACACACAGACACACACACAGACACACACACACAGACACACACACAGACACACACACATACAGACACTCAACGCCCCCGTGACCGCTCTCCGCCCCCTGTGCAGGTTCCTGAGGTACGGCAACCGCGAGAAGATGGCGCAGGAGCTCCGCTTGGGCGACATTGTGGAGAGGCATCTCATGGATGGTGACGTGGTGCTCTTTAATCGTCAGCCGTCGCTGCACAAGCTGAGCATCATGGCTCACATTGTGAGTGGTACAGAGAGAGAGTGAGAGAGTGGGCGAGAGAGAGAGTGGGTGAGAGAGTGGGAGAGAGAGTGGGGGAGAGAGAGAGAGTGAGAGAGTGAGCAAGAGAGAGTGGGAGAGAGAGAGAGTGGGGGAGAGTGGGAGACTGGGCGAGAGAGAGTGGGGGAGAGTGGGAGAGAGTGTGGGAGAGAGAGAGTAGGAGAGCCTTTTGACTTTTAACAACTTTTATTGCTGCCAGCAGCAAAAGCACTGGAGGCGATTTCGATATGAAATAGACAAAGTCACCAGCAACACAAATGAAAATAAACGTTACAAATCCACGCGCTGTGGCGCTAAAAAGGACCGCGCACAACACGAAAGAAAAGTCACGTGGTGGTGGTGGTGGTGGTCATTGCGCACGCCACGTTGACGAGCGAGCGCTTCAGAAGGTGAACACGAGGGTGCCGTCCACGCTAGTACAGAGGGCTTTTCCGGCTCCCCAGCGTTCGAAGAAGACGTGCACATCACCGACATGTGTGTGGTACGTGGCGTGCTCCAGTCGAAGCCGCGCCTTAAGCAGGCCCCTGAACACTGGACGCACGGAGCAGCCGTCAGTGTCACCTTCCAGCATCTTTTTCCTCGTTCTGTACACCGCCATCTTCGCCTGAGCACAGGCTAAGTTGGCGAGGTCATGGCGCTTGTTAGCCAGGTAAGGCACCACCCCATATACGAAGCTGCTGTTGTAGAAGAGAGAGAGTGGGAGAGTGGGAGAGAGAGTGGGAGAGAGAGTGGGAGAGAGAGTGAGAGAGAGAGTGAGAGAGTGGGAGAGAGAGTGAGAGTGGGTGAGAGAGAGTGGGAGAGAGAGAGAGTGGGAGAGAGAGAGAGTGGGAGAGAGAGTGGGAGAGAGAGAGAGTGGGAGAGAGAGAGAGTGGGTGAGAGAGAGTGGGAGAGAGAGAGTGGGAGAGAGAGAGTGGGAGAGAGAGAGTGGGAGAGAGAGAGTGGGAGAGAGAGAGAGTGGGAGAGAGAGAGAGAGTGGGAGAGAGAGAGAGAGTGGGAGAGAGAGAGAGAGTGGGAGAGAGAGAGTGGGGGAGAGACTTTGACTTTCAAGACACTTTTATTGCTGCCAGAAGCAGTGGCGATTTTGATACAAAAACAAAGTCACAAACGGCAAAGTGACCAAAACAGAACGGTAAAAAATAAACCGCGCGGCGCATCTGGCACCACGAGCGTGGCCACGTGGCGGCCGAGCACGCGACAAGGGGAAGCGGAGGGAGCGTTTCGGCCCAGTGGAGGCTCGTCCGGGACCTGCCCGCCGGTATTTGACCGAAGACGAAGCGTCACCTGCGTCGGATGGAAGACGTGTGTGTGTCCGTGTGTGTCCGTGTGTGTCCGTGTGTGTGTCTGTCTGTGTGTGTGTGTGTACGTGTGTGTCTGTAGGCGCGAGTGAAGCCCCACCGGACGTTCCGCTTCAACGAGTGCGTGTGCACGCCGTACAACGCGGACTTTGACGGCGACGAGATGAACCTCCACCTGCCCCAGACGGAGGAGGCCAAGGCGGAGGCGCTCATCCTGATGGGGGTGAGAGAGGGGGGCGATGTTGACTACCTCTCCAGGTACGCGGGAGGTAGTCGGTCTCGTCTGTGTGTGTGTGGTGTGTGTCTGGGTGTGTGTGGTGTGTGTGTGTATGTATGTGTGTGTGTGTCTGTGTGTGTGTAGTGTGTCTGTGTGTGTGTGTCTGTGTGTGATGTGTGTGTCTGTGTGTGTGTGTGTCTGTGTGGTGTGTGTCTATGTCTGGGTGTGTATGGTGTGTGTCTGTGTGTGTGTGTATGTGTCAGTGTGTGTGTCTGTGTGTGTGTGTGGTGTGTGTCTGTGTGTGGTGTGTGTGTGTGTCTGTGTGTGGTGTGTGTGTGTGTGTCTGTGTGTGGTGTGTGTGTGTCTGTGCCTCAAGGTGCACATGGCCTGGCACAAGCGTCGTGGTGACGTCACCGCCACTTAGTGGCGAATGGCGGTTGTTGTTGTGTTTGTGTGGTGTGTGTCTATGTGTGGTGTTTGTATGTAGGTGTGTGTGTGTCTGTGTGTGTGTGTGTGTGGTGTTTGACTGTGTGGTGTGTGTGTGTGTGTCACTGTGTGTGTGAGCGGTAGTGTAGCGGTTAGCGCTACGCTGCGCTACGAACCTGGTGCCCCAGGTTAGTTTCCCGCTCACGGCCAACACCAGTGACGATTAGCTGAACCGGTCCCGGGCTTCCCCTAGGTCGACTCAGCCTCAAATGAGTACCTTGTGCGGTGTTTAGTTAACATCGCCACTAGGGGAGACAAAGGCGGCCGGGCGTGGTGCTGGCCACCCACCTCCTCGTGCGCCGTTCCGGCCTTCATAGGTGCTCGCGAACAGCACTTGCCCCTACAGTCTGTTACAGGCTATACGGGGGATCTTTGTCTTTGTGTCAGACTAAGGCTAATCTCGTGACACCACGGAATGGTGAACCGCTCATCGCAGCCATCCAGGACTTCATCACCGGTAGGCCGACACTCTCTGTGTCTCTGTCTGTGTCTCTGTCTGTGTCTCTCGCTGTGTCTCTCGCTGTGTCTCTGTGTCTCTGTCTGTGTCTCTCTCTGTGTCTCTCGCTGTGTCTCTCTTTGTCTTTGTGTCTCTGTCTGTGTCTATCTCTGTGTCTCTGTCTCTCTGTGTCTCTGTGTGTCTGTCTGTGTCTGTCTGTGTCTCTCTCTGTCTGTGTCTCTCTCTGTGTCTGTGTCTCTGTGTCTCTCTCTCTGTGTCTCTCTGTGTCTCTGTGTCTCTGGCTGTCTCTCTCTGTCTCTCTCTTTCTCTCTGTCTGTGTCTCTCTCTGTGTCTCTGTCTCTCTGTGTCTCTCTCTGTGTCTCTGTCTCTCTGTGTCTCTCTCTGTGTCTCTGTCTTTCTGTGTCTCTGTGTCTCTCTCTGTGTCTCTGTCTCTCTGTGTCTCTGTCTCTCTCTTTGTGTCTCTGTCTCTCTGTGTCTCTATGTCTCTCTCTGTGTCTCTCTCTGTGTCTCTGTCTGTGTCTATGTGTGTCTGTCGCTGTGTCTCTGTGTCTAAGTGTGTGTCTGTCTCTATGTGTGTGTCTCTGTGTCTATGTGTGTCTGACCGGCTCCAGTTTAACAGCAGAGGTCTCACTCCGAATCAGTCGAGCGGCAATATCTTTTCATCAGTTGCGTAATGCTGTGTGGAAGCTACCTGGTCTGTTGCTCCGCAATAAGCTTCAGGTCTTCTCGGCCACGGTAATTCCCTCCCTTCTCTACGCTTGCGAAACGTGGACCCCCGGTTAGAAACATTTAGGCTAGCCTGCCTATGATCCATCCTGGGTTTAACCAGGCTGGATTGTGTGAGGAGCTCACAAATCCTTGAAAGATCTGGGCAAGGTCCCATCGGTGAGCTCCGGCAGGCAAGGCTGCGTTGGCTGGGTCATGTAGCCCGCATGCCCAGCCACCGCATGCCCGAAACAGCTTTTGTTCGGCCGGATTGAGGGGGCTAAATGGGCGCGGCACGGGCTAGAGAAGAGATGGAGTGATGTGGTACAGGAGGACGTGGAGCTGAGTGGACTTGCCGATGACTGGTACCAGCGGTGTCAAGATCGGCCTCTGTGGTAGAGGCTCGTGAAGGATGCTACTGGGCAGTCGGAGGCAGTCGCCCTCCAACAACAACGGAGGGCGGAGGAGCGACGCTCACAACAACGAGCGGAGCGCCGGGTGGCTAAAGCACAGCAGGTTGGCACAGTAGGTGGCACAGGTGGTGCATCAGCCAATCATCTCAGTCATCTTAGTCAGTCGACCCGTGGCACTTGGGTCTGCCCGGTGACCTCCTGCCAGCGGGCGTTCGACACTTCTCGTGGCCTCAAAGTGCACATGGCCTGGCACAAGTGTCGTGGTGACGTCACCGCCACTTAGTGGGGAATGGCGGTTGTTGTTGTCTGTGTGTCTATGTGTGTGTGTCTGTGTGTCTATCTAGGTGGCTATCTTCTCCTTCACAAGGACACGTGTCTGTGTGTGTTTATGTGTGTCTTTGTGTGTGTGTCTGTGTGTCTATCTTGGTGGCTATCTTCTCACACACAAGGACACGTGTCTATGTGTGTGTCTATGTGTGTCTATGTGTGTGTGTCTGTGTGTCTATCTAGGTGGCTGTCTTTTCACACACAAGGACACGTGTCTATGTGTGTGTGTCTGTGTGTCTATCTAGGTGGCTATTTTCTCACACACAAGGACACGTGTCTATGTGTGTGTCTATGTGTCTGTGTGTCTATCTAGGTGGCTATCTTCTCACACACACGGACACATGTCTTTGTGTGTGTGTCTATGTGAGTGTGTTTGTGTGTCTATCTAGATGGCTATCTTCTCACACACAAGGACACGTGTCTATGTGTGTGTCTATGTGTCTGTGTGTCTATCTATGTGGTTATCTTCTCACACACAAGAACACGTGTCTATGTGTGTGTCTATGTGTCTGTGTGTCTATCTAGGTGGCTATCTTCTCCTACACAAGGACACGTGTCTATGTGTGTGTTTATGTGTGTCTTTGTGCGTGTGTCTGTGTGTCTATCTAGGTGGCTATTTTCTCACACACAAGCACACGTGTCTATGTGTGTGTCTATGTGTCTGTGTGTCTATCTAGGTGGCTATCTTCTCACACAAAAGGACACGTGTCTATGTGTGTCTATGTGTCTGTGTGTCTATCTAGGTGGTTATCTTCTCACACACAAGGACACGTGTCTATGTGTGTGTCTATGTGTCTGTGTGTCTATCTTGGTGGTTATCTTCTCACACACAAGGACACGTGTCTATGTGTGTGTCTATGTGTCTGTGTGTCTATCTAGGTGGTTATCTTCTCACACACAAGGACACGTGTCTATGTGTGTGTCTATGTGTCTGTGTGTCTATCTAGGTGGTTATCTTCTCACACACAGGGACACGTGTCTTTGTGTGTGTGTGTCTATGTGTGTGTGTTTGTGTGTCTATCTAGATGGCTATCTTCTCACACACAAGGACACGTGTCTATGTGTGTGTCTGTGTGTCTATCTAGGTGGTTATCTTCTCACACACAAGGACACGTGTCTTTGTGTGTGTGTGTCTATGTGCGTGTGTTTGTGTGTCTATCTAGATGGCTATCTTCTCACACACAAGGACACGTGTCTATGTGTGTGTCTATGTGTCTGTGTGTCTATCTAGGTGGTTATCTTCTCACACACAAGGACACGTGTCTATGTGTGTGTCTATGTGTCTGTGTGTCTATCTAGGTGGTTATCTTCTCACACACAAGGACACGTGTTTATGTGTGTGTCTCTGTATCTGTGTCTATCTAGGGGGCTATCTTCTCACACACAAGGACACGTGTCTATGTATGTGTCTATGTGTCTGTGTGTCTATCTAGGTGGTTATCTTCTCACACACAAGGACACGTGTTTATGTGTGTGTCTATGTGTCTGTGTGTCTATCTAGGTGGTTATCTTCTCACACACAAGGACACGTGTTTATGTGTGTGTCTATGTGTTTGTGTGTCTATCTAGGTGGTTATCTTCTCACACACAAGGACACGTGTTTATGTGTGTGTCTATGTGTCTGTGTCTCTATCTAGGTGGCTATCTTCTCACACACAAGGACACGTGTATATGTGTGTGTCTGTGTGTCTATCTAGGTGGCTATCTTCTCACACACAAGGACACGTGTCTATGTGTGTGTCTATGTGTCTGTGTGTCTATCTAGGTGGTTATCTTCTCACACACAAGGACACGTGTCTATGTGTGTGTCTATGTGTCTGTGTGTCTATCTAGGTGGCTATCTTCTACACAAGGACACGTGTCTATGTGTGTGTCTATGTGTCTGTGTGTCTATCTAGGTGGTTATCTTCTCACACACAAGGACACGTGTCTTTGTGTGTGTGTGTCTATGTGTGTGTGTTTGTGTGTCTATCTAGATGGCTATCTTCTCACACACAAGGACACGTGTCTATGTGTGTGTCTATGTGTCTGTGTGTCTATCTAGGTGGCTATCTTCTCACACACAAGGACACGTGTCTATGTGTGTGTCTATGTGTCTGTGTGTCTATCTACGTGGTTATCTTCTCACACACAAGGACACGTGTCTATGTGTGTGTCTATGTGTCTGTGTGTCTATCTAGGTGGTTATCTTCTCACACACAAGGACACGTGTCTATGTGTGTGTCTATGTGTCTGTGTGTCTATCTAGGTGGTTATCTTCTCACACACAGGGACACGTGTCTTTGTGTGTGTGTGTCTATGTGTGTGTGTTTGTGTGTCTATCTAGATGGCTATCTTCTCACACACAAGGACACGTGTCTATGTGTGTGTCTATGTGTCTGTGTGTCTATCTAGGTGGTTATCTTCTCACACACAAGGACACGTGTCTTTGTGTGTGTGTGTCTATGTGTGTGTGTTTGTGTGTCTATCTAGATGGCTATCTTCTCACACACAAGGACACGTGTCTATGTGTGTGTCTATGTGTCTGTGTGTCTATCTAGGTGGTTATCTTCTCACACACAAGGACACGTGTCTTTGTGTGTGTGTCTATGTGTGTGTGTTTGTGTGTCTATCTAGATGGCTATCTTCTCACACACAAGGACACGTGTCTATGTGTGTGTCTATGTGTCTGTGTGTCTATCTAGGTGGTTATCTTCTCACACACAAGGACACGTGTCTATGTGTGTGTCTATGTGTCTGTGTGTCTATCTAGGTGGTTATCTTCTCACACACAAGGACACGTGTTTATGTGTGTGTCTCTGTATCTGTGTCTATCTAGGTGGCTATCTTCTCACACACAAGGACACGTGTCTATGTATGTGTCTATGTGTCTGTGTGTCTATCTAGGTGGTTATCTTCTCACACACAAGGACACGTGTTTATGTGTGTGTCTATGTGTCTGTGTGTCTATCTAGGTGGTTATCTTCTCACACACAAGGACACGTGTCTATGTGTGTGTCTATGTGTCTGTGTGTCTATCTAGGTGGCTATCTTCTCACACACAAGGACACGTGTCTATGTGTGTGTCTATGTGTCTGTGTGTCTATCTAGGTGGCTATCTTCTCACACACAAGGACACGTGTCTATGTGTGTGTCTATGTGTCTGTGTGTCTATTTAGGTGGCTATCTTCTCACACACAAGGACACGTGTCTATGTGTGTGTCTATGTGTCTGTGTGTCTATCTAGGTGGCTATCTTCTCACACACAAGGACACGTGTCTATGTGTGTGTCTATGTGTCTGTGTGTCTATCTAGGTGGTTATCTTCTCACACACAAGGGCACGTGTCTATGTGTGTGTCTATGTGTCTGTGTGTCTATCTAGGTGGTTATCTTCTCACACACAAGGACACGTGTCTTTGTGTGTGTCTATGTGTCTGTGTGTCTATCTAGGTGGTTATCTTCTCACACACAAGGACACGTGTCTATGTGTGTGTCTATGTGTCTGTGTGTCTATCTAGGTGGCTATCTTCTCACACACAAGGACACGTTTTTCGACCGTTCTCGCGCCTCTCAGATTGCTGCCTCCATGCTGGCCGGCTGTGACTCTGCAGTGCGGATAACCCTGCCACGTCCTGCTGTAGTCAAGGTGACACACACACACAGACACACACGCAGACACACACACAGACACGCACGCAGACACACGCAGACACACACACAGATACACACAGACACACACAGACACACAGAGACACACACACACAGACACACACACAGACACACACACACAGCCACACACACAGATACACACAGACACACACACACAGACACACACACGCAGACACACACACGCAGATACACACACAACAACAACACAACAACAAAGGCTATTCGCCACTAAGTGGCGGTGACGTCACCACGATGCTTGTGCCAGGCCATGTGCACCTTGAGGCAACGTGAAGTGTTGAACGCCCGCTGCCAGGAGGTCACGGGGCAGACCCAAGTGCCACGGGTCGACTGACTGAGATGACTGGCTGATGCACCATCTGTGCCCCCTACTGTGCCAACCTGCTGTGCTTTAGCCACCCGGCGCTCCGCTCGTTGTTGTGAGCGTCGCTCCTCCGCCCTCCGTTGTTGTTGGAGGGCGACTGCCTCCAACTGCCCAGTAGCATCCTTCACGAGCCTCCTCCACAGAGACCGATCTTGACACCGCTGGTACCAGTCATCGGCAAGTCCACTCAGCTCCACGTCCTCCTGTACCACATCACTCCATCTCTTCTCTAGCCCGTGCCACGCCCGTTTAGCCCCCTCGATCCGGCCGAACAAAAGCTGTTTCGGCATGCGGTGGCTGGGCATGCGGGCTACATGACCCAGCCAACACAGCCTTGCCTGCCGGAGGAGCTCACCGATGGGACCTTGCCCAGATCTTTCAATGATTTGTGAGCTTCTCACACAATCCAGCCTGCTTAAACCCAGGATGGATCGTAGGCACGCTTGCCTAAATGTTTCTAACCGGCGAAAATGTTCCACTAAGGGGGTCCACGTTTCGCAAGCGTAGAGAAGGGAGGGAATGACCGTGGCCGAGAAGACCTGAAGATTAGTGCGGAGCGACAGACCAGGTAGCTTCCACACAGCGTTACGTAACCGATGAAAGATATTGCCGCTCGACTGATTCGGAGTGAGACCTCTGCTGTTAAACTGGAGCCGGTCATAAGCACACTGCCCAGGTATGGGAAACTCTCCACTCTCTCCACAACTGCCGCATGACCGATTAGGAGTTGTGGGGGTGGAGTATCCGATGGTACAAAATACTCAGGCAGGTGCTTCCGTTTTGGTGGGGATGATGGTAAGGGCCCATCTCTTAGTGGCACGCTCCAGTCTCAGCAGCAGCGTCTCCAACTCCTCCTCTGAATGAGCAGATTTTACCAAATCATCGGCATACATAACGTGGTTGAGCAATAGGGATTCATCCCTTGACCGCACCCGGGCATCGATCAGCCTCCCATTATATCTGTACCAAATGGAGATTCCCCCGGTACAGCTATTGAAGGCTTCACGAACTACATGGTCAAAATAGTTGTTAAATAATGTGAGAGCCAGAGGACATCTCTGTCGCACCCCAAGGTGTACAGTGAATGGCTCTGACTCCCGGCCACGTAGATTTACCCGAGCCCGCTCACCATCATGAAGGTCCTTAATGATCGTGAGCAGAGGCTCAGGGCCTACTGATGGTATCATAGGCCTTGACCAGGTCAATAAAGCAGAGATGTAGGTCTTGTTGGAATTCCCTACACCTCTGCTGTAGCAGACAGACAGAAAATATGGAATTTGTGCAGGACCACCCTTTCCTGAAAATGCACTGGGGCTCCGCAAGCCTCTCCTCAGCGTGCCTGGCAAGGCGATGTTGAATAATCATTGCCAGGACCTTTCCCGGCACACTGAGGATTGAGATGCCCCTGTAGTTACAGTCTGTGCGGTCCCCCTTCTTAAAGAGGGGGACCACCAGGGCATCCTTCCAATACTGTGGAACCCGTCCAGTGGTCCGGAATGTTGTTATGATGTCATATAGGGCAGTCTGTGCACAAATGCCACCCTCCCTCAGCATTTCGCTTGGGAGATCATCTCTGCCCGCTGCCTTTCCTGGTCTCAGACTCCGGATCACCTTCAGTACTTCCTCAACAGATGGCACCTCAGCCAGCCACTCACAGGTGGTGACTTCTTCCAATATTTAAGGCACCGCAGCCTCAGCAGGGTCACCCCCACTTTGTGCCACGATGTTTTCCTGGCTGAGGGGTTTCCCCTCCCCCAGGACCTCACAGAAATGCTCAGAAAATCTGCATACCGGTTCCTGGGGGTCGGAGATTGGAACACCATTTTTTTCCCCTAATGATGGTAATAGGTTTGGCGCTGGAAGTTACTTTTTTGATGGAGTTAAATAGAGATTTGTGATCGCGGGCCACTGAGGCAGACTCCATCTCCTCAGCAACCCGCAACCACCACCCATCCTTGCAGCACCTCACGGCTCTCCGAACCTCCGAGTGAAGGCTGCGGTAAGCCTCCTCATTCTCTGACGTGGGATTCTGTAGCCGATGACAGTGGGCCTGTCACTTTTTCTCAATTATCCTGAACACTTCCTCTGTCAGCCAGGGTCTCTGGGGAGGTCTGGACCGCGTACCCAAAGCAGCCATTGCAGCTGCATGAGTCACAGTCCTAAACCTCACCCATTTACCCTCGACATCAGGAGGAGTGGGGGACGATGCCAACCCAAGCCGCAAGCGATGTTGAAATTCTCGCTTGCAACTTTCATCAGATAACTGAGACCAGGCCACTTTAGGTTGGAATGGGGTCCTGGGTGTACACCCACCACTGGAGTGGAAGAATGGCAGGCGCATCTTACAGATGACTAGTCCATGGTCAGAGGGCAGATCAGCTCCACGGGAGGTTCTAGTGTCAAGGACATGGGCTCGCATCCGCTGGTCCGTCACTATGTAGACCAGCAGATGTTCTTGCTTTGACCCGGCATGCATCCATGATGTTGTGTGGATGCGCCGATGCCGGAACAGCATGTTGGTAATTACAAGCCCATGGGCTGCACAAAAATCTAGCAGCCTCCTACCATTGTTATTGAACTGATTAGGCCCATGCCCTCCAATCACTCCAGACCAGGTGCCAGCATCATGACCAACTCGGGCATTGAAGTCACCCAACAAGATGACTATCCCGAGGGGCCACTTTAGCCAGCACCTGTGAAAGGAGGTCATAGAAGGCATCTGACTCATCGGCTTTGCCTGCATCCCTCCACGGATGTTCGTCTTCAGTGGGGGCATAAGTAACCTCGACCACCAATCCTCGCCTCCGGTTGATGGGAAGGCGAGCCCAAAGTAGCCTGGGGCTTACAGCTTCCCACACCTCACTGCCACGCTCCCACGCCCCCTTCATTCTTTTATTCAAAAGAAGAGCCACACCCTGTTGTTTGGCAGTCTGCTGCCCCGGGTAGAGGACTGTCCCACCCCTCATGGTGGCAGGAGCCAGAACCGGTCCACCGGACCTCCTGAATGCCACAGAGATCATGGCGGTACCGGTCCAGTTCCCGACAGAGGAGTGGCAGCCTCTCCTCCGCAGTGAGCGTTCGAACATTCCACGTGGCCACACGTAGTGGCTTTTCGTTGTTTCTGGACGAGCCCCGAGGGTAGAGATTCAATCTCCTGGCTCCGCCAATTGGGGTTTGGCCAGGAGACGTCATAGACGCCTGTCTCCCCGGGCCTCCGGCACAAGCTTATTAGTTACATATTTTAGACGTGGTTTAGTGGCAAATTTTTGAAGGTCGAGGGGTTACCAGCCCCTCACACCCGTCCAGAGCCCCCGTTTAGCCACTGTGGTGGTAACAGACGCCATGAGAGGAGGGGCCAATCGTACTGTGTGTGTACTGTGTGTGTGTAACTGTGTGTGTGTACTGTGTGTGTAACTGTGTGTGTGTACTGTGTGTGTACTGTGTGTTTGTACTGTGTGTGCTGCGTGCAGCCTGTTTCTCTGTGGACAGGCAAACTGTGTGTGTACTGTGTGTGTGTACTGTGTGTAACTGTGTGTGTGTACTGTGTGTAACTGTGTGTGTGTACTGTGTGTGTGTGTACTGTGTGAGTAACTGTTTGTGTGTACTGTGTGTGTACTGTGTGTGTACTGTGTGTGTAACTGTGTGTGTGTACTGTGTGTGTACTGTGTGTGTGTGTACTGTGTGTGTACTGTGTGTATGTAACTGTGTGTGTGTGTACTGTGTGTGTGTACTGTGTGTGTGTACTGTGTGTGTACTTTGTGTGTGTAATGTGTGTGTGTAATGTGTGTGTGTAACTGTGTGTGTACTGTGTTTGTATACTGTGTGTGTGTGTACTGTGTGTGTGTACTGTGTGTGTGTAACTGTGTGTGTCTACTGTGTGTGTGTGTACTGTGTGTACTGTGTGTGCTGCGTGCAGCCTGTATCTCTGTGGACAGGCAAACTGTGTGTGTAACTGTGTGTGTGTACTGTGTGTGTGTAACTGTGTGTGTACTGGGTGTGTACTGTGTGTGTGTACTGTGTGTGTGTTTTGTATGTGTGTAGCTATGTGTGTGTACTGTGTGTACTGTGTGTGTGTACTGTGTGTGTGTGTGTGTACTGTGTGTGTACTGTGTGTGTGTAACTGTGTGTGTGTACTGTGTATGTACTGTGTGTACTGTGTGTGCTGCGTGCAGCCTGTGTCTCTGTGGACAGGCAAACTGTGTGTGTACTGTGTGGGTAACTGTGTGTGTGTAACTGTGTGAGTGTATGTGTGTGTGTGTGCTGTGTGTGTACTGTGTGTGTACTGTGTGTGTGTACTGTGTGTGTTTACTATGTGTGTGTACTGTGTGTGTGTGTACTGTGTGTGTGTGTACTGTGTGTGTGTGCACTATGTGTGTGTACTGTGTGTGTGTGTACTATGTGTGTGTACTGTGTGTGTGTATCTGTGTGTAACTGTGTGTGTGCAGCCTGTGTCTCTGTTGACAGGCAAACTGTGTGTGTACTGTGTGTGTGTACTATGTGTGTGTACTGTGTGTGTGTGTGCTATGTGTGTGTACTGTGTGTGTGTGTACTGTGTGTGTACTGTGTGTGTGTAACTGTGTGTAACTGTGTGTGTGTGTGCAGCCTGTGTCTCTGTGGACAGGCAAACTGTGTGTGTACTTGTTGTGTACTGTGTGTGTGTAATTGTGTGTGTGTGCTGTGTGTGTACTGTGTGTGTAACTGTGTGTGTGTGCTGTGTGTGCTGTGTGTGTACTGTGTGTGTGTGTGCAGCCTGTGTCTCTGTGGACAGGCAAACAGATCTTCTCCCTCATCCTGCGTCCTAACCTCAGGGACCCGGTGCGTCTGAATCTGCGCACTCGCGGGAAGCAGTACAGTGGGCACGGGGAAGACCTCTGTACTAGTGACTCATGTACGCAGTACACACGCAGTACACACGCAGTACACACACACACAGTACACACGCAGTACACACACACAGTACACACACAGTACAGACACACACACAGTACACACAGTACAGTGGGCACGGGGAAGACCTCTGTACTAGTGACTCATGTACGCAGTACACACACAGTACACACACACAGTACACACTCACACACAGTACACACACAGTACACACAGTACAGTGGGCACGGGGAAGACCTCTGTACTAGTGACTCATGTACGCAGTACACACGCAGTACACACACACAGTACACACACACACACAGTACACACGCAGTACACACACACAGTACACACACACAGTACACATACACAGTACACATACACAGTACACACACAGTACACACAGTACAGTGGGCACGGGGAAGACCTCTGTACTAGTGACTCATGTACGCAGTACACACGCAGTACACACACACAGTACACACACACAGTACACACACGCAGTACACACACGCAGTACACACACACAGTACACACACGCAGTACACACACGCAGTACACACACAGTACACACACACAGTACACACAGAACAGTGGGCACGGGGAAGAACTTTGTACTAGTGACTCATGTACGCAGTACACACACACAGTACACACACACGCACAGTACGCACAGTACAGTGGGCACGGGGAAGACCTCTGTACTAGTGACTCATGTACGCAGTACACACGCAGTACACACGCAGTACACACAGTACACCCAGTACACACACAGTACACACACACAGTACACACACAGTACACACACAGTAAACACACACACAGTACACACACACAGTACACATACACACAGTACGCACACAGTACACACACACAGTACACACACTCACAGTACACACGGTACAGTGGGCACGAGGAATACCTCTGTACTAGTGACTCATGTACGCAGTACACACACACAGAGTACACACACAGTACACACACAGTACACACACACACAGTACACACACACACAGTACACACACACACAGTACACACAGTACAGTGGGCACGGGGAAGACCTCTGTACTAGTGACTCATGTACGCAGTACACACGCAGTACACTCGCAGTACAGACACACTGTACACACGCAGTGCACACACAGTGCACACACACAGTACACACACACAGTACACACGCAGTACACACTACACACACATACACACACAGTACACACAGTACACACACACACAGTGCACACACACATTACACACAGGATACACACATGCACAGTACACACAGTACACACACACAGTATACACACACACAGTACACACAGTACATACACACAGTACACATACACACACAGTACATACACACATTACACACAGGACACACACACAGTACACACACAGTGCACACACACTACACACACAGTACACACACACCACACACAGTGCACACACACACACACTGCACACACACAGTACACACACACAGTACATACACAGTACACACACAGTACACACACAAACAAAGCACACAGTGCACACACAGTACACACACAGTACACACACACTACACACACACATACTACACACACATAGTACACACACATAGTACACACACATAGTACACACACTACACACACAGTACACACAGTACACACACACTACACACACTACACACACTGTACACATACCCAGTACACACACAGTATACACACTACACACACAGTACACACACACAGTACACACACCAGTCCCTGTGTCTGCCTGTATGTCTTTCTGTCTGTCTCTGTGTCTCTATCTGTGTCGCCCTGTGTCTCTGTGTCTCTCTGTCTCTGTGTATCTGTGTGTCTGTGTCTCTGTGTTTGTCTCTGTGTCTCTGTGTGTCTCTCTCTCTGTGTTTGTGTGTCTGTGTCTCTGTGTCTCTGTTTCTGTGTCTCTGTCTCTGTGTGTATCTGTTTCTGTGTCTCTGTGTGTATCTGTCTCTGTGTATCTGTGTCTCTGTGTCTCTGTGTATGTGTCTCTGTGTCTGTCTCTGTGTCTCTATCTGTGTCGCTCTGTGTCTCTCTGTCTCTGTATATCTGTGTCTGTGTCTCTGTGGCTGTGTCTCTGTGTCTCTGTTTCTGTGTCTCTGTCTCTGTGTGTATCTGTCTCTGTGTCTCTGTGTGTATCTGTCTCTGTGTATCTGTGTGTATCTGTGTCTCTGTGTGTCTGTGTCTCTGTAGTCGTAGTGATAGAGAACAGTGAGCTGCTGGCGGGATGCCTGGACAAGGCCACGCTGGGCTCAGGCTCCAAGGCCAGCGTCTTCTACCTCTCTGTCTGTCTCTGTGTCTCTGTCTCTGCCTCTCTGTCTGTCTGTCTATCTCTGTGTCTCTGTGTGTATCTGTCTCTGTGTCTCTTTGTGTCTGTGTCTCTGTAGTCGTAGTGATAGAGAACAGTGAGCTGCTGGCGGGAAGCCTGAACAAGGCCACGCTGGGCTCAGGCTCCAAGGCCAGCGTCTTCTACCTCTCTGTCTGTCTCTGTGTCTCTGTCTCTGCCTCTCTGTCTGTCTGTCTATCTCTGTGTCTCTGTGTGTATGTGTCTCTGTGTGTCTGTGTCTCTGTAGTCGTAGTGATAGAGAACAGTGAGCTGCTGGCGGGAAGCCTGAACAAGGCCACGCTTGGCTCAGGCTCCAAGGCCAGCGTCTTCTACCTCTCTGTCTGTCTCTGTGTCTGTCTTTGTCTCTGTCTCTGTGTCTCTGTGTCTCTGTGTGTATCTGTCTCTGTCTCTCTCTGTGTCTCTGTGTCTCTGTGTGTATCTGTCTCTGTGTCTGTCTCTGTGTGTATCTGTCTCTGTCTCTGTGTCTCTGTCTCTGTGTCTCTGTCTCTGTGTCTCTGTCTCTGTGTCTCTGTATCTGTGTCTCTGTGTCTCTGTAGTCGTAGTGATAAAGAACAGTGAGCTGCTAGCGGGAAGCCTGAACAAGGCCACGCTTGGCTCAGGCTCCAAGGCCAGCGTCTTCTACCTATCTCTCTCTGTCTCTCTCTGTGTCTCTGTGTCTCTGTCTCTGTGTCTCTGTGTGTATCTGTCTCTGTCTCTCTCTGTGTCTCTGTGTCTCTGTGTGTATCTGTCTCTGTGTCTGTCTCTGTGTGTATCTGTCTCTGTCTCTGTGTCTTTGTCTCTGTGTCTCTGTCTCTGTGTCTCTGTCTCTGTGTCTCTGTATCTGTGTCTCTGTGTCTCTGTAGTCGTAGTGATAAAGAACAGTGAGCTGCTAGCGGGAAGCCTGAACAAGGCCACGCTTGGCTCAGGCTCCAAGGCCAGCGTCTTCTACCTATCTCTCTCTGTCTCTGTGTCTCTGTCTCTGTGTCTGTCTGTGTCTCTGTGTCTGTGTCTCTGTGTATGTCTGTCTCTGTGTGTCTGTGTCTCTGTCTCTGTGTATATGTGTCTCTGTGTATCTGTGTGTCTCTGTCTCTGTGTCTCTGTGTGTATCTGTCTCTGTGTGTCTGTGTCTCTGTAGTCGTAGTGATAGAGAACAGTGAGCTGCTGGCGGGAAGCCTGGACAAGGCCACGCTTGGCTCAGGCTCCAAGGCCAGCGTCTTCTACCTGCTGCTCCGTGATTGGGGTCAGGAATCGGCCGCGTCTGGGATGTCGCGCCTGGCGCGGATGGCACCGGCCTTCCTTTGTGAGGAGACGCAGCAACGCTCACGCACACACACACTCACACACACAGACACACACACACACACTCACACACACACTCACACACACACTCACACACTCACACACACAGACACACACACACTCACACACATACACACATACACACACACTCACACACACAGACACACACACACACAGACACACACAGACAAAGACACACACACACACTCACACACATACACACATACACACACACACAAACATACACACACACAGACACTCACACACACACTCACACACATACAACAGCAACAACCGCCATTCACCACTAAGTGGCGGTGACGTCACCACGACGCTTGTGCCAGGCTATGTGCGCCCTGAGGCCACGTGAAGTGTCGAACGCCCGCTGGCAGGAGGTCACGGGGCAGACCCAGGTGCCACGGGTCGACTGACTGAGATGACTGGCTGTTGCACCACCTGTGCCCCCTACTGTGCCAACCCGCTGTGCTTCAGCCACCCGGCGCTCCGCTCGTTGGTGTGAGCATCGCTCCTCCGCCCTCCGTTGTTGTTGGAGGGCGACTACCTCCAACTGCCCAGTAGCGTCCTTCACGAGCCTCCTCCACAAAGGCCGATCTTGACACCGCTGGTTCCAGCCATCGGCAAGTCCACTCAGCTCCACGTCCTCCTGTACCACATCATTCCATCTCTTCTCTAGCCCGTGCCGCGCCCGTTTAGCCCCCTCAATCCGACCGAACAAAAGCTGTTTCGGCATGCGGTGGCTGGGCATGCTGGCTACATGACCCAGCCATCGCAGCCTTGCCCGCCGGAGGAGCTCACCGATGGGACCTTGCCCAGATCTTTTCAAGGATTTGTGAGCTCACACAATCCAGTCTGGTTAAACCCAGGATGGATCGTAGGCAGGCTAGCCTAAATGTTTCTAACCGGCGAAGATGTTCCATTAGGGGGGTCCACGTTTCGCAAGCGTAGAGAAGGGAGGGAATGACCGTGGCCGAGAAGACTTGAAGCTTATTGCGGAGCGACAGACCAGGTAGCTTCCACACAGCGTTACGCAACCGATGAAAAGATATTGCCGCTCGACTGATTCGGAATGAGACCTCTGCTGTTAAACACACATACACACTCACACACATACACACACACACACAGGCACACACACACTCACACCCACACACAGACACACACACGCGCACACACACACACACGCACCTTGTCTCTCTCACCGTGTCTCTCTTTCTCTCCGTGTCTCTCTCACCATGTCTCTCTCCCCATGTCTCTCTCTCCGTGTCTCTCTCACCGTGTCTCTCTCCCCGTGTCTCTCTCTCCGTGTCTTTCTCCCCGTGTCTCTCTCACCATGTCTCTCTCTCATCGTGTCTCTCTCTCACCGTGTCTCTCTCCCCGTGTCTCTCTCCCCGTGTCTCTCTCACCGTGTCTCTCTCACCGTGTCTCTCTCCTTCCCCGTGTCTCTCTCACCATGTCTCTCTCTCCCCGTGTCTCTCTCCCCGTGTCTCTCTCACCGTGTCTCTCTCTCACCGTGTCTCTCTCTCACCGTGTCTCTCTCTCACCGGGTCTCTCTCTCACCGGGTCTCTCTCCCCTTGTCTCTCTCTCCCCGTGTCTCTCTCACCGTGTCTCTCTCTCCCTCCCCGTGTCTCTCTCACCGTGTCTCTCTCTCACCGTGTCACAGCCAACCGGGGCTTCTCGGTCGGCATAGGCGACGTGACTCCGGGCCGAGGGCTGCTGCGTGCCAAGCAGGAGCTGCTCACCGAGGGCTACGCCAAGTGCCAAGACTTCATAGCGCAGCTCCACGCTGGGCGGCTGCAGCCCCAGCCGGGCTGCACTGCAGAGCAAACGCTTGAGGTGGCCACTGACGCCTCGCTCGTCACGACCGATATTATCACTATTACTACTATTACTAGTATTACTATTACTAGTATTACTACTATCACTATTACTATCACTATTATTACTACTATCACTATTATTACTATTACTACTATCACTATTACTATCACTATTATTACTATTACTACTATCACTATTATTACTATTACTACTATCACTATTACTATCACTATTACTACTATCACTATTACTACTATCACTATTATTACTATTACTAGTATCACTATTACTAGTATCACTATTACTAGTATCACTACTATCACTATTACTACTATCACTATTACTACTATCACTATTATTACTATTACTACTATCACTATTATTACTATTACAACTATTACTAGTATCACTATTACTAGTATCACTATTACTAGTATCACTACTGTCACTATTACTACTATCACTAGTATTACTATTACTAGTATTACTACTATTACTAGTATTACTATTACTAGTATTACGACTATCACTATTTCTACTATTACTAGTATCACTATCACTACTATCACTATTACTACTATCACTATTACTACTATTACTAGTATCACTATTACTACTATTACTAGTATCACTACCATCACTATTATTACTATCACTATTACTACTATCACTATTACTACTATCACTATCACTACTATTACTAGTATCACTACTATCACTATTATTACTATTACTAGTATCGCTATCACTACTATCACTATTACTACTATCACTTATATCACTATTACTACTATCACTTTTACTACTATCACTACTATCACTATTACTATTATCACTACTATCACTATTACTACTATCACTACTACTAGTATCAGTACCATCACTATTACTACTATTACTATCACTACTATCAATATCACTATTACTACTATCACTACTATCACTTACTACTATCACTATTACTACTATTACTAGTATCACTACTATCACTATTACTACTATCACTACCATCACTATTGCTAGTATTACTACTATCACTATTACTTGTATCAATATCACTATCACTATTACTACTATCACTACTATCACTATTACTAGTATCAGTACCATCACTATTACTAGTATTAATATTACTACAATCAATATCACTACCATCATCACCATCATCAACATCTGTGTGTGTCTGTGTGTTTGTGTGTCTGTGTGTGTGTGTGACTGTGTGTGTGTGACTGTGTCTGTGTGTGACTGTGTGTGTGACTGTGTGTGTGTGTCTGTGTGTGTGTGTGACTGTGTGTGTGTGTCTGTGTGTGTGTCTGTGTGTGTGTGACTGTGTGTGTGTGTATCTGTGTGTGTCTGTGTGTGTGTCTGTGTGTGTAGGCTGTGATTCTGAAGGAGCTCTCCGTCATCAGAGATCACGCTGGCAGTGCGTGTCTGCGTGAGCTGCACAAGACCAACAGTCCTCTCACCATGGCCCTGTGTGGCTCTAAGGGTGAGCGCCAAGGAGCCCTTAGAGACTCGCAGCTCCGTTGTTGTCGTAGCGACGATGTGTGGTGGTGGCTCAGCTACTACACTATACACTACACTACACACTACACTATACACTACACTATATACTACACTACACTACTACACTATACACTACACTATATACTACACTACTACACTATACACTACACTATACACTACACTATATACTACACTACACTGCTACACTATACACTACGCTATATACCACACTATACACTACACTATATACTACTACACTACACTATACACTACACTATATACTATACTACTATACACGACACTATACACTAGACTACACACTACACTACTACACTACACTACTATACACTACACTATATAGTACACTACACTATATACTACTACACTATACACTACACTATACACTACATACTACACTTTATACTACACTACTACACACTACTACACTACACTTTACACTACACTATACACTACACTATACACTACACTATACACTACACTATACACTACACTATACACTACACCAGGGGTCACCAAACTACGGCCCGCGGGCCGAATCCGGCCCGCGACGTCAGTCCATCAGGCCCGCCGGCGGTGCTTGAATTTGGTTGATAAAACGTATGGAACACGAGACGTTGTGATAGAATTTAAATTTAAATATTATGTTTAGAAGACCAGGAGATCTTCACGCGTGCGGAGACCTCCTGACTGCTATGTTCTTTAAATGTACTATTTTAAATTGTAAATTATTGTATCTAGATGTTCTTGTTTATTGAAATGTTTGCTAATTTCGCGCCATCCGAAGTCCTTCCCCGGCTCGTGGTAGCTCCGCCTACGCTCTGACGTTACCGTGGTTTCCATGGCAACGTCATGGCAACACGTTAGCATGGTTTCCATGGCAACACACCCACAAACACACGCATCTTATCCCGCCCCCAAGTATTGAACAGAATGTTTATCTGGCCCGCTGTGAAAAAAGTTTGGTGACCCCTGCACAACAATGTTTAGAGGGTTGGTCCCCTTTTTTTTCTCTGGCAACAAAACTGAAACCTTTTTACAAAGGATTCATGTTACTGCATTAACCACAATACCTGCAGTCAAAATGCAAACAAAACACACACACGTTGATAATATATGGTGCATTGTCCTTGATACTGATTGGTCCACACCAAGGGACTGCTTTCTTTTGAGCCTCGACCCAATTGGTGCTCGACCAGAGGATGCCAAAAAGGGACAAACCCTATTATTATTACATTAGGGTACTGGCAAAGGAGGTCTAATGATAAACACTACACTATACACTACACTATACACTACGCTATATACTACACTATACACTACACTATACACTACACTATACACTACACTGAATACTACTACACTACACTATACACAACACTATACACTATACACTACACTATACACTACACTGTACACTACATTAAATACTGCTACACTACACTATACACTACACTATACACTACACTATACACTACACACTGCACTATATACACTATACACGACTACACTACATACTACACTATACACTACTACACACTACACTACACCAATAAACACTACACTATACACTACACTGTACACTATACTAAATACTGCTACACTATACACAACACTATGCACTACACAATACACTATATACACTATACACTACTACACTACATACTACACTACACTATACACTACTACACACTACACTACACCAATAAACACTACACTATACACTACACTATACACTACACTACACACTACACTACACACTACACTATACACTACATTATATACTACACTATACACTACTGCACACTACACTACACCAATAAACACTACACTATACACTACACTATACACTACTACACTATACACTACACTATACACTACACTATACACTACTACACTATACACTACACTATACTATGCACTACACTATGCACTACACTACTATACACCACACTATATACAATACACTACTACACTATACACTACTACACACTACACTACACTATACACTACACTATACACTACACTCTACACGCTAGTGCTCTACTAGTGACGAATTGTCCACGTTCTGTTGCATGTGACCCACAAACCCCTCACCAAACCACGACTTTAAAATCTGTCGTGACGGCAGGGAATCGTTTTATATCTCTCTGTGTCTCTGTGTGTGTGTGTCTCTCTGTGTGTGTCTCTGTGTGTGTGTCTATCTGTGTGTGTGTCTATCTGTGTGTGTGTCTCTCTGCGTGTGTGTGTCTATCTGTGTGTGTGTCTATCTGTGTGTGTGTCTATCTGTGCGTATGTCTATCTGCGTGTGTGTCTATCTGTATGTGTGCCTATCTCTGTGTGTCTATCTGTGTGTGTATCACTGTGTGTGTCTCTCTGTGTGTGTATCTATCTGTGTGTGTGTGTATCTGTGTGTGTGTCTCTCTGTGTGTGTGTCTATCTGTGTGTATGTCTATCTGTGTGTGTGTCTATCTGCGTGTGTGTGTCTATCTGTGTGTGCCTATCTCTGTGTCTATCTGTGTGTGTATCACTGTGTGTGTCTCTGTGTGTGTGTGTCTATCTGTGTGTGTCTGTCTGTGCGTGTGTGTCTATCTGTGTGTATGTCTATCTGCGTGTGTGTGTCTCTCTGTGTGTGTCTCTCTGTGTGTGTCTATCTGCGTGTGTGTATCACTGTGTGTCTATCTGTGTGTGTCTCTGTGTGTGTGTCTCTCTGTGTGTGTGTCTATCTGGCTCCAGTTTAACAGCAGAGGTCTCGCTCCGAATCAGTCGAGCGGCAATATCTTTTCATCGGTTGCGTAACGCTGTGTGGAAGCTACCTGGTCTGTCGCTCCGCACTAAGCTTCAGGTCTTCTCGGCCACGGTCATTCCCTCCCTTCTCTACGCTTGCGAAACGTGGACCCTCCTAATGGAACATCTTCGCTGGTTAGAAACATTTAGGCTGGCCTGCCTACGATCCATCCTGGGTTTAACCAGACTGGATTGTGTGAGGAGCTCACAAATCCTTGAAAGATCTGGGCAAGGTCCCATCGGTGAGCTCCTCCGGCGGGCAAGGCTGCGATGGCTGGGTCATGTAGCCCGCATGTCCAGCCACCGCATGCCGAAACAACTTTTGTTCGGCCGGATCGAGGGGGTTAAACGGGCGCGGCACGGGCTAGAGAAGAGATTGAGTGATGTGGTACAGGAGGACGTGGAGCTGAGTGGACTTGCCGATGACTGGTACCAGCGGTACTCTTTGGTTCTATTCGGTAAAGTCACGTAGGTAAAAATAAAATAACAAAAAATCACGACGTTTCAGCCACAACACAAGTGGCCTTCATCAGGTGAAGGGACTGGACTGTCCAGAGGACAACGTTGGAGTGAAGACAGCAAGCCCAGGTCGCGTCCTTTAAGCTGTGTGGGAGGAAACAAAAAAACGCCTTGACAAAGGAATTAGCATAAAATGATGTACTGGACCGGCACGGTGGGGGGGGGGGGGGGGGGGGGGGGGGTGGGAGTTTACATAATGTTGGTGTGAAGGGAAATAAGCTGCTGTGAAAGTTTGGAATACCACTACTTGAATAAATATACTGTACCACTGAAAATTAGTTTAATGTTTGGTTTGATTGAGAACATCTTTCCAAGGATTGCTTAATTTGAAACCATCCTCTCGGTTGAAATTGTGTCTGTGTTTGTAAATCTGAATTGCCTCGTGGACAAATCTCTGATAATAACCCGTGGGTTTGCAGAGAACCTTGGTATCGGAGAAAACTATATCGTGATCACCCACAGCGTTGTAACGGTGATCAGCTACGGCAGAAGAATTCGTTCTGCCGTGTTTCAAATCTGATTTGTGCTCGCGAATTCGGTCAGAGACATGTCGTATCGTCTCCCCGATATAGCAGTCACCACAAGTGCAGCTCAGTTTGTAAACCCCGAGGTACTGTAAGTCAGGAACGACATTCTTCACGGATGGGATCAGGTCACCGATTTTGTGTACTGTTTATCAGAGATTTGTCCACGAGGCAATTCAGATTTACAAACACAGACACAATTTCAACCGAGAGGATGGTTTCAAATTAAGCAATCATTGGAAAGATGTTCTAAATCAAACCAAACATTAAACTAATTTTCAGTGGTACAGTATACTTATTCAAGTAGTGGTATTCCAAACTTTCACAGCAGTTTATTTCCCTTCACACCAACATTATGTAAACTCCCCCCCCCCCCTCCAACCGTGCCGGTCCAGTACATCATTTTATGCTAATTCCTATGTCAAGGCGTTTTTTTATTTCCTCCCACACAGCTTAAAGGACGCGACCTGGGCTTGCTGTCTTCACTCCAACGCTGTCCTCTGGACAGTCCAGTCCCTTCACCTGATGAAGGCCACTTGTGTTGTGGCCGAAACGTCGTGATTTTTTGTTATTTTATTTTTACCTACGTGACTTTACCGAATAAAACCAAAGAGTATGGATCCTTGCAGTCACGAAAGCTTCAAATCTAGAATTGGTACCAGCGGTGTCAAGATCGGCCTCTGTGGAGGAGGCTCGTGAAGGACGCTACTGGGCAGTTGGAGGCAGTCTCCCTCCAACAACAACGGAGGGTGGAGGAGTGACGCTCACAACAACGAGTGGAGCGCCGGGTGGCTAAAGCACAGCAGGTTGGCACAGTAGGGGGCACAGGTGGTGCATCAGCCAGTCATCTCAGTCAGTCGACCCGTGGCACCTGGGTCTGCCCCGTGACCTGCCACCGGGCGTTCGACACTTCACGTGGCCTCAAGGTGCACATGGCCTGGCACAATCGTCGTGGTGACGTCACCGCCACTTAGTGGCGAATGGCGGTTGTTGTTGTTGTTGTGTGTGTGTCTATCTGTGTGTGTGTCTATCTGTGTGTGTGTCTATCTGTGTGTATGTCTATCTAGGATCCTTCATCAACATCTCCCAGATGATCGCGTGTGTGGGGCAGCAGGCCATCAGCGGCTCCCGCATCCCCAACGGCTTTGAGGACCGATCACTGCCACACTTTGACAAACACTCAAAGGTTTGTCTGTGTGTCTTCGTGTGTCTGTGTGTCTGTGTCTGTGTGTGCCTGTGTGTGTCTGTCGGTAAAACAACCCCCTACCTCTTCGCGGTGCCGAACGGGCAACTCTTTCGTGGACAGTGCTGTGGGGGTAGGTTCAATTCCGATTGGCTCCTCCTCTCATGGCGTCTGTGACCACCACAGTGGGTAAACGGGGGCTTTGGACGGGTGCGAGAGGCTGGTAACCCCTCCACCTTAAATTAATTACCATTAAACTACGACTGAAATATATAAGGAATAAGCTTGTGCCGGAGGCCCCGGGGGGACAGGCGTCTATGACGTCTTCTGGCCAAACCCCAATTGGCGGAGCCAGGAGATTGAATCTCTACCCTCGGGGCTCCTCCAGAAACAACGAAAAGCCACTACGGATGGCCACGTGGAATGTTCGAACGCTCACTGCGGAGGAGAGGCTGCCACTCGGTACCGCCTGGATCTCTGTGGCATTCAGGATGTCCGGTGGACCGGTTCTGGCTCCTGCCACCATGAGGGGTGGACAGTCCTCTACTCGGGGCAGCAGACTGCCAAACAACAGGGAGTGGCTCTTCTTTTGAGCAAAAGAATGAAGGGGGCGTGGGAGCGTGGCAGTGAGGTGTGGGAAGCTGTAAGCCCCAGGCTACTTTGGGTTCGCCTTCCCATCAATCGGAGGCGAGGAGTGGTGGTCGTGGTTACTTATGCCCCCACCAAGACGAACATCCGTGGAGGGATGCAGGCAAAGCCGATGAGTCAGATGCCTTCTATGACCTCCTGTCACAGGTGCTGGCTAAAGTGGCTCCTTGGGATAGAGTCATCTTGTTGGGTGACTTCAATGCCCGAGTTGGTCATGATGCTGGCATCTGGTCTGGAGTGATTGGAGGGCATGGGCCAGATCAGCTCAATAACAACGGTAGGAGGCTGCTAGATTTTTGTGCAGCCCATGGGCTTGTAATTACCAACACGCTGTTCCGGCATCGGCGCATCCACACAACATCATGGATGCATGCCGGGTCCAAGCAAGAACATCTGCGGGACTACATAGTGGCGGACCAGCGGATGCGAGCCCATGTCCTTGACACCAGGACCTACCGTGGAGCTGATCTGCCCTCTGACCATCGACTTGTCATCTGTAAGATGCGCCTGCCATTCTTCCGCTCCGGTGGTGGGTGTACAGTGGTCCCTCGTTCATCGCGGGGGATACGTTCTAAAAATAACCCGCAATAGACGAAATCCACGAAGTAATCAGCTTTATTTTTTACAATTATTATACATGTTTTAAGGCCGTAAAACCGCTAACCACACACTTTTATACACTTTTCTCAGACAGGCATTAACATTTTCTCACATTTCTCTCTTATTTAAACACGTTCAAACTTTCGCAGATTTAAAAAATAAGTACAATATTAGTAAATGAAACCAAAGATCAAAACCTGTTTTCAAGCCCAAACATTTTCAACAAATTTAATTTTAATGATCAATCTACGAGGTTTGACACATAAGAAATTATTACCAGTAACTGGCTTATTTCACAGTTCCTCTGAAGGTGCCTCTTTGTCCTGGCGCCGCTCCGCTGTAACGTCTTTTTCCTCTGAAGGCCTTGGTGCAGGTGTTTTTTTCCGAGTGCAGAACATAGTTATGGGTAGTTGTTGGCGCCGTTTTTTCTTCTGGGCCAGAAGATTCTTATAAACATACATGCCACCTTCGATTATATTTGAGAACTGTAATGAACGGAACATCAAAGGGTCCCATTCTTGCACAGCTCTCTGAAGTTCAGTGGCCATTCTCACCATGGTCGCCCAGCGATCAAGTGTTAGTCCATCCTCCTCCTCTTTACCAACACTTGTGTCCTCTTCTTCCTCTTCTCCATCATCCTCACTTGGTGGCTTTGTCATCTCTGCCAGGTCTTCATCAGTCAGCGGTTGTGAGTGGGCATCAATCAGGGCATTCATGTCACCGGGAGTCATATCATTAAAGCCATCTCCCCCAAGCTGTTTAGCCAGATTCACAGCTGTATCTACCGCAGAGTGATGGATCTCATCAAGAGAGCATCCGGTGGGGTTGTGCACTGCCTCTGGCCACGGTTTTTTTTCCAGCAGACATTTAAAGTTTCAGTTTTCATCTCATGAATGGCCCTCTGAATATTTTGGAGACATGATGCAATGGTGTATTCACACCAGAAGGCCTTTAGTGAGAAATCTTGATCCGAGTCCATAGCCTCAACAAGATGCTGCAGGGTGTTGCGCGTATAGAGCGCTTTGAAAGCGCAGATGATGCCTTGGTCCAAGGGCTGAATCAGCGATGTGGTGTTTGGCGGGAGAAATTCAATTTGCACACCATCATACGACAAATCATCAGCGTGGCCTCCGGCGTTGTCCACGAGCAGAAGCGCTTTAAAATCCAGTCCTTTTCCTCTCAAGTAACGCTTGACTTCCGGAATGAAACAATTTTGGAACCAATCCAGATTGAGCACTTTTGTCATCCAAGCCTTTGCGTTGTGCATCCAGTAAACGGGCAACGCATTCTTATTTTTGTTTTTTAGGGCTCTCGGATTTTTTGACCTATAAATAAGCCCTGGTTTTATCATAAAGCCCGCAGCATTTCCACACATAACCAGAGTCACACGATCTTTTTGGGCTTTAAATCCAGAGGCTTTGGCTTCGTCCTGCATTATAAAGGTGCGAGAGGGCATTCGTTTCCAAAATAATCCTGTCTCATCCATATTAAAAACTTGGTCAGGTTATATATCCCTTCCTCAATGATCACTTTACATTTGTTCACGTATGCCTCTGCTCCAGCGGTATTTGCAGAGGCGGCCTCTCCATGCAGAGAAACACTTTTAGGTCCAAAGCGTTGCTGGAATTTGTCAAATCAACCCTTGCTGGCATTAAATGGGCTTGGTTCTGCGTGAAAAGCACTCTTTGATGGCCCGGGCTCCGCATCATCTTGCTCCTCGCTGTCAGCAAAGGTTTCATAAAGTTTTTTTAGCTTTTGTGCGGATGATGTTGGTGTCCAGCGGAATGTTCTTTTTCCTGCTGTCACTGATCCACGGAGCTAAAGCAGACTCCATCCTTACGATGGTCTTGTTGCGGACAGTTACAACCCTTTTTGCATCCCTGTTAAAACTTATTGCTGCCGTCGTCCTTGTGTTATTTTCCTCCTTTATGTAACGAACCGAAGGTTCATTTATTCCATAATGGCGCCCTACAGCCGCGTAACGTCTACCTTCCTTTAGCATGTCCAGAAGTCCAACTTTTTCTGCGATGGTTAGCATCTTCCGCTGCCTTTTGGGTGCGACCGCAGGTGCCTTTTTCCTTGCGGTTCGTTTCATCGACATTATGGGTTTTTTCGGGTAGAAAACTTGCAAACATACAACACTTCAGAGTCACACTGCTAGCGATTGAACATTTATGTAAATCTGGCTAGCCGAACGCATTCTGTACTCCCTTAGCTAATCAGGACGCAGAACACATGTGCGGTTCTCCCTTAGCCAATCAGGACGCTGAACACAATGCACGTTCATACTGTACGCAGGAAAAAAAAGCATGCAAAATTACACTAAAAAAATCCGCGAAACAGCGAGGCCGCGAAAGGTGAACCGCCTTATAGTGAGGGACAACTGTACACCCAGGACCCCATTCCAACCTAAAGTGGACTGGTCTCAGTTATCTGATGAAAGTTGCAACCGAGAATTTCATCATCCCCTGCGGCTGGGTTTGGCATCGTCCCCCACTCCTCCTGATGTCGAGGGTACATGGGCGAGGTTTAGGACTGTCACTCATGCAGCTGCATTGGCTGCTTTGGGTATGCGGTCCAGACCTCCCCAGAGACCCTGGCTGACAGAGGAGGTGTTCAGGATGGTTGAGAAAAAGCGACAGGCCCACTGTCATCGGCTACAGAATCCCACGTCAGAGAATGAGGAGGCTTACCGCAGCCTTCGCTCGGAGGTTCGGAGAGCCGTGAGGCGCTGCAAGGATGGGTGGTGGTCGCGGGTTGCTGAGGAGATGGAGTCTGCCTCAGTGGCCCGCGATCACAAATCTCTATTTAACTCCATCAAAAAAGTAACCTGCAGCGCCACACCTATTACCATCATTAGGGGAAAAAACGGTGATCCAATCTCGGACCCCCAGGAACAGGTTTGCAGATTTGCTGAGCATTTCTGTGAGGTCCTGGGGGAGGGAAAATCCCTCAGCCAGGAAAACATCGTGGCACAAAGTGAGGATGACCCTGCTGAGGCTGCGGTGCCTCAAATATTGGAAGAAGTCACCCCCTGTGAGTGGCTGGCTGAAGTGCCATCTGTTGAGGAAGTACTGAGGGCGATCCGGAGTCTGAGACCAGGAAAGGCAGCGGACAGAGATGATTTCCCAAGCGAAATGCTGAGGGAGGGTGGAGTTTGTGCACAGACTGTCGTATATGACATCATAACAACAGTCTGGACCACTGGACGGGTTCCGCAGGATTGGAAGGATGCCCTGGTGGTCCCCCTCTTTAAGAAGGGGGACCGCACAGACTGTAATAACTACAGGGGCATCTCACTCCTCAGGGTGCCGGGAAAGGTCCTGGCAAGGATTATTCAACATCGCCTTGCCAGGCACGCTGAGGAGAGGCTTGCGGAGCCCCAATGCGGTTTCAGGAAAGGGCGGTCCTGCACAGATGCCATCTTTTCTGTCCGTCTGCTACAGCAGAGGTGTAGGAAATTCCAGCAAGACCTACATCTCTGCTTTATTGACCTGGTCAAGGCCTATGATACCATCAATAGGCCTGGGCTCTGGGTTGTTCTTCGTGCTTTTGGAGTACCTGACCCTCTGTTCACGATCATTAAGGACCTTCATGATGGTGAGCGGGCCCGGGTAAAACTACGTGACCGGGAGTCCGAGCCTTTCGCTGTACACCTTGGGGTGCGACAGGGATGTCCTCTGGCTCCCACATTATTTAACATCTATTTCGACCACGTAGTTCGTGAAGCCTTCAATAGCTGTACCGAGGGAATCTCCATATGGTACAGATATAATGGGAGGCTGATCGATGCCCGGGTGCGGTCAAGGGATGGCTCCCTATTCCTCAACTACGTTATGTATGCTGATGATTTGGTAATAGCTGCTCATTCAGAGGAGGAGTTGGAGACGCTGCTGCTGAGACTAGAGCGTGCCACTAAGAGATGGGACCTTACCATCAGCCCCACCAAAACTAAGTACCTGCCTGGGTATTTTGTACCATCGGATACTCCACCCCCACAACTCCCAATCGGTGATGGGGCAGTTGTGGAGAGAGTGGAGAGTTTCCCATACCTGGGAAGTGTGCTTATGACCGGCTCCAGTTTAACAGCAGAGGTCTCACTCCGAATCAGTCGAGCGGCAATATCTTTTCATTGGTTGCGTAACGCTGTGTGGAAGCTACCTGGTCTGTCGCTCCGCACTAAGCTTCAGGTCTTCTCGGCCACGGTCATTGCCTCTCTTCTCTACGCTTGCGAAACGTGGACCCCGCTAATGCAACATCTTCGCCAGTTAGAAACATTTAGGCTGGCCTGCCTACGATCCATCCTGGGTTTAACCAGACTGGATTGTGTGAGGAGCTCACAAATCCTTGAAAGATCTGGGCAGGGTCCCATCGGTGAGCTCCTCCGGCAGGCAAGGCTGCGATGGCTGGGTCATGTTGCCCGCATGCCCAGCCACCGCATGCCGAAACAGCTTTTGTTTGGCCGGATTGAGGGGGCTAAGCGGGCGCGGCACGGGCTGGAGAAGAGATGGAGTGATGTGGTACAGGAGGACGTGGAGCTGAGTGGACTTGCCGATGACTGGTACCAGCGGTGTCAAGATCGGCCTCTGTGGAGGAGGCTCGTGAAGGATGCTACTGGGCAGTTGGAGGCAGTCGCCCTCCAACAACAAAGGAGGGCGGAGGAGCGACGCTCACAACAGCGAGCGGAGCGCCGGGTGGCTAAAGCACAGCAGGTTGGCACAGTAGGGGGCACAGGTGGTGCATCAGCCAGTCATCTCAGTCAGTCAACCCGTGGCACCTGGGTCTGCCCCGTGACCTCCTGCCAGCGGGCGTTCGACACTTCACGTGGCCTCAGGGTGCACATAGCCTGGCACAAGTGTCGTGGTGACGTCACCGCCACTTAGTGGCGAATGGCGGTTGTTGTTGTTGTTGTAGATCCCAGCAGCGAAGGGTTTCGTGGCTAACTCGTTCTACTCCTGTGTGTGAGTTTGTGATTGTGTGTGTGTAGATCCCAGCAGCGAAGGGTTTCGTGGCTAACTCGTTCTACTCCTGTGTGTGTGTGTGACTGTATGTGTGTGTGTGTCACTGTGTGTCACTGTGTGTGTGTCACTGTGTGTGTGTGTGACAGTGTGTGTGTCACTGTGTGTATGTGTGTGTCACTGTGTGTGACTGTGTCACTGCGTGTGTGTGTCACTGTGTGTCACTGTGTGTGTGTCACTGTGCGTGTGTGACAGTGTGTGTGTCACTGTGTGTATGTGTGTGTCACTGTGTGTGACTGTGTCACTGCGTGTGTGTGTCACTGTGTGTCACTGTGTGTGTGTCACTGTGTGTGTAGATCCCAGCAGCGAAGGGTTTCGTGGCTAACTCGTTCTACTCCTGTGTGTGTGTGTGACTGTGTGTGTGTGTGTGTCACTGTGTGTCACTGTGTGTGTGTATGTGTCACTGTGTGTCACTGTGTGTGTATGACTGTTTGTGTGTGTCACTGTGTGTGTGTAGATCCCAGCAGCGAAGGGTTTCGTGGCTAACTCGTTCTACTCCGGCCTGAGCCCCACGGAGTTTTTCTTCCACACGATGGGCGGCCGCGAAGGCCTCGTGGACACTGCCGTGAAGACCGCCGAGACCGGATACATGCAGGTAGCCACACACACACAGACACACAGACACACACAGACACACACACAGACCCACACACAGACACACACACAGACACACACAGACACACACACAGACACACACACCCGGGTCGCCGGGTTCGTAGCGCAGCGTTGCGCTAACCACTACACCCACCACTCCCTGGTGAGGTCTCACGAAGATCTGTGTGTGTACAGTGAGGGAAAAAAGTATTTGATCCCCTGCGGATTTTGTACGTTTGCCCACTGACAAAGAAATTATGAGTCTATAATTTTAATGGCAGGTTTATTTGAACAGTGAGAGACAGAATAACAAAAAAATCCAGAAAAACACATGTCAAAAATGTTATAAATTGATTTGCATTTTATTGAGGGAAATAAGTATTTGACCCCCTCTCAATCAGAAAGATTTCTGGCTCCCAGGTGTCTTTTATACAGGTAACGAGCTGAGATTAGGAGCACACTCTTAAAGGGAGTGCTCCTAATCTCAGCTTGTTACCTGTATAAAAGACACCTGTCCAGAGAAGCAATCAATCAATCAGATTCCAAACTCTCCACCATGGCCAAGACCAAAGAGCTCTCCAAGGATGTCAGAGACAGGATTGTAGACCTACACAAGGCTGGAATGGGCTACAAGACCATTGCCAAGCAGCTTGGTGAGAAAGTGACAACAGTTGGTGCGATTATTCTCAAATGGAAGAAACACAAAAACTGTCAATCTCCCTCGGCCTGGGGCTCCATGCAAGATCTCACCTCGTGGAGTTGCAATGATCATGAGAACGGTGAGGAATCAGCCCAGAACTACACGGGAGGATCTTGTCAATGATCTCAAGGCAGCTGGGACCAAAGTCACCAAGAAAACAATTGGTAACACACTATGCCGTGAAGGACTGAAATCCTACAGCGCCCGCAAGGTCCCCCTGCTTAAGAAAGCACATATACATGCCCGTCTGAAGTTTGCCAATGAACATCTGAATGATTCAGAGGACAACTGGGTGAAAGTGTTGTGGTCAGATGAGACCAAAATGGAGCTCTTTGGCATCAACTCAACTCGCGTGGTTGGAGGAGGAGGAATGCTGCCTATGACCCCAAGAACACCATCCCCACCGTCAAACATGGAGGTGGAAACATTATGCTTTGGGGGTGTTTTTCTGCTAAGGGGACAGGACAACTTCACCGCATCAAAGGGACGATGGACGGGGCCATGTACCGTCAAATCTTGGGTGAGCCGTCAACCTTGAAGAGAAGCTTCGATAGCCTCACCCCAGGATGTTAGGGGGCCGTCCATACAGTGAGAGAAATAAGTATTTGATCCCCTGCTGATTTTGTACGTTTGCCCACTGACAAAGAAATGATCAGTCTATAATTTAATGGTAGGTTTATTTGAACAGTGAGAGACAGAATAACAACAAAAAAATCCAGAAAAACGCATGTCGAAAATGTTATAAATTGATTTGCATTTTAATGAGGGAAATAAGTATTTGACCCCTCTGCAAAACATGACTTAGTTCTTGGTGGCAAAACCCTTGTTGGCAATCACAGAGGTCAGACGTTTCTTGTAGTTGGCCACCAGGTTTGCACACATCTCAGGAGGGATTTTGTCCCAGATCTTCTCCAAGTCATTAAGGTTTCGAGGCTGATGTTTGGCAACTCGAACCTTCAGCTCCCTGCACAGATTTTCTATGGGATTAATGTCTGGAGACTGGCTAGGCCACTCCAGGACCTTAATGTGCTTCTTCTTGAGCCACTCCTTTGTTGCCTTGGCCGTGTTTTGGGTCATTGTCATGCTGGAATAACCATCCACGACCCATTTTCAATGCCCTGGCTGAGGGAAGGAGGTTCTCACCCAAGATTTGACGGTACATGGCCCCGTCCATCGTCCCTTTGATGCGGTGAAGTTGTCCTGTCCCCTTAGCAGAAAAACACCCCCAAAGCATAATGTTTCCACCTCCATGTTTGACGGTGGGGATGGTGTTCTTGGGGTCATAAGCAGCATTCCTCCTCCTCCAAACACGGCGAGTTGAGTTGATGCCAAAGAGCTCCATTTTGGTCTCATCTGACCACAACACTTTCACCCAGTTGTCCTCTGAATCATTCAGATGTTCATTGGCAAACTTCAGACGGGCATGTATATGTGCTTTCTTGAGCAGGCGGACTTTGCGGGCGCTGCAGGATTTCAGTCCTTCACGGCGTAGTGTGTTACCAATTGTTTTCTTGGTGACTACAGTCCCAGCTGCCTTGAGATCATTGACAAGATCCTCCCGTGTAGTTCTGGGCTGATTCCTCACCGTTCTCATGATCATTGCAGCTACACGAGGTGAGATCTTGCATGTAGCCCCAGGCCGAGGGAGATTAACAGTTCTTTTGTATATCTTCCATTTGCGAATAATCGCACCAACTGTTGTCACCTTCTCACCAAGCTGCTTGGCAATGGTCTTGTAGCCCATTCCAGCCTTGTGTAGGTCTACAATCTTGACCCTGACATCCTTGGAGAGCTCTTTGGTCTTGGCCATGGTGGAGAGTTTGAAATCTGATTTATTGATTGCTTCTGTGGACAGGTGTCTTTTATACAGGTAACAAGCTGAGATTAGGATCACTCCCTTTAAGAGTGTGCTCCTAATCTCAGCTCGTTTCCTGTATAAAAGACACCTGGGAGCCAGAAATCTTTCTGATTGAGAGGGGGTCAAATACTTATTTCCCTCATTAAAATGCAAATAAATGTATAACATTTTTGACATGCGTTTTTCTGGATTTTGTTGTTGTTTTTCTGTCTCTCACTGTTCAAATAAACCTACCATTAAAATTATAGACTGATCATTTCTTCGTCAGTGGGCAAACGTACAAAATCAGCAGGGGATCAAATACTTTTTTCCCTCACTGTACACACAGATCTTCGTGAGACCTCACCAGGGAATGGTGGATGTAGTGGTTAGCACAACGCTGCGCTACGAACCCGGCGACATGGGTGTGTGTGTCTGTGTGTGTGTGTGTGTCTGTGTGTGTGTGTCTGTGTGTGTCTGTGTGTGTCTGTGTGTGTGTGACTGTATGTGTGTGTCTGTGTGTGTGTGTGTGTGACTGTGTGTGTGTGTGGCTGTGTGTGTGTCTGTGTGTGTGTGGCTGTGTGTGTGTCTGTTTGTGTGTGTCTGTGTGTGTGTGTGACTGTGTGTGTGTGACTGTGTGTGTGTGTGTGTCTGTGTGTGTGTGTGACTGTGTGTGTGTGTGTCTGTGTGTGTGACTGTGTGTGTGTGTAGCTGTGTGTGTCTGTTTGTGTGTGTCTGTTTGTGTGTGTTTGTGTGTCTGTTTGTGTGTGACTGTGTGTGTGTGACTGTGTGTGTGTCTGTGTGTGTGTGACTGTGTGTGTGTCTGTGTGTGACTGTGTCTGTGTGTGTGTGACTGTGTGTCTGTGTGTGTGACTGTGTGTGTGTGTGTGACTGTGTGTGTGTGTGACTGTGTGTGTGTCTGTGTGTGTGTGTCTGTGTGTGACTGTGTCTGTGTGTGTGTGAGTGATTGTGTGTGCGTAGAGGCGCCTGGTGAAGTCGCTAGAGGATCTGTGCGCCCAGTACGACCTCACGGTGCGCTCCTCCACGGGCGACGTGGTGCAGTTTGTGTACGGGGGAGACAACCTCGACCCGGCCTCAATGGAAGCTCGCGACAGCCCCCTGGACTTCCAGCGCGTGCTGAGTCACATCAGGGTACACACAGACACACACACACAGACACACAGACAACAACAACAACCGCCATTCGCCACTAAGTGGCGGTGACGTCACCACGACGCTTGTGCCAGGCTATGTGCACCCTGAGGCCACGTGAAGTGTCGAACGCCCGCTGGCAGGAGGTCACGGGGCAGACCCAGGTGCCACAGACACACACACAGTCACACACACTCACAGACACACACACACAGAGTCACACACACACACAGAGTCACACAGACACAGTCACACACACACAGTCACACACACACACAGACACACACACATACAGAGTCACACACACAGAGTCACACACACACAGACACACACACTGACACACACACATACAGAGTCACACACACACAGACACACACAGACACACACAGACACACACAGACACACAGACACACAGTCACACACACACACACCGACACACACACAGACACACAGACAGACACACACGCGGTAGCGCCACATATATGTACATATCTGTTTGTAGCTGTATGTGTGTGTGTATGTGTGTGTCTGTGTGTGTGTTTATGTGCCTGTGTGTGTGTATATCTGTGTGTGTATCTGTGTGTGTGTGTATCTGTGTGTGTGTGTATCTTTGTGCGTGTATCTGTTGGTATGTATCTGTGTGTGTGTGTATCTGTGTGTGTATCTGCGTGTGTATCTGCGTGTGCGTGTGTCACTGTGTGTCACTGTGTGTCACTGTGTGTGTGTCAGTGTGTATGTGTGTGTCACTGTGTGCGTGTGTATCTGTGTGTGTGTGTATCTGTGTGTGTGTGTATCTTTGTGTGTGTATCTGTTGGTGTGTATGTGTGTGTATATATGTGTGTGTGTATCTGTGTGTGTGTCACTGTGTGTATATGTGTGTGTATCTTTGTCTTTGTGTGTGTGTCACTGTGTGTGTCTGTGTGTACCTGTGTGTGTGTGTCACTGTGTGTGTGTGTCACTGTGTGTATCTGTGTGTGTGTGTATCTGTGTGTGTGTGTCACTGTGTGTATCTGTGTGTGTGTGTCTTTGTGTGTGTGTTACTGTGTGTGTATCTGTGTGTGTGTGTCACTGTGCGTGTGTGTGACTGTGTGTGAGTGTCACTGTATGTGTGTATCACTGTGTGTGTGTCTGTGTGTGTGTGTCACTGTGTGTGTCTGTGTGTGTGTGTGTCACTGTGTGTGTGTGTCACTGTGTGTGTGTCACTCTGTGTGTGTCACTGTGTGTGTGTCACTGTGTGTCACTGTGTGTGTCACTGTCTTTGTGTGTGTGTGTATCTGTGTGTCACTGTGTGTGTGTGTCACTGTGTGTGTCTGTGTGTGTGCGTGTTTGTGTCTGTGTGTGTGTCTGTGTGTGTGTCACTGTGTGTGTGTGTGTCACTGTGTGTGTCACTGTGTGTGTGTCACTGTGTGTGTGTGTCACTGTGTGTGTCACTGTGTGTGTCACTGTGTGTGTGTCACTGTGTGTGTCACTGTGTGTGTCACTGTGTGTGTCACTGTGTGTGTCACTGTGTGTGTGTCACTGTTGTGTCACTGTCTTTGTGTGTGTGTGTATCTGTGTGTCACTGTGTGTGTGTGTGTCACTGTGTGTGTGTCACTGTGTGTGTCACTGTGTGTGTCACTGTGTGTGTGTCACTGTGTGTGTGTCACTGTGTGTGTGTGTCACTGTGTGTGTGTCACTGTGTGTGTGTCACTGTGTGTGTGTGTCACTGTGTGTGTCACTGTGTGTGTCACTGTGTGTGTCACTGTGTGTGTCACTGTGTGTGTGTGTCACTGTGTATGTCACTGTGTGTGTGTGTGTGTGTCACTGTGTGTGTGTCACTGTGTGTGTGTGTGTCACTGTGTGTGTCACTGTGTGTGTCACTGTGTGTGTGTGTCACTGTGTGTGTCACTGTGTGTGTGTGTGTCACTGTGTGTGTGTCACTGTGTGTGTCATTGTGTGTGTCACTGTGTGTGTGTGTGTCACTGTGTGTGTCACTGTGTGTGTCACTGTGTGTGTGACTGTGTGTGTGTGTGTGACTGTGTGTGTGTCACTGTGTGTGTCACTGTGTGTGTCACTGTGTGTGTGTGTGTCACTGTGTGTGTCACTGTGTGTGTCACTGTGTGTGTGTCACTGTGTGTGTCACTGTGTGTGTGTCACTGTGTGTGTGTCACTGTGTGTGTGTGTGTGTCACTGTGTGTGTGTGTCACTGTGTGTGTGTCACTGTGTGTGTCACTGTGTGTGTGTGTCACTGTGTGTGTGTGTCACTGTGTGTGTGTGTGTCACTGTGTGTGTGTGTCACTGTGTGTGTCACTGTGTGTGTGTGTCACTGTGTGTGTGTGTCACTGTGTGTGTCACTGTGTGTGTGTGTGTGTCACTGTGTGTGTCACTGTGTGTGTGTCACTGTGTATGTCACTGTGTGTGTCACTGTGTATGTCACTGTGTGTGTGTGTGTCACTGTGTGTGTCACTGTGTGTGTCACTGTGTGTGTGTATGTCACTGTGTGTGTGTGTGTCACTGTGTGTGTCACTGTGTGTGTGTATGTCAGGCTATACGGGGGATCTTTGTATGTCACTGTGTGTGTGTGTCACTGTGTGTGTGTCACTGTGTGTGTGTCACTGTGTGTGCGCATCAGTGTAACTTCCCGTGCCCCACGGAGTGCGCTTTGAGCGCATCGCAGCTGCTGCTGAGTGGCCGGGCAGCCGTGGAAAGCTCGGACCTCATGGCGTGTCACGGGGGGGACTTCCTGCAGGTACCCACACACACAGTGACACACACACAGTGACACACACACAGTGACACATACACAGTGACACACACACACAGTGACACACACACACACAGTGACACATATACGCAATGACACATATACAGTGACACACACACACACACAGTGACACACACACAGTGACACACACACAGTGACACACACAGTGACACACACACACACAAAGTGACACACACACAGTGACACACACAGTGACACACACACAGTGACACACACACAGTGACACATACACAGTGACACACACACAGTGACACACACACAGTGACACACACAGTGACACACACAGTGACACACACATAGACAGTGACACACACACAGTGACACACACAGTGACACACAAACACACAGTGACACACACACAGTGACACACACACAGTGACACACAGTGACACACACATAGACAGTGACAAACACACAGTGCCACACACACAGTGACACAGTGACACACACACAGTGACACACACACAGTGACACACACACAGTGACACACACACAGACAGTGACACACACACAGTGACACACACACAGTGACACAACAACAACAACAACCGCCATTCGCCACTAAGTGGCGGTGACGTCACCACGACGCTTGTGCCAGGCTATGTGCACCTTGAGGCCACGTGAAGTGTCGAACGCCCGCTGGCAGGAGGTCACTGGGCAGACCCAGGTGCCACGGGTCGACTGACTGAGATGACTGGCTGATGCACCACCTGTGCCCCCTACTGTGCCAACCTGCTGTGCTTTAGCCACCCGGCGCTCCGCTCGTTGTTCTGAGCGTCGCTCCTCCACCCTCCGTTGTTGTTGAGGGCGACTGCCTCCAACTGCCCAGTAGCATCCTTCACGAGCCTCCTCCACAGAGGTCGATCTTGACAGCGCTGGTACCGGTCATCGGCAAGTCCACTCAGCTCCACGTCCCCCTGTACCACATCACTCCATCTCTTCTCTAGCCCGTGCCGCGCCCGCTTAGCCCCCTCAATCCGGCCGAACAAAAGCTGTTTCGGCATGCGGTGGCTGGGCATGCGGGCTACATGACCCAGCCATCGCAGCCTTTCCCTCCGGAGGAACTCACCGATGGGACCTTGCCCAGATCTTTCAAGGATTTGTGAGCTCCTCACACAATCCAGTCTGGTTAAACCCAGGATGGATCGTAGGCAGGCCAGCCTAAATGTTTCTAACCGGCGAAGATGTTCCATTAGGGGGGTCCAGGGAATGACCGTGGCCGAGAAGACCTGAAGCTTAGTGCGGAGCGACAGACCAGGTAGCGTCCACACAGCATTACGCAACCGATGAAAAGATATTGCCGCTCGACTGATTCGGAGTGAGACCTCTGCTGTTGAACTGGACCAAGTCATAAGCACACTGCCCAGGTATGGAAAACTCTCCACTCTCTCCACAACTGCCCCATCACCGATTGGGAGTTGTGGGGGTGGAGTGTTGAGCAATAGGGAGCCATCCCTTGACCGCACCCGGGCATCGATTAGCCTCCCATTATATCTGTACCATATGGAGATTCCCCCGGTACAGCTATTGAAGGCTTCACGAACTACGTGGTCAAAATAGATGTTAAATAATGTGGGACCCAGAGGACATCCCTGTCGCACCCCAAGGTGTACAGGGAATGGCTCTGACTTCCGGCCACGTAGTTTTACCCGGGCCCGCTCACCATCATGAAGGTCCTTAATGATCGTGAGCAGAGGGTCAGGTACTCCAAAAGCACGAAGAACGACCCAGAGCCCAGGCCTACTGATGGTATCATAGGCCTTGACCAGGTCAATAAAGCAGAGATGTAGGTCTTGTTGGAATTCCCTATACCTCTGCTGTAGCAGACGGACAGAAAAGATGGCATCTGTGCAGGACCGCCCTTTCCTGAAACCGCATTGGGGCTCCGCAAGCCTCTCCTCAGCATGCCTGGCAAGGCGATGCTGAATAATCCTTGCCAGGACCTTTCCCGGCACACTGAGGAGTGAGATGCCCCTGTAGTTGTTACAGTCTGTGCGGTCCCCCTTCTTAAAAAGGGGGACCACCAGGGCATCCGTCCAATCCTGCGGAACCCGTCCAGTGGTCCAGACTGTTGTTATGATGTCATATAGGGCAGTCTGTGCACAAACGCCACCCTCCCTCAGCATTTCGCTTGGGAGATCATCTCTGCCCGCTGCCTTTCCTGACACACACACAGTGACACACACACACAGTGACACACATACACACACACAGTGACACATGCACACAGTGATACACACAGTGACACACACACAGTGACACACACACACAGTGACACACACACACAGTGACACGCACACAGTGACACGCACACAGTAACACGCACAGTGACACACAGTGACACACACACATTGACACACACACAGTGACACATACACAGTGACACACATACACACACACAGTGACACACGCACACAGTGACACACACAGTGACACACACAGTGACACACACACAGTAACACGCATAGTGACACACTCACAGTGACACACACAGTGACACACACACAGTGACACACACACACACAGTGACACACACATACAGTGACACACACACAGTGACACACACACAGTGACACACATACACACACACAGTGACACACGCACACAGTGACACACACACAGTAACACACTGATACACACACACTGACACTCACACAGTGACACAGATCTGGACAAAGTCCCATCGGTGAGTTCCTCCGGCAGGCAAGGCTGCGTTGGCTGGGCCATGTAGCCCGCATGCCCAGCCACCGCATGCCCAAACAGCTTTTGTTCGGCCGGATAGAGGGGGCTAAACGGGCGCGGCACGGGCTAGAGAAGAGATGGAGTGATGTGGTACAGGGGGACGTGGAGCTGAGTGGACTTGCCGATGACCGGTACCAGCGCTGTCAAGATCGACCTCTGTGGAGGAGGCTCGTGAAGGATGCTACTGGGCAGTTGGAGGCAGTCGCCCTCAACAACAACGGAGGGCGGAGGAGCGACGCTTAGTGGCGAATGGCGGTTGTTGTTGTTGTCACTGTGTGTGTGTGTGTGTCTGTGTGTGAATCTGTTCCAGGATCTGCGACTCTTCCTAGAGGCGTACTCAGCGCGCATCCACAAGACGCGGCAGAAGTACGGCATCAACGACAGCGGCACCACCACGGTCAGTCAACACAGACACACACACACACACAGACACACACAGACCCACACACACACAGACACACACAGTCACACACATACAGACACACACACAGACACACACACACACAGATACACACACAACAACAACCGCCATTCGCCACTAAGTGGTTGGTACGTCACCACGTCGCTTGTGCCAGGCCATGTGCACCTTGAGGCCACTTGAAGTGTCGAACGCCCGCGGGCAGGAGGTTACGGGGCAGACCCAGGTGCTATGGGTCGACTGACTGAGATGACTGGCTGGTGCACCACCTGTGCCCCCTACTGTGCCAACCTGCTGTGCTTTAGCCACCCGGCGCTCCGCTCGTTGTTGTGAGCGTCGCTCCTCCACCCTCCGTTTTTGTTGGCGGACGACTGCCTCCAACTGCCCAATAGCGTCCTTCACGAGCCTCCTCCACAGAGGCCGATCTTGACACCGCTGGTACCGGTCATCGGCAAGTCCACTCAGCTCCACGTCCTCCTGTACCACATCACTCCATCTCTTCTCCAGCCCGTGCCGCGCCCGTTTTGCCCCCTCGATCCGGCCGAACAAAAGCTGTTTGGGCATGCAGTGGCTGGGCATGCGGGCTACATGACCCACCCAACGCAGCCTTGCCTGCCGGAGGAGCTCACCGATGGGACTTTGCCCAGATCTTTCAAGGATTTGTGAGCTCCTCACACAATCCAGCCTGGTTAACCCCGGGATGGATCGTAGGCAGGCCAGCCTAAATGTTTCTAGCCAGCGAAGATGCTCCATTAAGGAGGTCCACGTTTTGCAAGCGTAGAGAAGGGAGGGAATGACCGTGGCCGAGAAGACCTGAAGCTTAGTGCGGAGCGACACACACAGACACACACACACCGACACACACAGTGACACACACACACACACAGTGACACACACACACACAGACACACACAGTGACACACACACACTGTGACACACACACAGACACACAGATACACACAGACACACACAGGTGATGATGATGATGGTGATGATGATGGTGATGATGGTGGTGATGATGGTGATGATGATGTTGTTGATGATGGTGATGATGATGTTGATGTTGTTGATGTTGTTGATGTCTCTACAGCCGAGGATTCTGTACCAGTTGGACCGAGTGACCCCCACCCAGTTGGAGCGTTTCCTGCAAACCTGCAGAGACAAATACCTGCGGTGAGCGTCACCCTCACACCTCCAGCCGTGTCTCTGTCTCTGTGTCTCTGTGTCTCTCTCTGTGTCTCTGTCTGTGTCTCTGTCTCTGTGTCTCTCTCTGTGTCTCTCTCTGTGTCTCTGTCTCTGTGTCTCTCTCTGTGTCTCTGTGTCTCTCTCTGTGTCTCTTTCTGTGTCTCTGTCTGTGTCTCTGTCTGTGTCTCTCTCTCTGTGTCTCTTTCTCTGTGTCTCTTTCTCAGTCTCTCTCTGTGTCTCACTCTGTGTCTCTCTCTCTGGCCGTGTCTCTCTCTCTGGCCATGTCTCTCTCTAGCCGTGTGTATGTGTGTATCTGTGTGTATGTGTATCTGTATCTGTGTGTGTGTCTGTGTGTGTAACTCTGTGTGTCTGTAACTCTGTGTGTGTGTGTAACTGTGTGTGTATCTCTGTGTGTATCTGTGTGTGTAACTCCGTGTGTAACTCTGTGTGTGTGTATCTGTGTGTGTGTATCTGTGTGTGTGTATCTGTGTGTATCTCTGTGTGTATCTCTGTGTGTATCTCTGTGTAGTTCGTGAAGCCTTCAATAGCTGTACCGGGGGAATCTCCATATGGTACAGATATAATGGGAGGCTGATCGATGCCCGGGTGCGGTCAAGGGATGGCTCCCTATTGCTCAACCACGTTATGTATGCTGATGATTTGGTAATAGCTGGTCATTCAGAGGAGGAGTTGGAGATGCTGCTGTTAAGACTGGAGCGTGCTACTAAGAGATGGGGCCTTACCATCAGCCCCACCAAAACTTAATCACCTGCCTGGGTATTTTGTACCATCGGACACTCCACCCCCACAACTCCCAATCGGTGATGGGGCAGTTGTGGAGAGAGTGGAGAGTTTCCCATACCTGGGCAGTGTGCTTATGACCGGCTCCAGTTTAACAGCAGAGGTTTCACTCCGAATCAGTTGAGCGGCAATATATTTTCATCGGTTGCGTAATGCTGTGTGGAAGCTACCTGGTCTGTCGCTCTGCACTAAGCTTCAGGTCTTCTTGGCCACGGTCATTCCATCCCTTCTCTACGCTTGCGAAACGTGGACCCCCCTAATGGAACATCTTCGCCGGTTAGAAACATTTAGGCTGGCCTGCCTACGATCCATCCTGGGTTTAACCAGGCTGGATTGTGTGAGGAGCTCACAAATCTTTGAAAGATCTAGGCATGGTCCCATTGGTGAGCTCCTCCGGCAGGCAAGGCTGCGTTGGCTGGGTCATGTAGCCCGCATGCCTAGCCACCGCATGCTGAAACAGCTTTTGTTCGGCCGGATCGAGGGGGCTAAACGGGCGCGGCATGGGCTAGAGAAGAGATGGAGTGACGTGGTACAGGAGGACGTGGAGCTGAGTGGACTTGCCGATGACTGGTACCAGCGGTGTCAAGATCGGCCTCTGTGGAGGAGGCTCGTGAAGGACGCTACTGGGTAGTTGGAGGCAGTCGCCCTCCAACAACAACGGAGGGCGGAGGAGCGACGCTTACAACAACGAGCGGAGCGCCAGGTGGCTTAAGCACAGCAGGTTAGCACAGTAGAGAGCACAAGTGGTGCATCAGCCAGTCATCTCAGTCGACCCGTAGCACCTGGGTCTGCCCCGTCACCTCCTGCCAGCGGGCGTTCGACACTCCACGTGGCCTCAATGTGCACATGGCCTGGCACAAGCGTCATGGTGACGTCACTGCCACTTAGTGGCGAATGGCTGTTGTTGTTGTTGTATATCTGTGTGTAACTCGGTGTGTGTGTATCTCTGTGTGTAACTCTGTGTGTGTGTGTATCTGTGTGTGTGTACCTCTGTGTGTGTGTGTCTCTGTGTGTATCTCTGTGTGTAACTCTGTGTGCGTGTGTGTGTATCTGGGGAGCGGTAGTGTAGCGGTTAGCATGCTGCGCTATGAACCTGGTGACCCGGGTTCGATTCCCGCTCACGGCCAACACCAGTGAGGATTATCTGAACCGGTCCCGGGCCTTCCCTAGGTCGACTCAGCCTCAAATGAGTAGCTGGTGCGGTGTGTAAACATTGCCACTAGGGAGACAAAGGTGGTCGGGCATGGTGCTGGCCACCCACCCCCTCGTGTACCGTTCCGGCCTTCATTGGTGCTCGCTAACAGCACTTGCCCCTACAGTCTGTTAAGGCTATATGGGGGATCTTTTTTTTGTCTCTGTGTGTATCTGTATCTCTGTGTGTATCTGTGTGTGTGTGTATCTCTGTGTGTAACTGTGTGTGTGCATCTGTGTGTGTGTATCTCTGTGTGTATCTGTGTGTGTATCTCTGTGTGTGTGTGTATCTGTGTGTGTGTGTCTGTGTGTATCTGTGTGTGTGTGTATCTGTGTGTGTATCTCTGTGTGTAACTCTGTGTGTGTGTATCTCTGTGTGTAACTCTGTGTGTGTGTATGTCTGTGTGTGTCTGTGTGTGTGTGTATCTCTGTGTGTGTGTATCTCTGTGTGTATCTGTGTGTGTGTATGTCTGTGTGTAACTCTGTGTGTGTATCTCTCTGTGTAACTCTGTGTGTGTGTGTATGTCTGTGTGTAACTCTGTGTGTGTGTGTTTCTGTGTGTGTATCTCTGTGTGTATCTGTGTGTGTGTGTATGTCTGTGTGTAACTCTGTGTGTGTGTATCTCTCTGTGTAACTCTCTGTGTGTGTGTGTATGTCTGTGTGTAACTCTGTGTGTGTATCTCTCTGTGTAACTCTGTGTGTGTGTATCTCTGTGTGTATCTGTGTGTGTGTATGTCTGTGTGTAACTCTGTGTGTGTGTATCTCTCTCTGTAACTCTGTGTGTGTGTGTGTATCTCTGTGTGTGTGTGTGTATGTCTGTGTGTAACTCTGTGTGTGTGTATCTCTCTGTGTAACTCTCTGTGTAACTCTCTCTGTGTGTGTGTATGTCTGTGTGTAACTCTGTGTGTGTATCTCTCTGTGTAACTCTGTGTGTGTGTATCTCTGTGTGTATCTGTGTGTGTGTGTGTATGTCTGTGTGTAACTCTGTGTGTGTGTGTGGTGTAGTTCCCGCATGGAGCCGGGATCCGCTGTTGGTGCCGTGTGTGCCCAGAGCATCGGCGAGCCGGGCACGCAGATGACCCTCAAGACGTTCCACTTTGCCGGTGTCGCCTCCATGAACATCACCCTGGGAGTGCCTCGCATCAAGGAGATCATCAACGCCTCCAAGAACATCAGGTGCGGGGTGGTGAGGGTGGTGAGGGTGGTGAGGGTGGTGAGGGTGGTGAGGGTGGTGGTGATGGTGGTGAGGGTGGTGGTGAGGGTGGTGAGGGTGGTGGTGGTGAGGGTGGTGGTGAGGGTGGTGGTGGTGGTGAGGGTGGTGGTGAGGGTGCTGGTGCTGGTGAGGGTGCTGGTGAGGGTGGTGAGGGTGGTGGTGGTGGTGATGAGGGTGGTGGTGAGGGTGGTGAGGGTGGTGGTGAGGGTGGTGGTGAGGGTGGTGGTGATGGTGGTGATGGTGGTGGTGATGGTGGTGATCGTGGTGGTGGTGGTGAGGGTGGTGAGGGTGGTGGTGGTGAGGGTGGTGATGAGGGTGGTGAGGGTGGTGATGGTGGTGGTGAGGGTGGTGATGGTGGTGGTGAGGGTGGTGATGGTGAGGGTGGTGAGGGTGGTGGTGAAGGTGGTGGTGATGGTGGTGAGGGTGGTGGTGAGGGTGGTGGTGGTGGTGATGCCTCTCGCTGAAGCTGCCGTCTCCCTCCCTCTACCCCTGCCCTTCGCCCCGCCCCTGCCCCGCCCCTGCTGGCCCCGCCCCTGCTGGCCCCGCCCCCTGCTGGCCCCGCCCCCTGTTGGCCCCGCCCCTTGCTGGCCCCGCCCCCAGCACCCCGATCACGACGGCCCAGCTGGAGGTGGATAACGACGCCGACTTCGCGCGCCTCGTTAAAGGGCGCATCGAGAAGACGCTGCTGGGAGAGGTGGCCCACCGCAACCCTGCACACACTCGCGGGGGTTTGTGTCCCTTTAAGAGAGAGACACTCACAGAGGGGGAGGGGGTCGTGTCCCTTTAAGAGAGAGACACACAGGGTGTGTCTTGTGTGTGTGTCTGTGTGTGTGTGTGTCTGTGTGTCTATGTGTGTGTGTGTGTCTGTGTGTGTGTCTGTGTGTGTCTGTGTGTGTGTCTGTGTGTGTGTGTCTGTGTGTGTGTCTGTGTGTGTGTGTCTGTGTGTGTCTGTGTGTGTGTGTCTGTGTGTGTGTCTGTGTGTGTCTGTGTGTGTCTGTGTGTCTGTGTGTGTGTGTCTGTGTGTGTCTATGTGTGTGTCTATGTGTCTGTGTGTGTGTGTGTGTGTCTGTGTGTGTCTGTGTCTATGTGTGTGGGTGGCTAAAGCACAGCAGGTTGGCACAGTAGGGAGCACAAGTGGTGCATCAGCCAGTCATCTCAGTCAGTCGACCCGTGGCACCTGGGTCTGCCCCATGACCTCCTGCCAGCGGGCGTTCGACACTCCACGTGGCCTCAATGTGCACATGGCCTGGCACAAGCGTCATGGTGACGTCACCACCACTTAGTGGCGAATGGCGGTTGTTGTTGTATCTCTGTGTGTAACTCTGTGTGTGTATCTCTGTGTGTAACTCTGTGTGTGTATATCTGTGTGTGTGTATCTCTGTGTTTATCTCTGTGTGTATCTCTGTGTGTAACTCTGTGTGTGTGTGTGTGTATCTGGGGAGCGATAGTGTAGCGGTTAGCGCGCTGCGCTATGAACCTGGCGACTCGGGTTCGAATCCCGCTCACGGCCAACACCAGTGACAATTATCTGAACCGGTCCCGGGCCTCCCCTAGGTCGACTCAGCCTCAAATGAGTACCTGTTGCGGTGTGTAAACATTGCCACTAGAGTCAAAGGCGGTCGGGCGTGGTGCTGGCCACCCACCCCCTCGTGTACCGTTCCGGCCTTCATAAGTGCTCGCTAACAGCACTTGCCCCTACAGTCTGTTAAGGCTATATGGGGGATCTTTGTGTGTCTATGTGCCAGGTGTCTGAGTACATAGAGGAGGTGTTCCTGCCGGACAGCTGCTTCATCCTCGTCAAACTCTCTCTGGAGCGCATCCGCCTCCTGCGCCTAGAGGTGAGTCTGTGTGTGTGTCTGTGTGTGTCTCTGTGCCTGTGTGTGTGTATGTGTCTGTGTGTCTGTGTGTGTGTGAGTTTGTCTATCTGTGTGTGTGTGACTGTGTGTGTGTGTCTGTGTGTGTGTGTGTGCAGGTGAACGCTGAGACTGTGCGCTACAGCGTGTGCGTGTCGCGTCTGCGTGTGCGTCCCTGCGACGTCACCGTGCATGGCGAGGCCATCGTCTGCGTCACGCCCCGGGAGAGCGCTCGGAGCTCCACGTACTACGTCATGCAGTCCCTGAAGCAGCAGCTACCTCGGGTACACAACAACAACAACAACCGCCATTCGCCACTAAGTGGCGGTGACGTCACCACGACGCTTGTGCCAGGCCATGTGCACCTTGAGGCCACGTGAAGTGTCGAACGCCCGCTGGCAGGAGGTCATGGGGCAGACCCAGGTGCCACGGGTCGACTGACTGAGATGAGTGGCTGATGCACCACCTGTGCCCCCTACTGTGTCAACCTGCTGTGCTTTAGCCACCCGGCGCTCTGCTCGTTGTTGTGAGCATCGCTCCTCCGCCCTCTGTTGTTGTTGGAGGGCGACTGCCTCCAACTGCCCAGTAGCGTCCTTCACGAGCCTCCTCCACAGAGGCCGATCTTGACACCGCTGGTGCCAGTCATCAGCAAGTCCACTCAGCTCCACGTCCTCCTGTACCACATCACTCCATCTCTTCTCTAGCCCGTGCCGTGCCCGTTTAGCCCCCTCGATCCGGCCGAACAAAAGCTGTTTCGGCATGCAGTGGCTGGGCATGTGGGCTATGTGACCCAGCCAATGCAGCCTTGCCTGCCGGAGGAGCTCACCGATGGGACCTTGCCCAGATCTTTCAAGGGTTTGTGAGCTCCTCACCCAATCCAGCCTGGTTAAACCCAGGATGGATCGTAGGCAGGCTAGCCTAAATGTTTCTAACCGGTGAAGATGTTCCATTAAAGGGGTCCACGTTTCGCAAGCGTAGAGAAGGGAGGGAATGACCGTGGCCGAGAAGACCTGAAGCTTAGTGCGGAGCAACAGACCAGGTAGCTTCCACCCAGCGTTATGCAACCATTGAAAATATATTGCCGCTCGATTGATTCGGAGTGAGACCTCTGCTGTTAAACTGGAGCCGGTTGTAAGCACACTGCCCAGGTATGGGAATCTCTCCACTCTCTCCACAACTGCCCCATCACCGATTGGGAGTTGTGGGGGTGGAGTGTCCGATGGTACAAAATACCCAGGTAGGTGCTTAGTTTTGGTGGGGCTGATGGTAAGGCCCCATCTCTTAGTGGCACGCTCCAGTCTCAGCAGCAGCGTCTCCAACTCCTCCTCTGAATGAGCAGCTATTACCAAATCATCGGCATACATAACGTGGTTGAGCATTCGGAGGCATCCCTTGACCGCACCCGGGCATCGATCAGCCTCCCATTATATCTGTACCATATGGAGATTCCCCCGGTACAGCTATTGAAGGCTTCACGAACTACGTGGTCAAAATAGATGTTAAATAATGTGGGAGCCAGAGGACATCCCTGTCGCACCCCAAGATTAACAGGGAATGGCTCTGACTCCCGACCACGTAGTTTTACCCGGGCCCGCTCACAATCATGAAGGTCCTTAATGATCGTGAGCAGAGGGTCAGGTACTCCAAAAGCACGAAGAACAACCCAGAGCCCAGGCCTACTGATGGTATCATAGGCCTTGACCAGGTCAATAAAGCAGAGATGTAGGTCTTGTTGGAATTCCCTACACCTCTGCTGTAGCAGGCGAACAGAAAATATGGCATCTGTGCAGGACCGCCCTTTCCTGAAACCCGATGAGACACACACACAGACACACTCAGGCACACACAGTCACAGGCACATAATGACACACAGAGAGCGATAGTGTAGCGGTTAGCGCTACGCTGCGCTATGAACCTGACGACTCGGGTTCGATTCCTACTCATGGCCAACACATTAGTGACGATTATCTGAACCGGTCCCGGGCCTCCCCTAGTTCGACTCAGCCTCAAATGAGTACCTGGTGCAGTGTGTAAACATTGCCACTAGGGAGACAAAGGCGGTCGGGCGTGGTGCTGGCCACCCACCCCTCGTGTACCGATCCGGCCTTCATAGGTGCTCGCTAACAGCACTTGCCCCTACAGTCTGTTAAGGCTATATGGGGGATCTTTGTCTTTGATCTTTGTGCGTGTGTTTGTGGCTGTGTGTGGGACTGTGTGTCTCTGTGTGTGGGACTGTGTGTGTGTCTGTGTGTGTGTGTGTCTGTGTGTGTGTGTCTGTGTGTGTGTGTCTGTGTGCGTGTGTCTGTGTGCGTGTTACTGTGTGCGTGTGTCTGTGTGTGTCTGTGTGTGTGTGTGTCTTTGTGTGTGTCACTGTGTGTGTGTGTCTGTGTGTGTGTGTGTGTCACTCTGTGTGTGTGTCTGTGTGTGTGTGTGGCAAAACAACCCCCTACCTCCTCGCGGTGCCGGACGGGCAACTCTGTCGGGGACAGTGCTGTGGGGGGAGGGCCAATTCCGATTGGCTCCTCCCCTCATGGCGTCTGTGTCCACCACAGTGGCTAAACGGGGGCTCTGGACGGGTGCGACGGGCTGACAACCCTGCACCTTCAATTAATTACCACGAAACCACGAATACAAAATTTAACTAATAAGCTTGTGCCGGAGGCCTCGGGGGGACAGGCGTCTATGACGTCTCCTGGCCAAACCACAATTGGCGGAGCCAGAAGATTGAATCTCTACCCTCGGGGCTCCTCCAGAAACAACGAAAAGCCACTACGGATGGCCACGTGGAATGTTCGAACGCTCACTGCGGAGGAGAGGCTGCCACTCCTCTGTCAGGAGCTGGACCGGTACCGTCTGGATCTATGTGGCATTCCGGAGGTCCGGTGGACCGACTGTGTGTGTGTGTCACTGTGTGTGTGTGTCACTGTTGTGGGGAGCGACAGTGTAGCGGTTAGCGCGCTGCGCTATGAACCTGGCGACCCGGGTTCGATTCCCGCTCACGGCCAACACCAGTGACGATTATCTGAACCGGTCCCAGGCCTCCCCTAGGTCGACTCAGCCTCAAATGAGTACCTGGTGCGATGTGTAAACATTGCCACTAGGGAGACAAAGGCGGTCGGGCGTGGTGCTGGCCACCCACCCCCTCGTGTACCGTTCCGGCCTTCATAGGTGCTCGCTAACAGCACTTGCCCCTACAGTCTGTTAAGGCTATATGGGGGATCTTTGTTTTTATCTTTGTTGTGTGTCACTGTGTGTGTGTCTGTGTGTGTGTGTCACTGTGTGTGTGTGTGTCACTGTGTATGTGTCACTGTGTGTGTGTGTGACTGTGTGTGTGTCACTGTGTGTGTGTGTCACTGTGTGTGTGTCACTGTGTCTGTGTGTCACTGTGTGTGTCTGACTGTGTGTGTCACTGTGTGTGTGACTGTGTGTCTGTGTCACTGTGTGTGTGTGTCACTGTGTGTGACTGTGTGTGTGTCACTGTGTGTGTGTCACTGTGTGTGTGTCACTGTGTGTGTGTGACTGTGTGTGTGTGACTGTGTGTGTGTCACTGTGTGTGTGTGTCACTGTGTGTGTGTGTCACTGTGTGTGTGTCACTGTGTGTGTGTGTCACTGTGTGTGTGTGTGTCACTGTGTGTGTGTGTGTCACCGTGTGTGTGTCACTGTGTGTGTCAATGTGTGTGTGTGTCACTGTGTGTGTGTGTGTCACTGTGTGTGTGTGTCACTGTGTGTGTGTCACTGTGTGTGTGTCACTGTGTGTGTGTCACTGTGTGTGTCAATGTGTGTGTGTGTCACTGTGTGTGTGTGTGTCACTGTGTGTGTGTGTCACTGTGTGTGTGTCACTGTGTGTGTCACTGTGTGTGTGTGTGTCACTGTGTGTGTGTCACTGTGACTGTGTATGTCACTGTGTGTGCTACATGGAGCAGGTTGTGGTTCAAGGCATCTCCGAGGTGACTCGCGCTGTGATTCACGTGGACGAGACGGCCAACGCTGGCGCAGGAGGTAAAGCTCGCAGCAGTCACCCCCAGCCACTCAGTAGTCACCCCCAGCCACTCAGTAGTCACCCCCAGCCACTCAGTAGTCACCCCCAGCCACTCAGTAGTCACCCCCAGCCACTCAGTAGTCACCCCCAGCCACTCAGTAGTCACCCCCAGCCACTCAGTAGTCACCCCCAGCCACTCAGTAGTCACCCCCAGCCACTCAGTGGTCACCCCCAGTCACTCAGTAGTCACCCCCAGCCACTCAGTAGTCACCCCCAGCCACTTAGTAGTCACCCCCAGCCACTCAGTAGTCACCCCCAGCCACTCAGTAGTCACCCCCAGTCACTCAGTAGTCACCCCCAGCCACTCAGTAGTCACCCCCAGTCACTCTCAGTAGTCACCCCCAGCCACTCAGTAGTCACCCCCAGCCACTCAGTAGTCACCCCCAGCCACTCAGTAGTCACCCCCAGTCACTCAGTAGTCACCCCAGTCACTCAGTAGTCACCCCCAGTCACTCAGGCGTCACCCCCAGTCACTCAGTAGTCACCCCCAGCCACTCAGCAGTCACCCCCAGTCACTCTCAGTAGTCACCCCCAGTCACTCACTAGTCACCCCCAGCCACTCAGTAGTCACCCCCAGTCACTCGCAGCAGTCACCCCCAGCCACTCAGTAGTCACCCCCAGCCACTCAGTAGTCACCCCCAGCCACTCAGTAGTCACCCCCAGCCACTCAGTAGTCACCCCCAGACACTCAGTAGTCACCCCCAGCCACTCAGTAGTCACCCCCAGCCACTCAGTAGTCACCCCCAGTCACTCAGTAGTCACCCCCAGCCACTCAGTAGTCACCCCCAGCCACTCAGTAGTCACCCCCAGCCACTCAGTAGTCACCCCCAGCCACTCAGTAGTCACCCCCAGTCACTCAGTAGTCACCCCCAGCCACTCAGTAGTCACCCCCAGTCACTCTCAGTAGTCACCCCCAGCCACTCAGTAGTCACCCCCAGCCACTCAGTAGTCACCCCCAGCCACTCAGTAGTCACCCCCAGTCACTCAGTAGTCACCCCCAGTCACTCAGTAGTCACCCCCAGTCACTCAGTAGTCACCCCCAGTCACTCAGGCGTCACCCCCAGTCACTCAGTAGTCACCCTCAGCCACTCAGCAGTCACCCCCAGTCACTCTCAGTAGTCACCCCCAGTCACTCACTAGTCACCCCCAGCCACTCAGTAGTCACCCCCAGTCACTCAGCCATCACCCCCAGTCACTCAGCAGTCACCCCCAGTCACTCAGTTGTCACCCCCAGTCACTCAGTAGTCACCCCCAGTCACTCAGTAGTCACCCCCAGTCACTCAGTAGTCACCCCCAGTCACTCTCAGTAGTCACCCCCAGTCACTCTCAGTAGTCACCCCCAGCCACTCAGTAGTCACCCCCAGTCACTCAGCAGTCACCCCCAGCCACTCAGTAGTCACCCCCAGTCACTCAGCCGTCACCCCCAGTCACTCAGCAGTCACCCCCAGTCACTCAGTAGTCACCCCCAGTCACTCAGTAGTCACCCCCAGTCACTCAGCAGTCACCCCCAGTCACTCAGTAGTCACCCCCAGTCACTCAGTAGTCACCCCCAGTCACTCAGTAGTCACCCCCAGTCACTCTCAGTAGTCACCCCCAGTCACTCAGTAGTCACCCCCAGTCACTCTCAGTAGTCACCCCCAGTCACTCAGTAGTCACCCCCAGTCACTCTCAGTAGTCACCCCCAGTCACTCAGTAGTCACCTCCAGTCACTCAGTAGTCACCCCCAGTCACTCACTAGTCACCCCTAGTCATTCAGTAGTCACCCCCAGTCACTCAGTAGTCACCCCCAGTCACTCTCAGTAGTCACCCCCAGTCACTCTCAGTAGTCACCCCCAGTCACTCTCAGTAGTCACCCCCAGTCACACTCAGTAGTCACCTCCAGCCACTCAGTAGTCACCCCCAGTCACTCAGCAGTCACCCCCAGTCACTCAGCAGTCACCCCCAGTCACTCTCAGTAGTCACCCCCAGTCACTCAGTAGTCACCCCCAGTCACTCAGTAGTCACCCCCAGTCACTCAGTAGTCACCCACAGTCACTCAGTAGTCACCCCCAGTCACTCAGTAGTCACCCCCAGTCACTCACTAGTCACCCCTAGTCATTCAGTAGTCACCCCCAGTCACTCAGTAATCACCCCCAGTCACTCAGTAGTCACCCCCAGTCACTCTCAGTAGTCACCCCCAGTCACTCTCAGTAGTCACCCCCAGTCACTCTCAGTAGTCACCCCCAGTCACACTCAGTAGTCACCTCCAGCCACTCAGTAGTCACCCCCAGTCACTCAGCAGTCACCCCCAGTCACTCAGCAGTCACCCCCAGTCACTCTCAGTAGTCACCCCCAGTCACTCAGTAGTCACCCACAGTCACTCAGTAGTCACCCCCAGTTACTCAGTAGTCACCCCCAGTCACTCAGTAGTCACCCACAGTCACTCAGCAGTCACCCCCAGTCACTCAGTAGTCACCCCCAGTCACTCAGCAGTCACCCCCAGTCACTCAGCAGTCACCCCCAGTCACTCAGTAGTCACCCCCAGTCACTCAGTAGTCACCTCCAGTCACTCAGGAGTCACCCCCAGTCACTCAGGAGTCACCCCCAGTCACTCAGTAGTCACCCCCAGTCACTCAGTAGTCACCCACAGTCACTCAGCAGTCACCCCCAGTCACTCAGTAGTCACCCCCAGTCACTCAGTAGTCACCCCCAGTCACTCAGTAGTCACCCCCAGTCACTCTCAGTAGTCACCCCCAGTCACTCAGTAGTCCCCCCAGTCACTCAGTAGTCACCCCCAGTCACTCAGCAGTCACCCCCTGTCACTCAGCAGTCACCCCCAGTCACTCAGTAGTCACCCCCAGTCACTCTCAGTCACTCTCCTACTCATCGACACCAACAGAGACCTATAGACACCCACAGAGACCCATAGACACCCACAGAGACCCACATAGACCCATAGACACCCACAGACACCCACAAACACCCATAGACACCCACAGAGACCCACATAGACACCCAGAGAGACCCATAGACACCCACAGAGACCCACAGAGACCTATAGACACCCACAGAGACCCATAGACACCCACAGAGATTCACATAGACCCATAGACACCCACGGAGACCCACAGACACCCACAGAGACCCATAGACACCCACAGAGACCCATAGACTCCCACAGAGACCCATAGACACCCACAGAGACCCACATAGACACCCACAGAGACCCACAGAGACCCACAGAGACCTATAGACACCCACAGAGACCCATAGACACCCACAGAGACCCACATAGACCCATAAACACCCACAGACACCCACAGACACCCATAAACACATACAGAGACCGACATAGACACCCAGAGAGACCCATAGACACCCACAGAGACCCACATAGACACCCAGAGAGACCCACATAGACACCCAAACAGACACGCACAGACACCCATAGACACCCACATAGACACCCACAGAGACCCACAGATACCCACAGAGACCCATAGACACCCACAGAGACCCATAGACACGCACAGAGACCCATAGACATCCATAGACACCCACAGAGACCCATAGACACCCACAGAGACCCACAGAGACCCATAGACACCCACAGAGACCCACGGAGACCCATAGACACCCACAGAGACCCATAGAGACCCATAGACACGCACAGACACCCACAGAGACCCATAGACACCCACAGAGACCCATAGACACCCACAGAGACCCATAGACACCCACAGAGACCCATAGAGACCCATAGACACCCACAGAGACCCACGGAGACCCACAGAGACCCATATACACCCACGGAGACCCACAGACACCCACAGACACCCACAGAGACCCATAGACACCCACAGAGACCCACATAGACACCCACAGAGACCCACAGAGACCCATAGACACCCACATAGACCCATAGACACCCACAGAGACCCACAGAGACCCACAGAGACCCATAGACACCCACAGAGACCCATAGACACCCACAGAGATTCACATAGACCCATAGACACCCACGGAGACCCACAGACACCCACAGAGACCTATAGACACCCACAGAGACCCATAGACTCCCACAGAGACCCATAGACACCCACAGAGACCCACATAGACACCCACAGAGACCCACAGAGACCCACTGAGACCTATAGACACCCACAGAGACCCATAGATTCCCACAGAGACCCACAGAGACCCACAGACACCCAAAGAGACCCATAGACACCCACAGAGATCCACATAGACAGCCACAGACAGCCACAGACAGCCACAGACACCCACAGACACCCACAGACAGCCACAGACACCCACAGAGACCCACAGATACTGACACAAAGACCCAAAGAGACCCATTGAGACCCATACTCATAAACCTCCTGTACACCAGGCGAGGTAATCAACATCTCATCAAATATACAGCAGCAGCAGTCATCGTCAGGGTCACGGGATGCAACCCGCGACCTCCTGCGTATCAGGCGAGGTAGTCAACATTTCCCCAGCTATTCAGCGTCTCACAGGGTACACGGGATGCAACCCGCGACCTCCTGCGTACCAGGCGAGGTAGTCAACATCTCATGGATGCTCTTAGGAGACGCTGGAGGGAGTCGCCGCTTCAAGCTGCTCGTGGAGGGAGACAATCTGAGGGCTGTGATGGCGACACACGGAGTGTGTGGGGCACACACCACCTCCAACAACACTTACGAGGTGATGCACGCACACACACACAGACACACACACACACAGACACACACACAGACACACACACAGACACACAAACACAGACACACACAGACACACACACAGACACACACACACACAGACACACACACACACAGACACACACAGACACACACACACACACAGACACACACACACACAGACACACACACAGACACACACACACACAGACACACACACAGACACACACACAGACACACACACAGAGACACACACAGACACACACACAGACACACACACAGACACACACACAGACACACAGACACACACACAGACACACACACAGACAGACACACACAGACACACACACAGACACACACACACACACAGACACACACACAGACACACACACAGACATACACAGACACACACAGACACACACACAGACACACAAACACACACACAGACACACACACAGACACACACAGAGACACACAGACACAGACACACACACAGACACACACAGACACACACAGACACATCTCTCTGTGTGTGTCTGCAGGTGGAGCGAACTCTGGGCATCGAGGCGGCGCGGGTGACCATCGTGAACGAGATCCAATACACGATGGTCAACCACGGCATGAGCATCGACCGCCGGCACGTCACCTTGCTGGCCGACCTCATGACGTACAAGGTTACCACTCACTCACTCACTGTGTCTGTGTGTGTGTCTGTGTGTATCTGTGTGTGTGTGTGTCTGTGTGTGTCTGTGTGTGTATGTGTGTCTGTATGTGTGTGTGTATGTGTGTGTCTGTGTGTATGTGTGTCTGTGTGTGTGTGTGTCTGTGTGTGTGTATGTGTGTGTGTATGTGTGTCTGTATGTGTGTGTGTGTCTGTGTGTATGTGTGTCTGTGTGTATGTGTGTCTGTATGTGTGTCTGTCTGTATGTGTGTCTGTATGTGTGTCTGTATGTGTGTGTGTGTCTGTGTGTGTCTGTGTGTGTGTCTGTGTGTGTGTGTGTCTGTGTGTGTCTGTGTGTGTGTCTGTATCTGTGTGTATCTGTGTGTGTCTGTGTGGGTATGTCTGTGTGTGTCTGTGTGTCTGTGTGTGTCTGTGTGGGTATGTCTGTGTGTGTCTGTGTGTCTGTGTGTGTCTGTGTGTGTGTGTGTTTGTCTGTGTTTGTGTGGCACAAGCGTCGTGGTGACGTCACCGCCACTTAGTTGCGAATGGCGGTTGTTGTTGTGTTTGTGTGTGTGCCTGTGTGTGTGTGTCTGTGCGTGTGTGTCTGTGCGTGTGTGTCAGGGAGAGGTGCTAGGCATCACGAGATTTGGCCTGGCTAAGATGAAGGAGAGTGTGCTCATGCTGGCTTCCTTTGAGAAGACAGCCGATCATCTGTTCGACGCAGCGTACTTCGGACAGGAAGACTCTGTGTGCGGTGAGGCCACTCTGCCTCTGTCTATCTCTCTGTCTGTTTCTCTCTCTGTGTCTCTCTGTCTTTCTCCGTGTCTCTCTCTGTCTCTGTGTCTCTCTGTTTGTCTCTCTCTCTGTGTCTCTCTGTCTCTGTCTGTCTCTCTCTGTGTCTCTCTGTCTCTCTCTGTCTCTCTCTGTGTGTCTCTCTGTTTCTCTGTCTCTCTCTGTCTATCTCTCTGTCTCTCTGTCTATCTCTCTGTCTCTCTGTGTCTCTCTGTCTCTCTCTGTGTCTCTCTGTCTCTCTCTCTCTGTGTCTCTCTCTCTGTCTCTCTCTGTCTCTCTCTGTGTCTCTCTCTCTGTCTCTATGTGTCTCTCTATATATCTATCTCTGTGTCTCTATGTGTCTCTCTCTGTGTGTCTCTGTCTGTGTGTAGCAGTCTCTGTATCTCTCTCTCTATGTGTCTCGCTCTGTGTGTCTCTCTGTATCTCTGTGTGTCTCTATGTGTCTCTCTCTCTATGTGTCTCTCTGTGTATAGCAGTCTCTGTATCTATCTCTCTCTCTCTATGTGTCTCGCTCTATGTATCTCTCTGTGTCCCTATGTGTCTTTCTCTATGTGTCTCGCTCTGTGTGTCTCTATGTATCTCTGTGTCTGTATGTGTTTCTATCTCTCTATGTGTCTCGCTCTATTTGTCCCTCTGTGTCTCTCTCTCTCTGTGTCTCTCTGTCTGTGTCTGTCTGTGTAGGGGTCTCCGAGTCCATCATCATGGGCATCCCCATGAGCATCGGCACGGGCATCTTCAAGCTGCTCCACCGCTCAACGCGAGACTCCCCGCGCCCGCCAAGGGCACTGCTGTTTGACAACCCCTCCTTCCACGTCGCCACCGCCTGACTGGGCCTGACTAGGCCTGACAAAGCCTGACTGGGTCTGACAAGGCCTGACTAGGCCTGACAAATCCTGATTAGGCCTTACTCAGCCTGACAAAGCCTGACAAGGCCTGACAAAGCCTGACAAAGCCTGACTAGGCCTGACTGGGTCTGACTGGATCTGACAAGGCCTGACTAGGCCTGACAGGACCTGACTAGGCCTGACACGGCCTGACAGGGCCTGACTGGGCCAGACTGGGCCAGACTGGGCCTTACATGGACTGACTGGGCCTGACACGGCCTGACTAGTCCTGACTAGGCCTGACAGGGCCTGACTAGGCCTGACAAGGCCTGACAAGGCCTGACTGGGCCTGACAGGGCTTGACTGAGCCTGGCAGGGCCTTTCTAGGTCTGGCACGGAGTGACAAAGCCTGACTAGGTCTGACAAAGCCTGACTAGGTCTGACAAAGCCTGACAAAGCCTGACAAGGCCTGACAAAGCCTGACAAGGCCTGACAAAGCCTGACTAGGCGTGACAAAGCCTGACTAGGCCTGACTGGGTCTGACTAGGCCTGACAAGGCCTGACAAAGCCTGTTCTAGGCCTGACTGGGTCTGACTGGGTCTGACAAGGCCTGACAAGGCCTGACAAGGCCTGATAAGGCCTGACTAGTCCTGACAGGGCCTGGCAGGGTCTGGCAGGGCCTTTATAGGCCTGACAGGGTCTGACAAAGCCTGACACGGCCTGACTAGGTCTGGCATAGCGTGACAAAGCCTGACTAGGTCTGACTGGGTCTGACTGGGTCTGACAAAGCCTGACACGTCCTGACTGGGGCTGACTGGGTCTGACAAAGCCTGACAAGGCCTGACAAAGCCTGACAAGGCCTGACAGGGCCTGACTGGGTCTGACAAGGCCTGACTAGGCCTGACTAGGCCTGACAAAGCCTGACAAAGCCTGAAAAAGCCTGACTGGGTCTGACTGGGTCTGACTGGGTCTGACAAGGCCTGACTAGGCCTGACAGGGCCTGACAAAGCCTGACTGGGTTTGACTGGGTCTGACTAGGCCTGTCAGGGCCTGACAGGGCCTGACAAAGCCTGACAAGGCCTGACTAGTCCTGACAGGGCCTGACAAAGCCTGACAAGGCCTGACTAGTCCTGATAAGGCCTGACAGGGCCTGACAAAGCCTGATAAAGCCTGACTAGGTCTGACTGGGTCTGACTGGGCCTGACAAGGCCTGACAGGACCTGGCTGTGTTCGTGTACTTGATGCGACAACAATAAAAATACAATTTAATTTCACTGAGTAATTTTATTTGATGGTTTTGTGTTTGTTAATTTTGTTGTAATGACATAAGTAGTTTTCGTTACGCCAATTGGGATACACGATGATGAATGTGATTATAGGGGTACAGATCACGTGATGATGAATGTGATTATAGGGGTACAGGTCACGTGGTGATGATTGTGATTATAGGGGTACAGATCACGTGATGATGAATGTGATTATAGGGGTACAGGTCACGTGATGATGATTGTGATTATAGGGGTACAGGTCACGTGATGATGAATGTGATTATAGAGGTACAGGTCACGTGATGATGAATGTGACTAGGGGTACAGGTCACGTGATGATGAATGTGATTATAGGGTGATCACGTGATGATGAATGTGATTATAAGGGTACAGGTCACGTGGTGATGAATGTGATTATAGAGGTACAGGTCACGTGATGATGAATGTGATTATAGGGGTACAGATCACGTGATGATGATTGTGATTATAGGGGTACAGGTCACGTGATGATGATTGTGATTATAGGGGTACAGGTCACGTGATGATTGTGACTATAGGGGTACAGGTCACGTGGTGATGAATGTGATTATAGGGGTACAGGTCACGTGGTGATGAATGTGATTATAGGGTGATCACGTGATGATGAATGTGATTATAGGGTGATCACGTGATGATGAATGTGGTTATAGAGTGATCACGTGATGATGAATGTGATTATAGGGGAACCGCGTTCTTTGCGAGAACGCCTAGTGCCAATTGGGATAAACAAGGAACGAGATCGAGTTGGAATGGTGCCACGGCATATTCTTTGGGTCATTCCGGAAAGTCACGGAGATAGGTTCAAAGAAAATGATGGGGTAACAGGTGATCAGTGTGGGGGTCTACAGCTAACTCATTAAACACACATACACGTGGTGATGATTGTGTAACAGGTGAGCAGTAGAGTCTATAGATAACTCATTAAACACACACACACATCTCCTGGAACTGGGAAACCGGTGGACATCTCCCGCTAGGGGCCCCTCGGGTAAAAAACCCATGGTACCAGGTGACCCCCCCACGAGATCCTACGTGGGTGCATGTGAGTGTGTAGTGGTGGGTGTGCGTGTGTGTTCAGTGTGCGTGTGTGTGTTTAGTGGTGTGTGTGTGTTTAGTGTGTGTGTGTTTAGTGTGTGTGTTTAGTGGGGGTGTGTGTGTGTGTTTAGTGTGTGTGTGTTTAGTGTGTGTGTGTTTAGTGGGTGTGTGTGTTTAGTGGGTGTGTGTGTTTAGTGTGTGTGTGTGTGTGTTTAGTGTGTGTGTTTAGTAGGTGTGTGTGTGTGTTTAGTGTGTGTTTAGTGGGGGTGTGCGTGTGTGTGTTTAGTGGGTGTGTGTTTGTTTAGTGGGGGTGTGTGTGTTTAGTGAGGTGTGAGTGTGTGTGTGTTTAGTGGGGTGCGTGTGTGTGTTTAGTGGTGGGTGTGCGTGTGTGTGTTTAGTGGGGGGGTGTGTGTGTGTGTGTTTAGTGGTGGGTGTGCGTGTGTGTGTTTAGTGGGGGTGTGTGTGTGTGTTTAGTGGTGGGTGTGTGTGTGTTTAGTGGGTGTGTGTGTTTAGTGTGTGTGTTTAGTGGTGGGTGTGTGTGTGTTTAGTGGGTGTGTGTGTGTTTAGTGTGTGTGTATGTTTAGTGGGTGTGTGTGTGTGTTTAGTGGTGGGTGTGTGTGTGTTTAGTGGTGGGTGTGTGTGCTCCGGTTGCTATGGCACAACAAGCTGTATCTACAAAATTACTTAAAAAATAAAGACTTAACCTTTCCTAGAATGGACGTGTCCAAGGAACTTCTTTACCCGTGTGTATATACCGTTGTGTGTATATATACACTCGTGTGTATGTATATACCGTTGTGTGTGTGTGTATATATACACTCGTGTGTGTATATACCTTTGTGTGTATGCATATATCTTTGTGTGTACATATACACACGTATACATATTCATGTGTATATATTTGTGTGTATATATACATACACACGTGTGTAGGTATATGTATATACACGTGTATGTGTGTGGTGCTGGCCACCCACCCCCTCGCGTGCCGTTTCTGCCTTCATAGGTGCTCCTCGCTAACAGCACTTGTCCCAAACGCCTGTTGAGGCTACACGGGGGATCTTTGTCTTTATATACGTGTGTGTGTGTGCGCATGCCATCATCAATAATTTCCTGTGACGAGGCAGGCTGGGTTGGTAGTTTATTTACATTATGAGACCTCCTTTGCCAGTAACAAGATATAGTAATAGGTTTTTACCCTTTTAGTTGGCACAAAAACTGACACCTTTATACAAGGCATCATGTTTGCAATAACCACAACACAAGCAGTCAAAAATGCAAACAAAAGGAGACAACTGTGATAATAATATTGGCACTGTCCTTGAATTTGATTGGTCCACACCCGAGACGGCTTTTCTTAGAGCCCTTTAGTCTCCACTGGTGTTGGACCAGAAGACGCCAAAAGGCGTACAACTCAAAAACAGCGCACTATCAGAGTATTGAGAGCTCGGGGTAAGCCTTTACATTATGAGACCTCCTTTGCCAGTAACAAGATGTGCCAGCTAAAAGGGTAAAAACCTATTACTATGGGTTGGTAGGTCACAATGTAAGGTGTTATATTTTTTATTGGCTATTTGTTCCCCCACAAAACTTTGCTTTTGTGACCAGCAATTTACCTGAAGGAAAGACACAGATCACGTTTTCTCTGATTGACAATAGGTGCATCTCAAGATGTCACTATCCTGGGTCACAAAAGCAACGTTTGTGGAGAATAACAGCCACGAATTGCCAGAATGGCCCAATGATGCTGAATGTAATTACCAGCGAAACGTCGTGCTACTCAAACTGTAAATATAATAGATTATTAGTAGATTAGTAATCTATGTTACTATAGGGAATCACACTAATTAAAATTAAGAAGGGTGAGTAGCTGGATGGATGATTTACAGGGTGGGTCGGAGGATCCGTGAGACAAAGCGGGAAGCTGATTGTCTTGGGAGTCTCCTGCCCCTAGTTGAGGACTGGCCACATCTCATGGTGGCAGGAGACAGAGCCAAAGAGACACACACACACCCGGAGAGACACCTACAGAGACAAAGATAAAGATCCTCCGTGTAGCCTTAACAGACTGTAGGGGCAAGTGCTGTTAGCGAGCACCTATGAAGGCCGGAACGGTACACGAGGGGGTGAGTGGCCAGCACCACGCCCGACCCCCTTTGTCTCCCTAGTGGCAATGTTTACACACTGCACCAGGTACTCATTTGAGGCTGAGTCGACCTAGGGGAGGCCCAGGACTGGTTCAGATAATCATCACTGGTGTTGGCCGTGAGCGGGAATCGAACCTGGGTCGTCAAGTTCATAGCGCAGCGCGCTAACCACTACACTACCGCTCCCCACTCATATAGAGACACACACACAGACATACGGAGAGAGACACACATAGAGATACACACACACACGGAGAGACACACATAGAGACACACGCACACACAGACACACGGAGAGACACACATAGAGACACACACATACATACACGGAGAGACACACAGAGAGACACACACACAGACATAAGGAGAGAGACACACATAAACACACGGAGAGACACATATAGAGACACACACACACAGGCATACGGAGAGACACACACGCACACAAACTCCAGGGTCCACGTCCCACGCGGCTCTTCGGTCTTTCATTTTTGCCCGGGCCACTCAGAACTCGTCGAAGATGTCCAGCAGGCGCGTGTAGGTGTCACGCGTGGCCCACAGCGCCAGCCAGAACTTCCGCGCCTCGCGGCGGCCCTTCTGCTCGACGATATCCAGCAGCTCAGTGGCGGCAGCGGCACCTCCACTGTTTGACCTGGCCTTGACCTTCTACTCTCAAACAACCACAACGACAACACGACACACACAGAACATCAACACACACAGCATCATCAACACGACACACACACATCATCAACACGACACACACATATCAACACGACACACACACACAGCATCATCAACACGACACACACACACATCAACACACACACAACACCTCCATTGTTGACCTTCTTCTCTCAAACAACCACAACGACAAGACACACACACACATCATCAACACGACACACACACACATCAACACGACACACACACACAGCATCATCAACACGACACACACAACAACAACCGCCATTCGCCACTAAGTGGCAGTGACATCACCACGACGCTTGTGCCAAGCTATGTGCACCTTGAGGCCACGTGAAGTGTCGAACGCCCGATGGCAGGAGGTCACGGGGCAGACCCAAGTGCCACAGGTCGACTGACTGAGATGACTGATATGACTGGCTGATGCACCACCTGTGCCAACCTGCTGTGCTTTAGCCACCCGGAGCTCCGCTCGTTGTTTTGAGCGTCGCTCCTCCGCCCTCCGTTGTTGTTGGAGGGTGACTGCCTCCAACTGCCCAGTAGCTTCCTTCACGAGCCTCTTCCACAGAGGCCGATCTTGACACCGCTGGTACCGGTCATCGGCAAGTCCACTCAGCTCCACATCCTCCTGTACCACATCACTCCATCTCTTCTCTAGCCTGTGCCGCGCCCGTTTAGCCCCCTCGATCTGGCCAAACAAAAGCTGTTTAGGCATGCTGTGGCTGGGCATGCGGGCTACTTGACCCAGCCAACGCAGCCTTGCCTGCCAAAGGAGCTCACCGATGGGACCTTGTCCAGATCTTTCAAGGATTTGTGAGCTCCTCACACAATCCAGCCTGGTTAAACCCAGGATGTATCGTAGGCAGGCTAGCCTAAATGTTCCATTAGGGGGTTCCACGTTTCGCAAGCGTAGAGAAAGGAGAGAATGACTGTGGCCGAGAAGACCTGAAGCTTAGTACGGAGCGACAGCCCAGGTAGCTTCCACACAGCGTTACGCAACCGATGAAAAGATATTGCCGCTCGACTGATTCGGAGTGAGACCTCTGCTGTTAAGCTGGAGCCGGTCATAAGCACGCTGCCCAGGTATGGGAAACTCTCCACTCTCTCCACAACTGCCCCATCACCGATTGGGAGTTGTGGGGGGGGGAGTGTCCGATGGTACAAAATACCCAGGCAGGTGCTTAGTTTTGGTGGGGCTGATGGTAAGGCCCCATCTCTTAGTGGCACGCTGCAGTCGCAGCAGCAGCGTCTCCAACTGCTCCTCTGAATGAGCAGCTATTACCAAATCATCGGCATACATAACGTAGTTGAGCAATAGAGAGCCATCCCTTGACCGCACCCGGGCATCGATCAGCCTCCCATTATATCTGTACCAAATGGAGATTCCCCCGGTAGAGCTATTGAAGGCTTCATGAACTACGTGGTCAAAATAGATGTTAAATAATGTGGGAGCCAGAGGACATCCCTGTCACACCCCAAGGTGTACAGGGAATGGCTCTGACTCCCAGCAATGTAGTTTTACCCGGGCCCGCTCACCATCATGAAGGTCCTTAATGATCGTGAGCAGAGGGTCAGGGACTCCAAAAGCACGAAGAACAACCCAGAGCCCAGGCCTACTGATAGTATCATAGGCCTTGACCAGGTCAATAAAGCAGAGATGTAGGTCTTGTTGGAATTCCCTACACCTCTGCTGTAGCAGACGGACAGAAAATATGGCATCTGTGCAGGACCACCCTTTCCTGAAACCACATTGGGGCTCCGCAAGCCTCTCCTCAGCGTGCCTGGCAAGGCGATGTTGAAGAATCCTTGCCAGGACCTTTCCCGGCACACTGAGGAGTGAGATGCCCCTGTAGTTGTTACAGTCTGTGCATAGGCCCGCATCCGCTGGTCCGTCACTATGTAGTCCAGCAGATGTTCTTGCTTGGACCCGGCATGCATCCATGATGTTTGTTTGGATGTGCCGATGCCGCAACAGCGTGTTGGTAATTACAAGCCCATGGGCTGCACAAAAATCTAGCAGCCTCCTACCGTTGTTATTGAGCTGAGCTGGCCCATGCCTTCCAATCACTCCAGACCAGGTGCCAGCATCATGACCAACTCGGGCATTGAAGTCACCCAAAAAGATGACTCTATCCCGAGGGGCCACTTTAGCCAGCACCTGTGACAGGAGGTCATAGAAGGCATCTGACTAATCAGCTTTGCCTGCATTCCTCCACGGATGTTCGTCTTCGGTGGGGACATAATTAACCACGACCACCACTCCTCCCCTCTGATTGAGGGGAAGGCGAGCCCAAAGTAGCCTGGGACTTACAGCTTCCCACACCTCACCGCCACGCTCCCACGCCCTCTTCATTCTTTTGTTCAAAAGAAGAGCCACACACTGGTGTTTGGCAGTCTCCTGCCCCGAGTAGAGGACTGTCCACCCCTCATGGTGGCAGCAGCCAGCACCGGTCCACCGGATCTTCTGAATGTCACAGAGATCCAGGTGGTACCGGTCCAGGTCCCGACAGAGGAATGGCAGCCTCTCCTCCGCAGTGAGCATTCCAACATTCCATGTGGCCACGCGAAGTGGCTTTTCGTTGTTTCTGGAGGAGCCCCGAGGGTAAAGATTCAATCTCCTGGCTCCGCCAATTGGGGTTTGGCCAGGAGACATCATAGACGCGTGTCCCCCTGGGGCCTCCGGCACAAGCTTATTAGTTACATATTTAATTCGTGGATAAGTGGTAATTTATTGAAGTTGGAGGGGTTACCAGCCCCTCGCACCCGTCCAGAGCCCTCGTTTAGCCACTGTAGTGGTCATTGAGGGGAGAGGTCAATCGGAATTGGCCCTCCCCCCACAGCACTGTCCACGACAGAGTTTCCCGTCCGGCACCGCGAGGAGGTAGGTTGTTTTTCACACATCAACACAAACACAACATTAACACGACACACACACACACATCATCAACACGACACACACACATCGTCAACACGACACACACACAACATCAACACGACACACGTAACATCATCAACACAACACACACACAGCAACGTCAGCACACACACATCAACACGATGATGATTTCGCCGATGGTGATTTTTTCCCCCCCGACGATTTCTATCCGACGCCGCCGCCGACGAGAGCCTCACGTCTTTCTCGGCCGCCGTGATGACCTCCTTGGAGCGCAGCTCGTTGAGTATCGGCAGGAGGTCGCCCTGCAGGGCTTGCACGAGCTGCGGCGTCAGAGGAACGATCCTCCGCTGGAGCTCCTTGTCGTCGCCGCAAGCTTGCAGCTTCGCCTCGAATGATGACGCAACGGGAGCAGGAGGCGGAGACACTGCCGGTAACGCTTCCGGGAGCTGGACAGATACCGCGCCCGCGGTGGGGTACTGGATCTCTGTCGAGTGAATCAAAGAATGAATGAATGTTGTATATTTATGGGATATGCCTTTTTTTTGGGCGGTAGTATTGGGACAAAATATATATTAAATAACAATAGGGAGTTAAAACTCTGCTCTGGCAATGAAACAGGGGGAGTTAAGATTGTCAAACCACCAAATAAGACACCCAGGGACTCCTCTACTCACGGACATTCGACTTACGGACTCTCACAGATACGAACAAAACTTGTACGATATGGTCCGGTTGCCTGCTCGGAACAAGACTCGTAAGTTGAACAGATGGCTGTGGTATCTACATCTGCAGAACGTGAAAAACCAGTGGTATCTACATCTGCAGAACCTGAAGAACCAGTAGCATCTATCTGCAGAACGTGAAGAACCAGTGGCATTTACATCTGCAAAACGTGAAGAACCAGTGGCATCTACATCTGCAGAACATGAAGAACCAGTGGCATCTACATCTGCAGAACACGAAGAACCAGTGGCATCTACATATGCAGAACCTGAAGAACCAGTGGCATCTACATCTGCAGAACATGAAGAACCAGTGGCATCTACATCTGCAGAACGCGAAGAACCAGTGGCATCTACATCTGCAGAACGTGAAGAACCAGTGGCATCTACATCTGCAAAACATGAAGAACCAGTGGCATCTACATCTGCGAAGAACCAGTGGCATCTACATCTGCGAAGAACCAGTGTCATCTACATCTGCAGAACGTGAAGAACCAGTGGCATCTACATCTGCGAAGAACCAGTGGCATCTACAGGAGATTGTGGTGTGTACACATTGGTCCACACCAGAGACAGCTTTCTTTAGATCCTCGTCTCAAGCGGTGCTAGACCAGAGGACGATGCCAAAAGGCGTACAGCCAACCAGTTTCAAGGACAATGCCATAGATATTCATCAGAGAGTGTTTCTTGTTTGCATTCTGACCGCGAGTATCGTGGCTCAATGCAGAAGCGATTCCTCGTAAAAAGGTTTCAGTTTGGTGTTTTAACATCTTGACGCGGCTGTTTTGTTGCCAGAAAAAATGGGGAAAAACCTATTAACATGTTTAGGTACCGGAAAAGGAGGTCCCATGATGAAGAATACAATAATAATATTATTGTTATCAGACAATGCGTGTATTATCAGAGCGTGTTTGTTTAAAACATCTGCCACAAGTCCCGCGTGTGGTGAATGCAGACTTGGTGCCTTGGCAACACTGGGCGTCTGTTTGGTGGTTTGAACGTCTTCACACAACTCCTGTTTCACTGCCTGAAAGGATAGTGGTGGTAATGATGATGATGGTAATGATGATGATGGTAATGATCATGGTAATGATGATGATGATAGTAATGATAATGCTGGTAATGTTGATGGTAATGATCATGGTAATGATGATAGTAATGATAATGCTGGTAATGATGATGGTAATGATGATGATGGTAACGATCATGATAATGATGATGATAGTAATGATAATGCTGGTAATGATGATGGTAATGATGATGATGGTAATGATCATGGTAATGATGATGATGATAGTAATGATAATGCTGGTAATTATGATGGTAATGATGATGGTAATGATGATGATGGTAATGATCATGGTAATGATGACGATGGTGATGATAGTAATGATAATGCTGGTAATGATGATGGTGGTAATGATGATGATGGTAATGATGATGGTAATGATGATGATGGTAATGATGATGGTAATGATGATGATGATAGTAATGATAATGCTGGTAATGTTGATGGTAATGATCATGGTAATGATGATAATAGTAATGATAATGCTGGTAATGATGATGGTAATGATGATGATGGTAATGATCATGGTAATGATGATGATAGTAATGATAATGCTGGTAATGATGATGGTAATGATGATGATGGTAATGATCATGGTAATGATGACGATGGTGATGATAGTAATGATAATGCTGGTAATGATGATATTGGTAATGATGATGATGGTAATGATGATGATGGTAATCATGACGATGGTAATCATGACGACGGTCATCATCACGATCACCACGATGGTATTCACGACGACGACGATGAAGACGACCTACCGCTGAACCATCCCTTCAGCTGCGGGTACTTGTCTTGCAGGGCGACCAGCGCCTTAATGAGCACCAGGCACTCGTCCCTGCCGATGAAATCGTCGATGAGGAAGTTGGCTCTCTGCGCCTTTCCGGCGATGTCAAGAGCCTCCAGGTACTTGTCACGAGGGATCAGCTCGTTGCTGTCCAGGTGATCCAGCAGGTAGGTGGGGTCCCGGCCGATCCACTGCTTCAGCAGCGGCCTCTTTCCCTTGATCAGCTTTGAGGCGCGAGTTTCGTCCATCGCCTCCTCCTCCTTCCTCCTTCCACCGGCCTCAGCTCCTCACGCCGGCTGCCCTAAAATCGCTCCTGGGGAAGTGCGCGCACACGACGGCAAAACAGCGGCGAGTTGTAGAGGTCGCTGATCGGTGGTTGTGGTAGCAGTAGTCTCTGTGTGTTTGAGTGTGTCTGTATGTGTGTCTGTATGTGTTGTGTCTGTATGTGTGTCTGTGTGTCTATGTATGTCTCTGTGTGTTTGTATGTGTATGTGTGTGTCTGTATGTGTATCTGTATGTGTATCTGTATGTGTATGTGTGTGTCTGTATGTGTATCTGTATGTGTGTCTGTATGTGTTGTGTCTGTATGTATTGTGTCTGTATGTGTGTCTGTGTGTCTATGTATGTCTCTGTGTGTTTGTATGTGTATCTGTATGTGTATGTGTGTGTCTGTATGTGTATCTGTATGTGTGTCTGTATATGTCTGTATGTGTATGTGTCTGTATGTGTATGTGTGTATCTGCATGTGTGTCTCTGTATGTGTGTCTGTATGTGTGTCTGTATGTGTATGTGTGTGTGTCTGTATGTATGTGTGTCTGTATGTGTGTATGTGTGTCTATATGTGTGTCTGTATGTGTGCCTGTATGTATGTGTGTCTATGTACGTGTGTCTGTATGTGTGTCTCTGTATGTGTGTCTGTATGTGTGTCTGTATGTGTGTCTGTATGTGTCTATGTATGTGTGTCTGTATGTGTGTCTGTATGTGTGTGTGTAGGTATGTGTGTCTGTATGTGTGTCTGTATGTGTGTGTCTGTATGTGTGTCTCTGTATGAGTGTCTAAATGTGTGTCTGTATGTATGTGTGTCTGTATGTGTGTGTGTTTGTATGTATGTGTCTGTATGTGTGTCTGCATTCATGTGTGTCTGTATGTGTCTCTTTGTGTTTGAGTGTCTGTATGTGTGTCTGTATGTATGTGTGTCTGTATGTGTATGTGTGTATCTGTATGTGTGTATGTGTGTCTATGTATGTGTGCCTGTGTGTGTGTGTCTGTGTGTGTGTCTGTGTGTGTGTCTGTGTGCCTGTGTGTGTGTCTGTGTGTGTGTGTCTGTGTGTGTGTGTCTGTGTGTGTGTCTGTGTATGTGTGTGTCTGTGTGTGTGTCTGTGTGTCTGTGTGTGTGTGTGTGTCTGTGTGTGTGTGTGTCTGTGTGTGTGTGTGTCTGTGTGTGTGTGTCTGTGTGTGTGTGTCTGTGTGTGTGTGTCTGTGTGTGTGTGTCTGTGTCACTGTGTGTGTGTGTGTGCGTGTCTGTGTGTGTGCGTGTCTGTGTGTGTGTGTCTGTGTGTGTGTGTGTCTGTGTGTGTGTGTCTGTGTGTGTGTCTGTGTGTGTGTGTCTGTGTGTGTGTGTCTGTGTGTGTGTGTGTCTGTGTGTGTGTCTGTGTGTGTGTCTGTGTGTGTGTGTCTGTCTGTGTGTGTGTCTGTGTGTGTCTGTGTGTGTGTGTTTGTATGTGTCTGTGTGTGTGTGTCTGTGTGTGTGTGTCTGTGTGTGTGTGTCTGTGTGTGTGTGTCTGTGTGTGTGTTTGTGTGTGTGTGTGTCTGTGTGTGTGTCTGTGTGTGTGTGTGTCTGTGTGTGTGTGTCTCTTTGTGTACCTGTTGATCCGAGATGCTGTGGTTGGGCGCAGACACCGACACAGACAGACACAGACACACACATAGACAGACACAGACAGACAGACACACACACAGACAGACGCCTGCCTCCGCCTCCTGCTGTCGAGTAAACTTAACGAGGAAGTGTTTCAGAGTTCACCTCTCATCCAGCCCATCTCCCTGAGCCTGCCCATCGACCTCGCCCCTCGCTCCTCCCCACAGCCCCGTCTTGACCGCGACTTCTCAAAAGTGACGTCACACTAGGGCGTGACGTCACCTGTTAAACCCAAACTCATAGAGACCCACACTCACAGAGACCCACACTCATAGAGACTCACACTCATAGAGACTCACAATCATACAGACTCACACTCATAGAGACCCAAACTCATAGAGACCCACACTCACAGAGACCCACACTCATAGAGAATCACACTCATAGAGACCCACAATCATAGAGACTCACACTCATAGAGACTCACACTCATAGATACACACACTCACAGAGACCCACACCCATAGAGACCCACACTCATGGAGACCCACACTCATAGAGACCCACACCCATAGAGACCCAAACTCATAGAGACCCAAACTCACAAAGACCCACACTCATAGAGACCCACACCCACAGAGAATCTTACTCATAGAGACCCACACTCATAGAGACTCACACTCATAGAGACTCACACTCATAGAGACTCACACTCGTAGAGACCAACACTCATAGAGACTCACAATCATACAGACTCACACTCATAGAGACTCACAATCATACAGGCCCACACTCATAGAGACTCACAATCATAGAGACCCACATTCATGGAGACCCAAACTCATAGAGACCCACACTCATAGAGACTCACAATCATAGAGACCCACACCCACAGAAACTCTTACTCATAGAGACTCACACTCATAAAGACCCACAATAATAGAGACTCACACTTATAGAGACCCACAATCATAGAGACCCACAATCATAGAGACTCACACTCATAGAGACTCACACTCATAGAGACTCACAATCATAGAGACCCACGCTCATAGAGACTCACAATCATAGAGACCCACATCCACAGAGACCCACACTCATAGAGACCCACACTCATGGAGACTCACAATGATAGACACCCACACTCACAGAGACCCACAATCATAGAGACTCACACTGATAGAGACTCACACAATACAGAGACCCACACTCATAGAGAACCACACTCAGAGGCCCACACTCATAGAGACCCACACTCATAGGACCCACACTCATAGAGACCCACACTCACAGAGACCCACACTCATAGAGACCCACACTCATAGAGACGCACACTCATAGAGACTCACACTCATAGAGACTCACACTCACAGGGACCCACACTCATAGAGACCCACACCCATAGAGACCCACACTCATAGAGACTCACACTCACAGAGACCCACACTCACAGAGACCCACACTCATAGAGACTCACACTGATAGAGACCCACACTCATAGAGAACCACACTCATAGAGGCCCACACTCATAGAGACCCACATTCATAGAGACCCACACTCACAGAGACCCACACTCACAGAGACCCACACTCATAGAGACTCACACTGATAGAGACCCACACTCATAGAGAACCACACTCATAGAGGCCCACACTCATAGAGACTCACACTCACAGGGACCCACACTCATAGAGACCCACACCCATAGAGACCCACACTCATAGAGACTCACACTCACAGAGACCCACACTCACAGAGACCCACACTCATAGAGACTCACACTGATAGAGACCCACACTCATAGAGAACCACACTCATAGAGGCCCACACTCATAGAGACCCACATTCATAGAGACCCACACTCACAGAGACCCACACTCACAGAGACCCACACTCATAGAGACTCACACTGATAGAGACCCACACTCATAGAGAACCACACTCATAGAGGCCCACACTGATAGAGACCCACATTCATAGAGACCCACACTCACAGAGACCCACACTCACAGAGATCCACACTCATAGAGACCCACACTCACAGAGACCTACACTCATAGAGACTCACACTCACAGAGACCCACACCCATAGAGACCCACACTCATAGAGACCAACACTCACAGAGACCCACACTCATAGAGACTCACAATCATAGAGACCCACACCCACAGGGAATCTTACTCATAGAGACGTACACTCATAGAGACCCACACTCATAGAGACCCACACTCACAGAGACCCACACTCATAGAGACTCACACTCGTAGAGACCCACCCTCATAGAGACTCACAATCATACAGACTCACACTCATAGAGACCCAAACTCATAGAGACCCACACTCACAGAGACCCACACTCATAGAGACTAACACTCATAGAGACCCACAATCATAGAGACTCACAATCATAGAGACCCACACCCACAGAAACTCTTACTCATAGAGACTCACACTCATAGAGACCCACAATAATAGAGACTCACACTTATAGAGACCCACAATCATAGAGACCCACAATCATAGAGACTCACACTCATAGAAACTCAGACACAATCATAGAGACTCACGCTCATAGAGACTCACAATCATAGAGACCCACATCCACAGAGACCCACACTCATAGAGACCCACACTCATGGAGACTCACAATGATAGACACCCACACTCACAGAGACCCACAATCATAGAGACTCACACTGATAGAGACTCACACACACAATACAGAGACCCACACTCATAGAGACCCACAGTCATAGAGACCCACACTCATAGAGACCCACACTCATAGAGACTCACAATCATAGACACCCACACTCACAGAGACCCACACTTATAGAGACTCACACTGATAGAGACCCACACTCACAGAGACCCACACTCATAGAGACCCACACTGATAGAGACCCATACTCACAGAGACCCACACTCATAGAGACCCACACTAATAGAGACCCACACTCACAGAGACCCACACTCACAGAGACCCACAATCGTAGAGACCCACACTCAGAGACCCACAGAGATCCATACTAATATAGAGCCATAGAAACCCACAGAGACTCATACTCATAAAGACCCACAAGGATCCACACTCATAGAGACCCACAAAGACTCATTCTCATAGAGACCCACAGAGATCCATACTCATAGAGAGCCATAGAGACCCACAAAGACACATACTCATAGAGACCCACAGAGACTCATACTCATAGAGACCCACAGAGACTCATGCTCATAGAGACCCACAGAGACTCATACTCATTGAGAGCCACAGAGATCAATTGTCAATTTTTTTCACTTTAATATTATTTTCATTTTCCATCTACGTGACTTCACCGAAAGAACCAAGAATCATAATTACACTTGCGTGGTTCATTTACATTGAGCCCATAACCGGCTTCGCCTGGCACAGCGATACGTGCCGAAGTCACCGTCAGTTAGTGGCGAACGGGAGGCTGCATCGGTGTTGGGAAGGGGCTGTAATGAAGTGCAAGCTCTGTGAGCTCGTTGACATTAGGCCGATGAAACACGAGCCAGGGAAGAGATGGAGCCGATGTGGTCACAGGAGGACGTGGAGCTGAGTGGGACTTGCCGATGAGCGGCACCGGCGGTGTTCACGACCGGCCTCTGCGGTGGAGAAGGCTCGTGAAGGACGCTGCTGCTACTGGGGACAGTGCCAGCATAGGTGCACCTCGGGGCTACTGGGCAGTTGGGAGGCAGTCGCCCCTCCAGCAACAACGGAGGGCGGAGGAGCGACGCTCACAACAACAAGCGGAGCGCCCGGTGGCTAAAGCACAGCAGGTTGGCACAGTAGGGGGCACAGGTGGTGCATCAGCCAGTCATCTCAGTCATCTCAGTCAGTCGACCCGTGGCACCTGGGTCTGCCCGGTGACCTCCTTCCAGCAGGCGTTCGACACTTCACGTAGCCTCAACGTGCACCTGGCCTGGCACAACCGTCGTGGTGATGTCACCGCCACTTAGTGGAGAATGGTGGTTGCAAACACAAAGCGGTGTTAGAATAGAGGATGCCAAAAGGCGCCGTTTGGCATCGTCCACTGGTCTAGGACCGCTTGAGACGAGGATCTAAAGAAAGCTGTCTCTTGTGTGGACCAGTCTCGAAGACAATGCCACAGATATTAATCAGAGCGTGTGTTTTGTTTGCATTCTAACCACAAGTCTTGTGGTTAGTCCGGGCGTGATTCCTCGTAAAAGGTTTCAGTTTGGTGTTTTAACTTCTCGAAGCGGCTGTTTTGTTGCCAGACAAAAGGGGAAAACCTTTTCTCATATTTTGGTACCATCAAAGGAGGTCCCAGCGCATATTGATTGATGGTTGTGGCAAGTGCCGTTCGCCTTTTGGTATCGCCCTCTGGTCTAGCTCCGCAAGAGACGAGGCTCTAACGCAGGGGTGGGGAACGTCCGAGGCCCTCGTGCCATACAAGGCCCGCGAAATCATTTGGGTCTCTGGCCATGCCAAGGCAACCGCAGGCGGGACTCGAAATTCAATAAATCTAGGAGAGCAAACCTGGAAAAGCAGTTGCGAGTAGCAGCAACATCGTCAATACCAGCTAACATCATCAATACCAGCTAACATCATCAATACCAGCTAACATCATCAATACCGGCTAACATCATCAATACCAGCTAACATCATCAATACCGGCTAACATCATCAATACCAGCTAACATCATCACCACGCCTCGCCAACGAGAAGCAGTTCCAGCCCATCACATTAGGGGTGAGTTCATTAAATGTTTGACCGAATATAAATGGGCTAATTTTTAAGTTGATCATTTTGTATGGCCCCGCGAACGATGTTTTATAAATATCCAAATGGCCCTTGGCAGAGAAAAGCTTCCCCGCCCCTGCGAGTCTAAAGAAAGCTGTCTCTGGTGTGGACCAATCAGTTTCAAAGACGATGCCACATACTGTCAGAGCGTGTGTTTTTGTCTCTTTGTTTGAATGTTCACCGCGAGTATTTGTGCTGAACGCAAACAGGATTCCTCGCAAAACCTTTCAGTTTGGTCTTTTGAACATCTTAACACACCTCCCGTGTTATTGCCGGAAAGGTGGACAACCCCTATTCTTTGATTGATTCGGGGCCCAAGGTTCAAGTGGTCGCGATAGGTGGCACTTTTTAAGACCGGAAGCAGGTGGATGGCTTCACCGTTCCGGCAAATCGCCTGACGATGCTGGATGTGGTTTCCAGCGAAACGTCGCGCCACTCAAATCGTAAATGCTGTGGATCCACTCTTCAAACAACACCTGGTGGGCTGAAGTCGTGAAACTATTTTGTCTT